CGGCGGCGGATTGGCCGCCGATGTAGTCTTGGATGCGGGTTCCCATTAATGGACGGATCAGATCGATAAAGGGCAGATAGCCGACGTAGTAGATGAACCTGCTGGCGCTGCGGAGCACGGGGGCGACCCACCGGTTCGCGTCATTGTCCAGCATACCGAAGGATTCGCCGTAGCCGAGGTCGCTGATGAAGTCGAAGCCGAACCAGGTCGACCAGTTGTTGAAGTTTTGGGGTGTAGTCCAAGTGTCATTATCACTATCTTCTGAGTGTGCGCCACCGTCGCTGCTCTTGGGTTGCTGTTTCCCAATTTGCTCGACCAGTTTACGGGCACTGATGCTGATGAGATCTTCAGCTTCTTTGAGGGCACGCTCTGAGAAGGCTGGAGCCATCTTTCGCCGGCGGACGGCATGTTCGGGCTTGTCAATTACCATTTGGGTACTCGGTGCTCCAGCGGAGATGTCCAACGTCTTGTACCAATCTCCTTTTTTGACGTTTGCTCTCAGTCCGTGGATGGCTTGGAGAGATGAAACGGAGTTGAATGATAGCTGGCAGGGCAGCTGTGTCAACCTCTTTTCAAGAATGGGAGAAGAGAAGGAGATCTGGCAACTTACGCTGTTCGGAGCATATCTTACAACACTACCTGTGTTGGGCGATCAGGGCACATTCACTTATTTAGGAGGCTTGTTTCGGTCTCTGCTCTCTTACCATACTTCTGATGGTTCCTGTATTCAACCAGATGTCGATTTCCATAATAGCAATGAAAAACCAACGGCCAACCTGAGATCTTGTCAAGGAAAGGCCCGGGATACTTTGCCAACGGATGAAGTGTGATGCGGTAGATAGATATAAGCACAACCTGATTCAGAGGAGCTTCTGGTTAGTATCGTCAATTCTGTCTCTGTTGGTGGTGTTCAGGCTCTTTCGAAGTCTTGCGATGAGGGAAGGTCGTTCGGTCCGGTCCCAAGGTCCGTTTGCATAAGAGAGAGAGACTCACATAGACAAGGGACGCAACAGCTAAATAGAGGATTACTTCACCCGTCTGCAAGACGGGAGTCTCAATGAAGAACAAGACTTGAGAGACACCCATCTTCGATAGTGATACTGTAATAATGAGAAGATAGCGAAGTGCTAGTGTTTGTTCTGGCGAAGCCTCACTTTAATCTGTAAAGCACCAAAAACGACAATGACAACAAAGAAAGTCCATCACCCAAAGCTTACCAGGGCGATGCCATTCATATTTCCACGTGTACTACAAGGGAGTTGGGGGCTGCATACCTGGGCTGTGAAGGAGTTCGGGGGAGGGCTAGTTCACTCCTGTATCGCTGGATACCATTGTCCTCACTAGAAGCCATGAACATGCCTGTGATAGGATTGGATTCCACTGCAGCTCCTGCAAGCAGCAAGAGGAAGAGAGGCTACCCACAGTGCATAGCCAATGAAGTCCATGCTTCTGCTGAGGGGCAGAAGACTGTGCCACAAACGCACATGTGCATTCCGCAGTTCCACAAGTCTAGCTCCGTTAGTATGCGGGATGGAAGGTCGGAGAGGAAGGTGAAACATGCCGATGCCAGCGAGATATGAACTTAGAACTGCGAGGGCCGTAATTTGGCACTGTATAAGGCAATGATTACCTCGTGGTAGTGACATCCCGCCAACGCCTATTTCCATATGACATAAACCCTGCCTACTTCGCAGGAAGAGGTCTCTTTAAATAATGCTGGTGGAGCCATCAAAGTGTGCTTAGAGTAAGCTAACCATAAGATTGCTTATATTGTACAAGGATACTGATGAGGTGGATGAACTGAATTCTATCTGCAGAATCTATAATCTACCACTGGCAGTGAGGCGCGCAGTCGGTCACGTGCTGCCAAGACAAGGATTTTGGCTGTACGCGTACGCCCAGTTCCAACAGATATGCAGCTTAGCCGTCTGTGATCCAATGAAATCTTATTATTTATAATGTATCTTGCAGAAAATACGATCATAATATGGTCATAATATGGTCAGAGTATGCTTCTCTTATCGTCTCTTGTGGGTGCACAGTACTACTAGTACTAGTAGTAGTGGCAGTAAAGGAATGCCAAGAGCGACACGAAATATGAAACCTGGCCTCAGCCCTAGCCGTGGCCCTATGGGTGGAGTCCTTCTAGGGCAGAAGCGGCCCTTCGGCCCTGCAAGCCCACGCGCAGCGCGTGGCTGCCACCGTAACGCTCATCCTGATTTTGATCCAAATAGGGTGGGTGTATTCTTTTGCGTACAGCTCCACCACACCATGGCCGATTCGAATGAGGATATAGAAGAACGCGTAGAAAAGGCTGTACAAGATATTCTCGGTTCGGTAAACCGGTCCATTTTCTGTGTTCAGCGCTGAAAGTTTCTCAATAACAACTCCGACCTAGCAAGGCCGGTCGCATCGCGCATCGGAATTTTATCTCTTCCACAATCACGATACAACGTGGTTTGATTAGTTCAGAAGATGTTGGCCACCTTGTACTTCTTCCCAGGATCTGTGTGCTTGTTTCCAGGCACGCCAAAAGAGATCCAAGGAGAGACATCGATTCTAGAAACTACATTCCTGATCTTAAGATCAGAGCTCACATTCCTAGGTACAGGCAAGTAAATCCTGGAACCAAACACCATCTTAGGAACTGCATATGCGTTCCCAGGATTCGTAACACTTGATCCTAGGAACAACTCTTACGTTCCTAGGTACACGAAAGTCCAGACTGCAGAAAGATTTATTTCGCTAGGTGTACGGGAATACTAATCCTAACGAGGAAGTAGAGCCATTCAGTAACCTAAGGATACACACAATTTGACTCATTTGGACTAATCTACAGATGCCAATTTGATTTGCCAAGATTCGATTTGGTTGGTTTGACTAAGTTGATTCACACTGTCAACCACAGAGCAGAACGAATGATTCCTTCGGTTGAACATGGAGATACAGTTGAATTGGATGATTGGGCGTGTTCCTTAAACGGTGTGGTGGTCCGTGACGTGCTTTGAGGGGACGGGAGAACCTCTTCAAGACCTTAACCAAGAAACAATTCTCCATATCGCTGCTTCCTGGACGTCTGCGACGATTGGTAATAATTGGAACGTTGCTTTGAACGAGATGAACCCGAGTTCTTGGCGTCATTCTCTACCTTATGATTCTCAGCCTGCCTGATCACGTTATGGGCAGCCTCTTCTTGTTTGCGTCTATCCTCTGCACGTCTCTGCTCCTCTATCCACATGAAAGCAAGTGTCAGCGAGAATGAATAGCAATGTCTACACGAATATTAGGAAACGTACCGGGAGTCAGAGGTTTGTGGCGGAGTGGATATGCTTTGGGCCTGACTTGAGCCACATCCGGAAGTTGTTGAAGCATTGCCTCTGCAGGGATATCCTCAGTGATGTAGAAATCTTCCTCTTTGCAGGTCGCTGTGGCTTCTCCTAGAGTTTGCCACCACGTGAGAGCAATATATGACGAAGACCTGTATTCGTTTCCGTCGGTATCTTGGAACGAAAATACAGCTTCAGTCCGCACGACCGTACCACCACTCGCTCGTGCAAGCTGGGGTGTGATCAAACTGTGTCTGAGGGATGGTTCACATGGCACATTGCAAATAGGTATACCGCCGCCATTTATCCCATTTGCCTGAACTGTGATGTCGATAGAGACTCCGTAAGGCTGGATGCAAGTTCCTTAGCGTCTGGTTGGTCAACGTGAAGCAATTGAGGACTGACCATATATGTAAACGGGTTTGTAGCAAACAGATGCTGGTTAGTGAGAACCCAAGCAATATACTTAAACTTTTCGAGGTCAATCATGCACGCGCGAAGAGCACTTGTGTTCGGCTGGTGACTTAGACCCATCTCGAGAGAAGCTGAACGAGTTCCGCCGCACTATCAAGAGACCCCCGGATTATCAATGACTGCAGACACATCAGGCTGTGAGGCTCGACTTGTGGCATCGTACGCCTTAATAAGTAAACAGGCAATCGGAATTCCCGACTAAAGATGCCTGGGTTCTTTGCATGCACAGCCTCACTTCATGCTTCAAGGTTATGCGGATCGAAAGCTCAGAAACTCTTTGACCCGCATCCATTCAAAGCCGAGTGAACCAGCGAGCATTGGACGACAGATCGCATTAAGTATATGCAATATGTTTCCTGTCAATTTTCGTGAAATATCACAAAATGCTTCTTGAACAGCTGTGTTAATGCCAAGCCGTCGTGTGTGAACTTCAAACCATGAAGGACGGATCGGAGGAACGAGTCTGATGGTGGCAGAAAAAGTACCCTCACACAACGCCAATACAAATCGGTACCCTTCCGATGAGATGTAACTTGGCAGAACTAACCGGAGGCTGGCGTCTTGGCTACAGCACAATTTGTAATCCGCGGCATACTAGTATGTATTTGGTGAAGCCTCAGGAAGATAACACACTTATCCTGAATGGCCTGTTGCGATCGGCATTCACTGCGATTTAGCGTAATCATTTTGCTGCATCCTTGGCACACGGAACATCAAACCTTAATTGCGTCAAATGCGTTTTTTTGGCTATATCACCTTTACAATTGAGGTTGGAACTATAAATCGGACACCAGTCGATAGTGTTTGAGATGTAGACCATCTTAAAATCTTGTAATACTCAAAAACATCATATATCCGCCTGGAAAGTCGAAACATTAAAATTGTACTGAAAATATATTTTGATGTTCCTTCAATCAAGCTGCAGCAAATTAGACGTTAAATCGTGGGAACGTCAATCTCAATAAGAAAAGTCCTCATTTCAGCGATTCGTGACACAAGGAGATACTCGAGTATGAGACTATTTGCCGATCCCAGTGACTACGACGTAGCAGGCGTACTTTTGAGTTGCTTCATGGCTCGGCTACACGTACTTCTCACAGGAGTCTAAGTCCAATCCGGAAGATGCACTACCTAGTAGTCAGCAAATATGGTACTTTTGTGATGCTAACCAGTATTAAAAGGGGGCAAGGCAGATTATTGCCGGGCAGATTATTGCAGGGCAGATTAGGAGTCGTTGCTAGGGTAGCCATGTGGAGGTGGAGCAGTAGGCACATGTCCTAGTAAGTTAGTCGACCAGTAGAGACACTTAGCCTGTGATGCAAGTTGTTCCACTCACATGAGAAGAAGTTTAGCTTCAGGCGGTGATGTAGCAAGATAACCAATAGTGCCAGTGATTATCTCCTCTTTCTGGGGTGATGACTCGATGAGGCTATCATTTGTTCATCTATTAGTGCCCGCAAAGCTCGAAAGGTTGCTTCACCTCTACGAAAGATTGTAGTAGTTGACCATATTCATTGGGTAACAGGGCGGTGAACTTTTTTTTGGTGAAGAAGGAACATCCACACAGAGATAACAACCTCAACAACACCCATGCATCACACCCAACCAATAGGAGGGACACACCAGGGATGGATTCGGAAGTACTACTCGGCGCCGCCGACAAATCTTTCTAGCGTGCCGGATTCTTCCTTATAAAGCATAGTTTGAAGGAAGACGAGCTCAAATTGGAAATGACTACGAAACAGCAATCGTCCTCTTACTACGTATAGTCTACTCACTTGATAGATTTGGTTCAATCTCTGACAGTGTATCCTAGCATCATCCTGAGATCTGTTTTACTTGATTTGCCTGTGAATGGTGGAGACATTGAGGTTAAAGAAAATGATCCCCGAGTACGGTACGGTACTGGACAGAGGTGAGTGATCATAGCTCGGCCCTAGTATCTTTGGCTTTGGACAGCTGCCCTTTGTAACCGCTAAAATAGATCATCAACAGCGGTCTTTTTATCCCTGTGTCAGGGAATTTGGACTCCTTCCCGTGCGCTTAGCGTGATGATTCTGCTGCAGGCTTAGCAGGAGGAACGCCAAAATTCGGTTGCTCCAAATGCTTTCTTGCTTGCATCACTCTTATTATCAAACGGCATCTTATGAAAATAGTGTGATTCGATAGCTCTTGAAATGTAAAACATTCTAAAATTTTGAAATCTCAAAAATTTTAATTACTCTGTGTAGGATATCAAGTACAAAAATATACTTCAAACTTTGGATGTTCTTTACGCCAAGGCTGCAGCAAGATTATTACACTAAACCACGGGAATTCTAATCCAATTCAGTGACACAAGGGATAAGAAAATTTGCATGGTTCAAAACCAACTGACTATTGTGAATCGGAGAATTCGACCTCTGACATTACATCGACGTTGTTGGCATTCTCCTTGAAATGGACTGTCTTGAAATAGCCCAAGTAGACTTTAAATCCTTTTAGTGATTTCAGAATTGATGTCTTTAAAGTAGGGAAATGAGAATGCCGGGGGATTTTTATTGCTCCCTTTGCTGCCTTTGTATTACTGGTGCCCCTACGTTATCTGACGCTGCCTTGACTGATGTGAGCCTTACCTGGAAGTATTAAATTGTATGACTCTTAGCCTGGGCCAATCATTCACATCACTGAAGGGGCAAGAAAATGTCTTAAGAAGCCATCTGTCCATCTCAAATGTATATATGTACAGTGAATCTGAGAAGGAAATGTACAGCTGTACTGACTACCTTGAGTAGAAGCAGAGCATTATGAGCCCCAGGGATTCACAACGCACTCTGTAACGCCTCAGTGCTCTCCCCAACGGCCCCAACGCCCCCAACGCCCTTCACAAAGCCCCAACGCCTCTTGACCCATCCTCATCCTCATCTCTTCATCGACTTCGTTGTTAAAATAAGAATTTGACACTATGGATTATGGTAATGGTGGAGGCCGAGACGCCGTGTCAGCATCATGACTTTTGAATTGCGACGGACAGCTCCAGTTTTATTGATCCAAGGCTTTCCCAACAGAACGTCGAACCTCACCGGCATCTCATCTGGCATAACCAAGAACTTTTGGGAGTAGATGACTTCCTGGCCGTCCATGTGCCAGGTTAACACAATGGAGCCAATGGGCAGGAGTGGAGGACCAGAAATTCCATACACTTGATCCTCTACATTCGGGTCGTACCGCAGTTGCAGGTCGTCCAAGGTTTTTTTCGAGACAAGATTGATATCAGAGCAAGTGTCGACAAAACATCGACGGATTCTAGTTTGACCGCGCCGGTGTCTGTCCGGGAAAATATGCATTGTCGCAGCCCATGTCTCAGCTTCTGAATTCACAGACCCTACTAGTCCGCTCGATTCCAAGGCTGTAATGTTCTCATTTGCCATGCCCGCTGGCGTCCGCTCGGCTTGTACGACTGGTGAGGCTTGCCCAGCTAAGGCGGATGCATCAGAGGAAGGATAGCGGGCGGGATTTCTGTCCTCAGCATCGTTTGGTGGTACCGTTTGCTCTGTGGTGGGGTTGTCAGAGGTGGTAGGTCCGATAATGCGCTCGAAACCCGAAACTGGAGGACTCTTCTTTCTCGTTCTGAATGAGAGGCATGGGACCAGAAGCTACTAGATCAGAGCTTGCTTGGATAAGGAGGAAGATTACGGAGTACATACCCTCTTCAATACCCGCCACCACTCTGAACCTCTTCGGAGGGGCATGATACTGGACTCGACATTTTGTTGCCTGGTATGTGTCGCCATCATCTGACTGATAGAGGCAGAGATGGGGATCGATCTTGACAGCTTGAGTGCAACTACCCTTCTGGTACGATGAGTTTCTGGTGGAAAGAATGAGTTCGTACCGGAACTTGAAACCGATGCTGACTGCATCCAAGCTAGAGATAGCGCAAGGGAACATAGATTGCGTTGCTCTCGTTGGTAGGTTACTAAAGTAGGTGCAACTGTCGTTGTTGGAACATACTTCTATGGTAGACTCGTCAATGCAGTCCATGGCCAACACAGACAGGCTCTAGGGAGTTTTGGCTGGTTAGTAGAATTTCTGTAGTTGAGCTAGGCAAACCTTGTTGATCCTCCACAAGTTCCGCGTCCACTTCGGCGGCTGAAATGGCAAGATGTTATTCCAGCTATTACAGGGACCAAAATTCTCCTTCGAAGCTACTGTACGACAAAACCCTTTGGCACCGTCGACGAGGGTTGATCAGCAACGACGAACGAGGCAATAAAGCGTGATGGTCTTCCAACTGGGACGAATTAGCGTGAAAATCAACAGAAAACTTCATTTCAGATGCTGGGAGCCCTACAGATGTTTTTGAGTATTTACCAAAGATACCCCTTGAGCTATATTGCATGATCAGTCCACATCGAAATCTGGTTCCAGATTCCTGCCCGTCGGCACCACGTCACGCAGGATTCGCCCCGTGGCAGTACTGCAAAGAGAGATGCAGGTCCCTCTCCTCCCAGCTGTATGGGTGCCCCGCATGCACGAGCCAGCCTTGCTTGACGACTTTGAGCAGTCTATAAGAATGTCATTGAAGTCATCAAAATCTTTTGAGGATGTCCAACAAGACGTCAGGTCTCTAATGAGTAGATCCAATTGTACTTGTCAACCCAACGCCATAGCTCATGTCTGGCTATGAGAAGCTTTCACGCCTTATCGGTGTTTATCCTGAGCTTGCGATTTATCGCAAGTTTAGTACTCTCTGCGCGAAGATGCTTTTGTATAAACAGGCCGAGCTTCAACATCTGGAGAATGAGCTCGATATCATCTCACAGATTGACAGCTGTAATTCCGAGAAGTCCGTCTTTGCTGTGTCATGGAGAGCAATTGACAAAGGTCTTATGGAAGGTGGTGATAATCTTCAAAAGCAGAAAATATCAGAAATCAACGAGAAGATAAATGAATACTGTCAGTAATATAAGTCAACATAAAATGCCAGGTAACTGATTTGCCGACAGACTCTGCTCTTCTCAAAGCCCGTCAAGTCCATACTCTCGCCAAACCAGGAGATAGCGATATAAATTTTCTCAGAGAATGGCTTGAACGTCCTGATGGTGGCGACTACTCTATCAAAGGTGTTGAGGCAGAGCCATGGAAACTCTGTCGTGCAGCCGACCTGGTCACTCTTTCACAGTCCGACGGAAGAGATGTATTTGCACAGTCTTTGAGCGACAACATCTTGCCGTGGTATCATCGATACTTTGGTCATCGTCAGAAAGGGGCCACAAAATCGAATGACGGCCTTGATAACATCTGGGAGTATGAACACGAACATTTCGTGGTTTTAGGAAATATTATCTGCATGGTCTTATCATCTGTCATTCCGACCACTTCTATTTTTGCACTTTATTTCGTGAAGAGTGTGGTAGCTCGCCTGGCTGTGATTACTGTGATGAGCTTTTTCTTCTCCTTTGTCATGATTCATCGTTCGTGGCAGGCGAGTGGAAGTCTTCGCGGCAACTACAGCGTTTGCAGCTGTACAAGTTGTGTTCGTTGGTGGAGTCAATATTATTTCGTCATCTTGAGAAAGTGGATCAGCTCAGCTAACTAGCTGTTAGCCTCATCGCTTATCGCTTTAGGGTTTGCAAAGCCTTCTTCTTTCTCTGGCGGTGCTGATGCATGATAGGTACCAAGTTTGCTCTTTGAACCATCCGGTCTTGCCGCAAGGACCTCCGACGGATTCTGCTACCTAGTGTCTGCTCATCACTTCGAAGATAGGACTTAGAAGGTGTCCTGGACGTTCTTGGTAAGGGCACAAAGGGTTCATATCATTTGTTTGGTAGTTGCAGTGTAAGGCAGACGCCCGTTCGATGAGAGGCGCCAGATAGTTTATACTGTGATTGCATTGCTCAAGGGATCGGTTTTAACTGGATCAAGGGGCTGCTGTTTCGAAGAAACGATATCAAAAACATTATAACGAAATTCGGCTCGGGGCGTATGTATCCGCTAGTACTGTTTCACACGAGTTACGTTTAGGTGCCAAGCCATCAAAATAACCATTCCAATCTGATAATTAATGACTTCAGAAGTTATCACTTGTGTTCACAGGGTAGAAGTTAAAAGAGTACGATCACTGATTTATTATCGACGGAATCACGTTCTATTCTAGGTCTTTCATCTATGAGAGTCTCCTGTCGGTGTAAATTGTGTTGGGATCTAAGGAGGAAGGCAAAGCCAGTCAGGTGTGGCATCATTCAGCCATCCCACAAGAGGAAGAGGTCAAATCCATCGGCTTGTTCGGACGTAGTATGAATTCAAGAGCGAGGGATTCTGCATTTGGTTTCTGAACGATTACTGAGCATGCAACTCTGTACGAGGCGAAACTAGTGGGCCTCACCAGCTTTTCACCATGAAAAGATATCAATCAGTACCAGGACCGAAGGGGGCGTTGCATAAAAGACGTATCAAAGCTGATTGTGAAATGACTGTGGCTGTTCAGAATGGGGTAAGTACACTGATCTAAGATCAAAGCAAGGCAGCAATCGATGTCAGTACCTACGGTCCCTTCCTACCGTTGAAAAGGTCGGATACTAATCATGTGGATAGCCTCATATTATCCTTAGTGGAGAACCGTTTTTGAACAAGAAGACGTCTTTCATAGAATCACGAATGGAATATTACGAATACTGTCTCGCCGAATGGATGGCATCAAGTTGGAAAGACCGAAAACTTGCAAGTACATTCAAATTTTACTCTTGAAGGGCAATTGTATGCTAACGCCGTCCAGGAATCACTATTCAGACTCGACCATTTTACAATATGTTACTGACTTTGGAAGCTTTGAGCTTTATTCCTGGTCAAGGGATAATCTATCGCTTACTCTTACCACAATTTATTGGTTACAATACCGATGACCATTTTGTTCTGACAGACTTTAGTCATGCTATGTATTCCGATAACCGAACCCGCAACCCTTCAATGCCTATTGCAAGCGGATTCATGGCTCCAGAAATGTTTCAAAAGCAGGATCCAACAACCGCGGTAGATATCTGGGCTGTGGGTGTTCTTTTCTTGGAGTTACTCCTACTACTACCAGTAAACAAGATGTTATCTCAATCAAGTGAAAGCAAGGCAAGAGGATCTTCGCAACACACGTTCCAAAGCAACGAAAAGCGCGACAGTCGAGCCCGCAGTCAAATCTCGGGATCTCTGCAAACAAATTCTTAAAGCAATAGATCAAGCGCATACGCAGACTGTCGTCAAATCCCTGAAGTTCTCCAAGTGCCTTCTCAAACTGGTAAACGCCCCAAAGGCCAAAATCCCCTTCGGAATACTACGCCACTTGAATCATCTTGCCCCGTTTTGTCCTCTCGGGCATCTCACTGGGACCCAGTTACTAATACTATATCGCCCTGGGGTGGGATTTACCGTGCATTTAAGGAGAATAGACTACCATCTGCCCTTCCAGCCAACTGCACTGATGTAGAGAAACTTCAGACCTGGATGGACGCTGGACTTCCTCATCCACCAGCAAGGCCCCATCCGGAGGGTGCAATATACCAAAGACGGGCCCATAAAGAGGCGAGGCCTCCCGTCGCTATTTTCGATGATGCCTTGAAGCAGGAAGCGCGACAATATTATTGCAGTTGCTCGAGGCGATAAATCATCTTACAGTGTTGCCCCGTCTCCAACCACATAGGAAGCGGACCGAAGCTGAAATCCGGTCAAGATGGTGGTGCGGATCCTCCCAATCCTTCTTCACCCGGGACCCAAAACCTACAGATGGTATCTCAAGCCGGGCAGGCAGGTCAAATCCGCGCAGTTTCTCGAAACCAGCAAGACTTACCTGAGGCGGTAAACCATCCAGCTCAAAACAAGGGAGCTTTTGACCGGCACCAACGTCCCAACCCGAAAAGCATGGAGCATCCTACCGTTGCCACAGAACTTTCAAGGATCTGATGGCATGATGCAGAGTGTCAACGCCATCAACTAATATCCCCAACGCTACAAGGAAGATTCTGAACGCTATCAAGCAGCATCTCTGGGCATGGGCCCTGGTGCTCATAGGAAAAGGCATTAATTTAGAAAATACGATTACAGGTTTGTGTAGCTGCGCTATGCTCGGACCTTGTTGTACGTGCCAGCCAAATAGATGTCCCCTCCTGGTAGAAAAAGGGTGCATCCACCACTCCGCCAAAATGACAGCGCTCATGGGTCTCAACCCAGATTTGACTAACGTAGCTTCTGACACTGGTATGACAGGCACTTAGGTGCGATAGACACTTTGCTCAGCAATCATCGAAAGGGTTTAGCGGGGCGGGCCAGTTGCTTCATGCAAAAGTGTTGCTTTTGCTTGACAGTCAGGGTGTAATAATGCCATGGCCTGTCAAGACTCAAACGCCCGAATTGATTGTCAACCTGCCTCCCAGAAAGCAAGTTGTGTTATTTGTCAAGGAGCTGAATGCGCAGAAAATATGTTGAACATAAGGACCGTAAAAATAGCTAATGTCTGACAAAATCCGTATAAAATACGTTGTATAATACAGAGAAATTTGCTCCGAAATTGCACTAGAAATTGACCATATCAATACAGGCAAATAGAAGAATTCAACGCAGCAAAACTGGCGAACCAAACACCCTCATAGCTTGACGTGAACGTATCTCGGCGAATGTGCCGCTCCAAAGACATCTCGCTCTTTGAACAGCAATCTCCCGGCCGGCAAAATCGACACGCATCTTTCTCAGATAACTGCAGGCTCCTCCGTCTTGTCCTCGAACGCAAATGTCATTGACTCAAAGGCCTTGCTAGAGGGTGATTAACATGCTACCATCTTTTTCGACATTGCCAGCCATGCCATATCTTGGTGTGCGCGAACTAGGACGCTTGTTAGTTCCATCGCGAGTATCCCTTCCGGGTATACAGAGCAGGGAAATGGCCTCTTACCACCAATTGAGAAAACCAGTCACGTTTTCCTTGCAGACATTGATATAGTTGCGAAGAGTCTCTTGCGTTTTCGCATCTCGTGCTGTGCGACGGAGCAGTTGGCCTTCGGCGTTCCGGAACCGCTTGACCGAGTCATGTAAAGCTTTCACGGCGGAATCGACGGCGGCTTGAGCATCGGGATTCTGCATACATAAGAGGGGGACGAGTCCCAAGATACTTCCTGCGACCTGCCGTTGCAAGAGAGGAAGATCAGTCTCTAGAAGGACAAAATTGGTGGAACTTGGACAAGGTCGCGCGGGACTGACCACTTCTTTTTTCACCGATAGTATGTCATTGATACTATCCACGAAGTAGAAAAGCACTTGTTAGCACTATTTGGCTAGATAGAAGAACCAAAAAGCTTTAAAAAGATAAGACTCACAGGGACATCATCAGATTCGTCTCATCCCAGATAACCTTCATTTCAGGGCTATTAATGATCGGTCGTGGTAAGCGGCTTCTGATTGAATATCTGTCTTAGGTTAGCATCTCCGGTAGGTTGGATTCATTGTACTTGTCCCTACTCAGCCATTGCCAGGAACGGCCCAACCCCACTCGTACCCATACGGAAAGCCCAATACTCGCTAATAGTTGGGATCCTATCGCTGAGAGAATACTCCTGCTCAACCTGGGACATCTCAAGTGAGAAAGTAAGTTCATGCAGGAATGACGCAAGCTGGTCTGCACGGGGACATCAGCGTACTGGGCTCCATTTTTATAAATGTTCAAGTGAAGCACTATTGGGAATCTTCCGTACATACCTCTAGTATAAACTTTGCGAAGCGGGCCTGAAATGAGCTCAAAGCTGCTGATTGTGGCGCTCCGTGACCGTGACACCACCCCTTTCTCCCCAAACCCAAGAGAGCTTTTAACAAAGTTCACCGTCTCGCGCCTGAACGACTGGGCAGCTTGGAAATCGGAAGCCAGGGGTGCGGCTGGCATATCGATCTCATCATCCCATACAAACACCAACAGACATAGATACGTCAGGACAAGATACTCGTCCCACGCTGCTCGTGGCCAGATCGATGCAGCACCGAGAGCAAAGTCTGCCTTTTTCATTTCGGTAATTACCCTTTCATCGGATACGCAACTGCATTGTCAGTTCCAGTCTGTCAGGTGAGAGTTATGGGTACGCACCTTTCCAGCTTTCGATTAACCATTGGAATCATCCTTTTATAGTGCGGGTTGACCCCAGCTGGGAAACCGTCAAACACCCTTTTCAGATTTGGTATTCTAACAGTTTGCCCTCTCATAGAGTCGATCACACTGGTCTTGCTGCAAGATTTATTCGCCATGGTGTTCGTCAATCGTCGGCCTCGAGCAGGGCAGCAACTCTTAATTCAAAGAAGGGATCTAGATGGTTCTGTCTATCTTGATTAGAGCTTTCTTAAGTCGTTTGTAAGCATTCGAGGACTTCGTGGCTACATCAGTAGGGGCCATCTAGTCTCTTCGGATGGGACTTCCGTCTTATACCTTTCTTTTGGTTGCAGTATGCTCCCCTTGTGCACAAGGTGACACCGGGGATAAGAAGATTACATTCTCAGACACTGCTTTGTTTCGCAGGGAATCTTCAGCAGGGCTATGGTGTTGCAGCATCACTATCAGTTCTGATAGACCCTGCAAGGAACGATTGTTTCCTGGCTTATCGAGACAGTGTGCAGAAGCGTGGTTGACATCTAGGCCGGCACAATCTATAAATACCACAATCTCGGCGAGATAAGTCGCTATCTATAGGATAAAGACTAGACTGTGCACAATAAATATGTAACAGCTTTGCATAGTATCCCATTCCGCGTGAACCGTGGGTGATGGTGTCCTGGTCAGGGAATTCAATGGTCCAGAGAGGATTTCAGGTCTCGACTAGGGGCAGATTTCCGTGCGCCGATAGTTTTATGATGCATGCGCCAATTACTGTACTACTTACTGTGATTGCACGGACGGGGATGATGTTGGACCAGAGGACTGTGGGCTTCTACCCTTCTTACGAAAAACTCGCTATCTTATCTCGTGTGTTACAAACAATTTGAAGCTGTTTCACAATCCTTTACCGAGTACAAGAAAATGATTCGTAGCCAGTAACAACAGATGGCTACGCATGAGACTGCAAGTTACCACCTTGACTCGGCGCCTCTGAAATTACCTTCGAAGTCATTGCCGATGACGACGGCGACCTCAAGGAAAGATATGTTTATCTAATATCTCTTGCGAATCCCCAAAACGTAAGCCGGAATCGTTGTTAGGCATCAATTCACGATTTGACAGCAAACTCTGTTTGTTTAAATGTTTCAATTGGAGTGTTTAAGCTACGATTCACCCCTGCAGTGTTCTAAGAGCATTTGACCATCTCTTTCGAGGCTTCATTTTATCCACAATTGGAAGGTGGACGCTCCTTGGACTTGGAATGTCTATGGTTGACGGCGACGAAGATTAGACTTGACGGACTTGAGAACGACTCCTCAGGTGTTCGTGGTCCACGGTGAATTTGTGAATGGTGGCTGGATGTTCTGGGCTCAACAAATAAACGTTCACTGGGAATTGAATCATGAAGGGCTTATCACTACATAAATGGTTTTACATCAGACTGGTTGCTTAAGGGACCAAAGCACAAAGGGCGTAAAGGAAGCTGTGTAGGATGATAACAAGCTATGCAATCATACAGTGATGGTGATACAATATTACTATTTGTACTACTGCACGCAAGCTATGGCAATCAGTTGACGTAAAGATAGAAAGTCCCAAGAAACAGATTGGGGTGTGAGGTCCAGAATATCACAACTCTTTTCATGACATGATGATCCCGCTAAATGCATCGCTGAAGCCCAGGAGGGAGAAACACTCAATCATGCAGTCCGAATGCCTTTCTCAACTTTGGGAATCTCTTCTTCTTTCCTGTCCTTCCAAGAACAGGAGTCCCATCCTCCGTCCTCACCGTGCCAGACGTGTCTTGCCGAGTACCCCAGCCCGGCCTGCCGTTGGCGTCTTGCGCAGTCCCAGTGCCATTAGAGGTTTGTGGACGATCATCATCATCTGCAGTAGCCTTGAGTGGAAGAGGCCAGGAGTCACTGGTTAACCGCTGGGGGGTATGTCTGCGTTGCAGTTTGCCCCTGCCTTCAGGTGATGCCGGCATCTCGGGACTGCGTCCTCCGTCAAGATCCGCCCTGAGACGAGGGCTGTGCATGTCTCGTTCTGCCTTTGTCGGTTGTGCATCTGTAGTCACATCCTTGCTCTTTTTGCCACCGAAGCGGCCGAATATGCCTTTCTTCTTGCCATTTACAGGTGGCGCTAGACTTTCAACAGGACTAGAGATGTCAGGCTCCTTGGCGATGCTCGTTCTCGCACCATTTACAGCGTCTGGCGATTTTGGACCCTGCCGTCTAGATTTCGCCCTCCTTTTCTCTGCCTCGTCTGAACTATCTTCGAGGTCGGTAGAGTCTCCCTCGTCTGGTCTCGTTGGAATCCCACGGACGGGGCGGTACTTGGTCACTCCGGCCTCCTCATCACTAGAATCCTCGAAGCGAGATCGAAAGGTTTGAGGCTCAGATACATCTTCGTCTGAGTCTGCAAAACGTGACTTTAGCTTGGATGTGAGTGCTTTGGATGGCGTGGCTTTGACTTTCGATCGTGGTTTACCAAATCCAGAAATGGTGGACGAGGGCCGCTGCTGATCTTGCTTCCGCAAAGAGGGTACACCAGCATCACCAGATCCACGCATACTCGTCCTCATTGTGCCCTGACCCATTGGCGAAAATGGCCGACGATCTTGTGGTGACAAAGATCGAACGCCGCGACCAGCTAGAGCCGGGGGGGAAACAGGCCGGTCAGCACCACTACGCATGCTTGTCCTCATTGTGGATCTGTTCGTAGATGATGCAGGTCTTCTCCGAGATCTTTTGAAGCTGCTTGAAGAATCACTTCCATTGGACAAGGTCCGGCGGAGCGGCGTCAAGGAGCTCGGGGAAATCGCAGGGCTGCTTTTCGTATCCTTTCCGGCCACTGGCGAAGAGGTTGCTGGAGAGGCAGGAATTCTCTTCTTCTGAAGCGCTCCCTTGGGAAGGCTGGTTGGTGGTACAGATCGAGCTTGTGGCTCGGGCGGTCTGTTGGTGCGCATAGAGGTCTTTAGCCCAGGCGCACTTGACGTATCTCCAGGTTGACCTCGCATCGATCGTCGCATCTCTCCTTGTCCAGATACAGCTCTCCCTTGACTGGTCGCAGGGAAGGCTGATGTCTGTGGTTGATTGCGTTGAGGTGAGTCTGGGTCCAGGCTGCTACTGTTCAGAGGCTGTGTAGCAGCCACGGCCTGGCCAGTTTTCCTGGGGTTCTTTCTTTTCCTTGGCTTTGGTTGCACTGTATACTGTTCTCTCTGCTCATCCTCGTCAATGTTTCGTTGTCTCTCTGCCACCTTCCTCCAATGCGCCTCGGCCCGTTCCCAAGAACCGTGCCGAGTGCTAGCTGCGGTGGGTCCAGAGCCTGCTATGCCTGCCAGCGGACTATCGGGAGGCGTTGCCATGTGGTCTGCCGGCAACCCAACGACCGGACTTTCCACAATTGCATTGATCGAGCCAAAACCATCCCCTTCAAGATCTGATAAGTCTTCAGCTGCATCACTATAGATGCTACTACCTCCACTTTCGGTATCACTTTCTGGCTCAATTTGATGCCGAAACGATTCGGATATTGAGCCCACTGTAGGTACTGAAGGGTCTGCTGCCGCCACAAGCTGCGGAGGTTTAGGTTCTGATATGCCTGCCTCGGCTGGCGAGGAGGTGGTAATCTTTCGATCTTCAGTTGCAACGGCATCTCTTTGTCGAGTCGTGGGAGCGTCTCCTTCCAGCTCGAAAGCCTCCGGGAAGCCGCCGGGGACTTCGACAATCCACTCGTCTTGAGCCTCAGTTTCACCAATGCCCGGGGTAGCTGGCTGAATCGCAATAGAAGGAATAGAAGGGGTCAAGAACAGGCCACTTTTTTCATCAGACGAAGCATGAACGGTACCGTTGGTGACACTCTTCCCAGCTTGATCAATACTTTCTGACGTCTTTCTTGTTGTTGGGCCATGGTTTGACGAAGTCGAGTTCGATTTCGCATCATGACCAGTTTTTAACGCCTCACGCGCGAAGATAGCCCCAATCGCATGGTCACTGGAGATAGATGTCTCAATGGTTGCGAGATTCGAGCTTGAAGAACTTTCTGATGAGCTGGGAGACACAACCTCAGCGACCGGAACTGTGCCTTCTGCGGATCCATCTCTGCGGCCACGTACACTTCCAAATGAGGGCAGTACAGGACGGGGCTTCATGACCTCCTCCATGTCATCTTCCGCCGGTATGGCATCTAGATGACCACCCTTTGATCTACCAAACCACCCCTTCTTGCTCGAGTCTTTGTGCTGGGGACTCACAAAGACTGGTGTGTCACTTGGCGTGACATCCGCAGCAGTACCGACCACGTCAGGAGCTGCCTCAAAGCTCACACGGGCAGACTTCTTCCTTTGCGGTTTAGATCCAAAACCATCTGCGGATGTCATCGATGCGTTATCGGAGGCTTCGCTGGATGCTTGGCTCGTTCTTTTCCATCCACTCGTCCTAGCTCCATCGATTGGCGAGGACGACTGTGGAGAGGGTGAATGGTGCTTTAGTGCGGACTTGGCCGGTGAGACAGAGCGTGGAGGTGGCTCGTGTGTTGGTCTACCAGAAAATTCGGAGGCAAGATGTGTAGAGAAGCGAGTTGATCGAGAGGGGCTGATTGAAGTCTGCCTGGTCGGACGATCGGAATCTTTGCTCACTTCTAGGTGGCCATTGGAAGGAGTTTCCGCTCTCGGTTTCGTAGTTGGTGTGGGTAGCGTTGTGATGAGGTGTGGAGTCGGCCTGGCTTCTCGTATCGTGTTGTCCGATGTATCCATGATCGTGCTCGACTTGTCTGCAATTGCTGTTTCCTTCCTACCTCGAACTTTGGATGGACTGCTAATGGAACTCGGACCAGCATTGGAACCCTGTTCCTCCCTGAGCCCTAGTTGTGAAGAGTCCCCCCTTTCCCCTTCCCAATCTTCTCTGACAACGGACGGCTGCTTGTTTAGAAGTCCTGATGCACGTATAGCTCTCCTTCCTTTAGACGTATCTGGAGTCGAGTCCGAGTCAGAGCCATAGGCCGGTGTTTCCCGCCGAGAATCGATCTCAGGTGTTGTGCTGCTATTAGCTTTCTTCTTCCTCTTGGCTGGAGGAGTCGATGTCTTTCCGGGGTTCGGTGCGATGGTCGAGGAAGTGGCAACAGCAGCTCCTGAAGCTTTACCGCCCATGCCCCCACTAGCCAGATGGCTACCCTCAGTAGTGCCATTTGTAACCCTCTTCTTTCTTTTCCTGACTGGCTCATCAGCAGTTTGCCTGAGGGTATTCTGTATGTCATCTACTGCTTGCTGTAAGATACCATTTATAGCCTGGTTCTGAGACTGAGACAGATGCTGTCCTACTGGAGGGGAATTGGGCCTCGCTCCTGTAGGGTAGGAGAAATTCACTGAGGCACGACTGCCAGACTTCTCAAGCTCATTCTCATCCGTCGCGCTTGTTTGGTGTTGGCTCTTCAGCTTCTTCTGCGCGAAGACCGGTGCTCTATCCAAGCTAGCAACACGGCTTCCCTTCTTTGTTGGTAGTGGAGACGCGACGCGCATCCACGGCTCCACACTTGCCGCTCTCCTATGATTATGATTGTCGTTGTAACTTTTGGGGACGGGTGGAACAGGAGGCGCATTCTCCATAGAAGGGTTTTGGGCAGGGCGATTGGGAGAAGGACTTCGAAACGTCCTTTCAGTCATCGACCCGCCACTGTTTCTCCTCTGCAGCTCGGCTCCATCTCCACGAGAAGCAGTCGAACTCTGACGTTGGAGCATTCGCTTGGTCTGCGTCTCGGCAACGGGAGTAGGGGTCGGAGACATGGCCCTCAAAGCCGCAGCTGCAGCGGACGCTGAGAGATTGGTGCCGGACTGTCGGTTGGCAAGGAAGGCTTGAGCAGCAGCGGTTTGCGCGGGCGCTGAGGGTGGAACATTTTGACGCTGCACATGAGTGGCGTTAGTATCAATGCAGCGCATGGTTTAGGAGATCACGCACCGTCACCGAGGCAGATCGCCTCTTGCGATGGAACATCTTCCCCAGGTCGGAAGTTCTCCTTCGCGAAAGGCCTTCTTCAGATGACTGCACACCGCAATTGGTGACAACCTTGGAAGTCGAGAAGAATGATCTTAGCTTCGCGCTAAGGTGTGACCAGTAGACCGGGTCGAGGCCAGTAGGCCATGACGTGAGGGAGGAGTATTTCAAAGGAGCAGAATGGGTTATTCACCCGAGGTTAGAGGGAACGTGGTAAAGGGGTAGTGGTAAAGGATGTCAAGAAGAGGTAAGAGCCGCCATCACTCCATAACTGGGAGTTGTATGGCAGGGTGATGCAAAGGTTTGGGTAGGTTGGGTGAGTTGGGTGAGATCACCACGGCATTGGGACGTTCAACCATACGCCGTAAAGTTAACGTAGTAAAGTTAAATGATGAGCACAGGCACAGGGTGGAAGTGTGGCTGACCACTGGTCCACAGCAGCAAGTTAGTTACAGCCGCCAGCGTCAAGCCCCAACGTCACTCTTGCATTATCCTGTTTCGAGAGGATACTAACTATGCTTCAGCCAATCAGGGGTGCCCGAAGGCCCAAACTGGCCCTCTACTGTAACCACACCTTCACTTCCACCTCCACCTCCACCTCCACCTCCACCTTAGATTGTATCGAGCAGACTCAATATCTCCTCAGCTGCTTCCTGTGGCCTCTCCTGTGGAAGCCAGTGGCCTGCTCCTTCAATGTACTTTGCACCTCGGAAATCTGTACAAGCCTTGTGCATCTTCTCTACAGCGCCTGGCTCCTGGAATGGCCCCCAATCTTGCTTTCCACTTACAAACAGGCACGGTACCTCGATCTTCTTGCCTGCAAGAATCTCAAGCTCACGAAGGATCTCAGGCCGCGTCTGAATACGATACCAATTGAGCCCGCCTTGAAAGCCATTTCGGGCATACTCCTCGACATAGACAGCCAGCTCTTCGTCCTTCAACCATCTGCTGCTTCTTTCTCGGACGACTTGGGGATCCTCCTCTGCCATATCCTTCGCTACTGCTTCTCGCATTGTGTCCCCCTTGTCCATTATGTAGTATCGCGGCATCTGAGCGAGTTCTGTTGCTTTCCATGCTGTGAGAGGACGTGGGTCATTCCCATCCCAGTCAGCGCTTTTCAGATGGAAGTAGCCCCTTAGGAATTCTTGCAGATCCTCCTTCGGCTCTAAAATTTCGCGGTTGGCGGCTGGAGTGCAGTAATACCACTTGTAATGCTTCCGTGGCCTCTCCAGTTTTGCTAATTCAGCCTCCATATCGACCGCGATGGATCTCTGCAGAAGTCCATCGGCGGGCCTCAACGGCAGTTCTGGTGGTCCTTTGAATGGATGCGACATTAGAACCACGCTCTCAAAGTAGTCAGGACGAATAAGAGCACACAACGCCGCGGTAACAGCACCAAAATCATGCCCAACAATGCACTTGGCTTTGGTATGACCAAGAGCATGCGCGAGCACGACTACATCCTGGACCAGAGTCAACGGGCGGAAGTCGGATAGCGGAGTAGGACCATCTGGAGAATGAGTTCGCCCGTACCCACGTTGATCAAATGCAACAACATGATATCCTGCCGATGCCAAAGGCAGAATCATATGACGCCAGCTATATGCAAGCTCCGGAAAGCCATGAACAAGGATGATTAATGGCCGAGCTGGAAGAACAGAGCCTGCTTCGAGGATATGGAAAGCGAGGCTGTGTGGAGCTGTTTGGACCAATCGCGACGTTATTCCTGCGGAAACAGGAAGAGGCGGTAGATTCGACAGCATAACTTCCGAATAGGAACCTGTCAGGCGAAGGCTACTTGACGGTGATCATGTAAATGTCCTAGCAACCAAGGTACGGTATTGCTGTCCTTAATACGGAGAGATCAAAAACTCCCGTCATGATACTTGGTGCAAGCCCGACGTCATAGATATTTCCATGTAATAAGCGTGTTGCGTTATTTACTGCTGAACCGAGGTCATACTTCACAAGAACACTGATTGCAATGATGTGGAAAGGGCAAGTCCAACCACTCTGAGGATAAACATACTGACTGTGGTGTTGACATGCGGCTCTGCCGCTGAACAATTTGTTCAGCAGCAACTATCCACCAAATGGCCATAAAATGGGACATTTAATTGAGCTGCTAATTGGATGATATTGTGGAGTGCCAAGACAGCTTTAATTGATTATGGACTAATCAGAGAGCCCAGCATAAACCTTATTTATCATGAGCTAACTGTATTCGGAATTACAACAAACAACAACAAAACTCCTCATATTTACTATGAGAGTGGTAAATGCCTATCCCAACAACGCAAGTTGTAGCAAATAGGAATATTGCATTTGCCACAGGACCATATGGAACTTCGAATGCCTTTTTTGCTCCTTTGTGCCGTGTGAGGGGCATTGGTAGGCCTCTCACGGAGGGCATTGAATGGCCTGCCTCGTTTTGCAGCTGGATTACAGACTTGACAACGATGATAATTATCCAATTTGACCCATGAGTGCCCTTTGTAACTCCCTTTTCGTACTGATTTAGCCTGTGGAGCGGAGCTTTTTTGGGGCGGCCTTGGGCGTCGCTGCCGCAGAATAGCTCCAGGTCCGCGGAGTAGATTTTTCGTAATCTCTTCTTGAAATTCTGTATGCGAGAGTATTTTGATCCTTCTGTCATTTCTATCCTCTCTGTCTTTATTAGCTAGCTTATATAGAATATAAGCATTGATAATAGCTGCATCGATAAGGAAGAAGAATAGAGGGAACCAGTTACGCTTGTAGTGATGTCGAGATGTTGTATAGAAGCTATTCTGCTTTACATGATTATCTGAGCCGCCCATCTCCTTGTTATAGCGTTTAAGAGGATACAGCTTCCTTAGAAATGGTCTTATAGAGGGCGCAGAGGACGTAGAGGGCGCAGAGGGCGCAGGCAGTGTAGAATTCGCAGGCAGGGTAGAAGGCGTAGAACTCATAGAATTAGCAAAATTCGTAAAAGACGTAGAACTTGCAGAGGGCGCAGAAATCGCACAGGACGTAGAACTTGTAAAGGGCGCAGAATTTGTAGAGGGCGCAGAATTTGCAGAACTCACTGAATTCGCAGCATCAAGAGATTCTGCGAACTTGGCGTATTTCAGAGAAGCACCACAGCGTTTAACAGCATCGAAATAGACGCATTCGTCAACAAGAGGGTCGTATACTGTGGTCATTATTGCTTTGGATGCCGAGTCGCAAAAGGCGATACAGTTAACGCTACCAACGACCCAATTAAACCACTCTCCATGGTCATTTTGCTTCGTCATTGCATCTCTGAGATATGCCAGCTCTTTTGGTATCCCTGACCCTGCTTTTGCTGTGCTGTTAGCGCTAATGCCAAGCTTACATAGCTCTTGATAGAGCTTGCGAGTAGTAAAAAAGTTATCAAGATGTAAGATATAAAAGGGTCTTGGTTATAGAAAGCGCTCTAAAAGCAAATGCGCAAAATCAAGTATAACTGCCTTACTTTAAGAGAAATCAGAGTACTCTCCTAATTTAGCTACTTTCTTAATAGCGCTGCTGAATTTGAAATCAATTATATAGTTATTAACGCCCAACACCACAAAGCGGGCCACCCCACAAAGCGGGCCAATTTCGGGTCACCCACAAAAAACCACCCTCAAATTTCTAACGCTTATTACTCCACCAATTTACGTCCAAATGGCCTCAAACCAAGAGCAATTGATTCAGCAGGCGTTAAATGACCTAGATATAGGTGCTGAGAAGTCAATTCGCAAGGTAGCTGCCAAATACAGGGTTTCAAAAACGACTGTGGCTTACCGACGCAGAGGTCGCAACCCACGTACGCAAGCCAATCGCAGGACTCAACGCCTATCCCTAGAAGAAGAAAAAACTCTAATTCAGTGGATTCGAGATCTACAGCGGCAGAATCTATGCCCAAATTACCCTAGAATTCGCTCTTTTGTGTACGAAATCCTGCGAAATCGAGGCGATTCGCGGCCCCTGGGCAAGAACTATGTATCTCGCTTCATTTCTCGCCATTCAGAGCTTCGAACAAGCAGATCTCGAGCTATGGATATTAAGCGCCTCTCTGCGCTTGATCCTACGGTTATAGAGAGCTTCTTCTCTGAATTTGAACAGCTCCGAAGTCAGTATGGCGTCGAAATAGAGAATATCTGGAATATGGATGAAACAGGCTTTCAAATGGGTCAAACAACAAGCAATTTTGTGGCCTATGACGCCTCTATAGGGCGCCCTGTTGCTCCGCAGCCAGATAATACGCAATGGGTCACAATTATTGAGTGTATCTCATATCACCGCGCCCTAAAGCCCTATCTCATCTTTTGTGGCAAGGCACCAGAGCTACATATGTTCCCTGCTATTGATGAGCTACCTGACATTATTTGGGCCTTCTCTCTAAAGGGATGGACTGATAATGAGCTTGGTATTGATTGGCTAAGGCGGATATTTATTCCACAGAGGCCTATAGGCAAGCATTCTATTCTGATTCTTGATGGCCATGACAGTCATTCTACAGGCCTATTTCAGTATCTCTGCCTTCAAAACGACATCCATCCACTCTATCTACCAGCTCATGCCTCTCATAAGCTTCAACCACTCGATTTAGGACCCTTTTCGCCTCTCAAAGCAGCATATGGCCAATTAGTACAAAGATTTGCACTAACAGGCCTTGCAACACTCAACCGCAGAGTATTTACCAAGCTCTATATTGAAGCACGTCAAACTACATTTACTGAGCGAAATATTCGTGCTGGATGGCATCGTACAGGAATTTGGCCTCTAAATAAGCAAAAACTACTCAATGACCCTGAAATTCGAAATTTTGGACGTACTACGCCTGAGTATCAACCCCCAGCTACGTCAGATGGTCTCTATAGCACTCCAAAGCAGAGTGACAATTTACGCGCACTAATTCGTCAAATTGAGGCCAAAACAACGCCTCAAACAAGACGCGCTGTACGAAAGCTTGGCCACAGCGCTATTCAAGAGCATACTGGCGCTCAATTGCTTCGAACGCAGCTCCGAGAGCTACGTCAATTGGCTTTGAAGCAAGAGCTTACCAAACGCTCAAAAAGGATACAAAAAGAGACAAAGCAGCGGTCGTGGAATCTCGAACAGGTCAGGGCTGCTCTAGCGCCTAAAAAGGTCCATTTCGTACGCAAGGAGGGCGGCGAAAAGCGAATTCTGCGTACTGTTACATTAGAATAGGCCTATAGAAGCTATTTCTATCGAAATTAGCCAATTTGAATGAGTATAGCAGCTCTAATGCAGTAGAATTTGGTGTTGTTGCTAACCCGAAATTGGCCCGCTTTGTGAGGTGGCCCGCTTTGTGAGGTGGCTCGCTTTGTGGTGTTGGGCGTTAGAGTAACAGAGGCTATATATCTTGTATCTCTTGCTAGCGGCCTTCGTATTCATCTGAATTGTATGCTTTGAACGACCTTTGAAACTAATTAATTGCTTATTAATTAAGAGACCTTGTGATAATTGATAACTATATCTCTTTTGTTATTAATTTATGAAATCTTGTAGCAAAAGGCTTAACTTTCTGATATTATTAATAATTAGCAATAAGTTCTAGTCTATTAATTTTGAGATATCTTGTAATTTGCTAAAAGCGTTGTCAAGAGATGTATTCAGCAACTAGCTAAGTTGGCTAGTTATTATTCTGATTCTAATAATATAGAACGTCTCTGCTACCTGATTAAACGGTAATTAGAAGTATCGTACTGATATAGCCTCTAATATCTGTGAGATAGTGATCCAACTTCACAAAAGAGTTACGCCCAAGTAACCAAAGTTACTTGAATGCAGTTGGAATAGTATATTAATCCTTATCCAAATGCCCTAGAGAGAGTCGGACCACGACTCCATCTAGGCCCCAGGAGGCCTCCATGTCAACTCCGTGACAATCTGTAGCTATTACATCTCTTTATACTTGCTGATTCTGTCTAAATTCTTTCGATTGTTCGTTAAGAGTTATTTGTTGGTATACTCTATAATCTGCGTAAATAGTTGTAGAACCTAAAAATATAGTCTGCGCTTATTTTGTTACGTGTGTCACTAGCGTTTTGTTATAGATTTGATACGCGTTTTGCATCAGCCACGCATGTATTTTTAGTATCTGCGTTTCGTGCTATTTCGCTTGATATAGCAACTTTGTACGTATAAATGCGCGCTCCTTATACTGAATTAGATAGAACAACTTGCTATTTCTATACTGATCCGTCGATTAGTCAGCACAGTTCATCAATAGTTCTTTCGGAATAAATCAATAAAATAGATCAATTAGCGTATATTTATACGGAGGTAGTAAAACTCGGCCTAGCGTAGACGGTTTCAGAACATTCAGCTTTTGAGGATAGAGACAAGGAGGGCTAATGACTTTGCGAAGGATTTGTAGCTTTTCTGACTTATTTCGAGTTGATTCAACTTGGTATTGCCACTCTTCCTTCTTTTCTCTACTCTGTGAGTTTATATTAACTCTTTTAGAGCTGTTTTGGCTGCTTGATAGCTGTCGTAGTTTTCGTTCGAATGCGAGGAGCTCAAAATCGGGGAATTCTGTACGTGTGTAGACTGTGCCGCAGCTGCGGTAGACTCTGAGGAAAGTACTTTGAATGGCTGATTTTGAGCTTGATTTTCGCGGGCTTTTCGACTCTGAATTCGAGCTCTCTTTGGCCTAGGAAGGTCTTTAGCTAATGGAGCAGCTTCTATAGTATCTAGAGGCCCTGATATCTCTTCTTGGTGATGCTTTTGAGTCATTGAGTTCTTGATATCTACTCTATTCATACTGGAATACCACAGCTATGGTGTTGTACCGCAAAAAATTAAGGTTTAAGGATGCGGGCGCTAAAAGCGGCTAGTGCTGAATTTGGACCAATTAAATAAATGTCCCATTTTATGGCCATTTGGTGGATACAGATTTCGTGAAGCGCCAGATCGAACCACAGTATCTTTCTCCTCCAGGAATTGCCACAATATCGGGTGCTGCTGTCATTACACATGATTTTCATTGATCTATCTACATTTTATCTAGTTATTGTGGAAAGACAAAACTCCAATTTGCGATGCTGTCAAATAAGGATGAACGCATGAATCAGGCGACGCCCTTCCACTATTCGTCGTCCACCAGTCTCCTATCCTGCCAGGATTTTCGTGCCAGCTTATACAGGGTATCAAAATCACCGCTAGTCTCACACATCGCCCTGAAAGAGCCCTCTTCCCTTTTGATTAAGTCCCAAGGATCGTCAAATTCGGCGACCTTCCCTTTCTCCAGGACCAGCACCTTGTCATAGTCAATGATAGTCTGCAATCGGTGCGCAATGGTGATTATGGTGTGGGTTTTCAATTCCCGTAGAGTGTCTTGAATTTTGGCATCGGTTGCATAGTCAATTGAAGCGGTAGCCTCATCCATAATCAAGACCTTCGGCGACTTGAGTAACGCACGAGCAAGGCAGAGCAGCTGTCGCTGTCCCTGCGAAAGATTATTTCCAGACTCGCTAACATTCGATGAAAGATCATGGAAGATATTCTTGTTCTCGCGGGTGTTGCTGACAAACCTGACAAGGGTTGAGTCGGACAATTCCGACCCCAGAGTGCCAGTATGAGCAGCCGAGATGGCATTCAACGTTGGAGCAGCGCTGGACATCGTTGGAGATGCTGAAGATGAAGCTGGGGACTCCGGTCTAATGGAGGAGATCAGCTGCACTCGCCGCAAGGCCGTGAAAATCTCTTCGTCTGTGAACAGTCCGAATGGATCTAGATTGGACCGGAGCGTTCCTGCAAAAAGCGTTGGATCTTGCGGCACAATCGTAATCGCCTCTCGTAGATCTTGCAAACCGATGAGACCAATGTCAACATCATCGATTAGAATCTTGCCGGCCTCAGCCTCAAGCCCCCTGAACAACGCCAGGGCAAGAGAGCTCTTTCCCGCTCCGGTCCTGCCGACAATGCCAACCTTTTCGCTAGCTTTCACGTTGAAAGTAACGTTCTGCAGGACCGGCGCAAGATCAGCGCGATACCGAGTTGTGTAGCCGATGAATTGGACAGCTCCATGACTTGGCCAATTGGCAGCTGGCTTTGTTTCCGGGATATGTGCTCTAGCCTCCTGCTCGACTTCAACGTATTCTTTGACCCTCTCGACAGAATTCATGTTCTGCTCGTTCGCTCCGTACAACCTGACAAGCCAGAGGACGATCTCAGTGAACGTGATAGCATAGGACAATGACAGTCCTGCGGCTCCGGGATCGATGATGCCCGAGCTGCGCATGACGAAGACGCCAGCGGAAAATGCGACCAGAGCCCCTGCCAAGTCTGCGCGAACTGCCAGCCATCTGTTGGTAGCCCATAAGTAGATGAATGGTCTGTTGTGGGTATTCACGCGGTGATGATTTTCGCTGATAAAGCGCGACTCATCACCGTAAGCTCTGATCGTGACAACGCCACTCAGCGTTTCCCCAAATGCTTGATATAGGGGACTCCGCTGCACACTTTCAATTCTTTTTAGATCGCGGGATGAGTGTATGTAGAACATGGCAACAGCGAAATATATACAGGTGATAAAAAAGCCAGCGACAAGAAATCCAGGTGTAATGGCAGTTATAAGAATAACGATGGTGATCACTGACGCAAGACAACTGACCATGCCCATGGCAACAGGTGAGACCTCCTGGTCGACGGCTTCGATGTCTTTTGAGAAACGATTCATGAGTTGCCCCAAAGGAGTAGAGTCAAAGAACTTGAACTTTGCACGCATTATCGCTTCCAGGAGGCGCTCATGAAGACACCAGGAAGCATGCAGTGAGCCGGCAAAGAGAAGGATTTCCCTCGAGAAACATATCAGTACGTATGCGATTCCAATCAATGCATAGATCCCAAGGTAGTAAGAGACGTTGACATCCTGCGCTGAACCAGATATAGAGATTTCGTGCGATGAGGAGGGCGGCAACACGATACCAAAACGCCTAGAAATTGGGTTGTCTCTAAGGTTGACTGAAGGCTGCAGGCCAGCTGTCACAGAGTAGTGAACTGATGGCTTCGAGACATGGTAGGCATTGGCCCACTGGCGGATCCATACATTGGTTGCAACAGATCCAATTTGCGTAGCGGCAAATGCTGCAAGAGCCGCAATCCAAAAATACCAGGGACCCATCGCTTTCATGTACATCTTAATGGTTGCTGTTTTCACACTTCCCTCGGCTTTTGATTCAATCCTTGAAGGAACCTCGATCTTCTTGCCATGTTTGGATGTGCCCTGCATGTCAATATGACCGTTGGCAGCACCATTGGGTACATCTTGGGCGCTTGAGAGATTCGTCAACATTGCCTCAAGATTGGACGCGACTCGAGAGGGCGTTCCAGAGGTGCCGCGTGACGCAGGTCTGGATCTGGAGATCTCCTCCCCAAGTACACCACTCTGAATGACTGTATCTGGGGGACCTTGAGCTGCAATCTTGCCATTATCGAGCACAACAACATAACTAGAACTGGGAAGAGCCAGGGAAATATTGTGGGTAACCAATATGCAAGTTCGGTCTTGCATCATATCACCCTGGATAGCATTCTCGAAGATGTGCCTTGCAGTATGAGAGTCAACGGCACTAAGACAATCGTCAAGGAGCACATGCCGTGCATTGGAATATAACGCCCGAGCCAACGAGATTCTTTGTTTCTGACCTCCTGATAGCGCGATTCCCTTTTCACCGACCAGTGTCTGGTCACCAGCGTCTAAGATTTCTAGGTCTCTTTCGAGAGCGCATGCAGCGATTACACTCTGGTAGCGGGTCGAGTCAAATGCGGAGGCGAATAGAATATTTTCCTTAATTGTATCGTTTACTAGCCACGCTTGCTGCGCACAAAAGGCAACACTTTCGGTAAGGCCTGTCCTCGGATCAGGTCGCAGAGTCTGTCGAATACTTCCGCCCGGGATATGAACGCGTCCATTCAGGAGCTTCATTTCACCGAGAAGAGCCATCAGAAGCGACGTCTTGCCAGAACCTGTAGGGCCGGCTATCACGTTAAGTCGTCCTGGCTCGAAGCTCACATCAACGTTGATCAAGTGAAACGCTCCCGCAGTGCAGACCTTGCTGCTAGTCTCCGCACCAGCAGTCCAGCTTAGGGTTGCATGTTCTAGGGCAATTCTTGGTGTTTCCTCGTTCGCTAATCTCGACTGACGGAGCTGGACATACTTTTCGGTCTCTTCTTCACTCAAGAACTGTTCGACACGATCGACTGACACTTTGGCTTCTTGGACGTGTGCGATCATGTCTGCAAGTTGATCCAAGGGCACTCGGAGCAGGGCAAACATTGAAAGTGCTGGGAACGCGACTGACGGTACGAGACTCTTCTTCTCCACCACAGTGTAGATGAAAAAAGATGCAAAAGTCGTCAGAATTGGCACACCACTCCATATCATGGCAGCGGACGCCCACAATATGTACTTGTTACGCAAGGCCTTCAACTCGGTCCTGCGCTTGTCGCTCACCTTAGCCGAGAAACGCCGCTCCCATGCAAAATACTTAATGATTCGAATGTTTTGAAGAACCTCATTCGTAGAGTGGATACGAGCATCAGTTGATGCCATGATCTTCTTTTGAGCTCGCTGAAAGGATCTGGCTATGAAGAAATTCAGAGGCATGATAAACACCATGATGCATATTCCTGCGAGAGAGCTCCTTCCCAAGATCCTATAGACCAGAACCACAGCAAGTATGATCTGCACCGGAACGCTGGCCCACAAGAAGTGGAGATACGCACCAACCTCGCTGACTTTGAAGGAATCAATTGACATTAGGTTGATTATAGTCCCGTTGTTCGCCTGAGTATCAGAAGGAGATCTGTCGACATTAACATCCTTACCCACGTCTTGAGTCTTCCGTCGAGAAATAGACAAAAATTTTCGCTTCATTCTCTTCGCGGAAGGGATGGGAGTTTGACCTTTTTTGTCTTGCCCAAGCTCAGTTTCAGCAGACGCAGCAGCTCTCCTTCTAAGAGCTTTGGAGTAGATCTCGCCGATGATGATGGCTCGGAGTTGTATGCAGACCCTCCGTCCAATCCACAGAGCTTGATTATCTCCAACCGTTTTGACAACACCTGAGATGAACAATAACATGACATAGAGCCACGCGGCGCTTGCTGGAGTCGCTGTAGGGTCTTCGAGATGCTCTAGTATCCCCTTCAGCAGCAAGGTCGGCAGAAAAGTAAAGAGATTGGCAAACATCGCCCAGATGCCTTGTATCAGCAATTTGCGTTTGAAGAACAGAAGAAGTCGAATGGCAAGGCTGTGGGTTTTCTTTATTTGTCGAAACTCAGATAGCACTGTTGCGGCTTTGTCTCTCATATGCAGATCCCAGACATCGCTCAGCTCCAGGGTCTTCTTGTAGCCACGCCATATTATCGCATCAACCCAACCGAACATCGCCAGGGATAAGAGGCTTGCGAGAGGTTCGCGAGAAGGTTCGAGGTTACCTTCGTGTTCCAGCAAAACAGTCTTGTTACCCTTTCTCGAGAGCAATACAATTAAGAGAAGGGCAGTAGAGAGGGCAAATCCAATCACAGTGGCGACCCGTGTAGTGCTTGACACCACTTCTGGGTGAACGAGCACAGAGCGAAAGCGAACAAAATCGACCAACCACTGTGGCACATACAGAAACGCGCTGTGTGCCCATAGCTTTAGCGAAGACAAACGCCACTTTTTAGTCGATAGGAACAATCGAGTGGCTGCAAGCAGAAGGAGGTAGGACCAAATAGCCACATCCCCATAGGGTCCATGTGAAGGAGGCATATGTGGCGAAAGTACCCCAATGACACTGACAATGACCTGCCCTAGAAGAGCCACGACCTCGGCAACAACGAATACCACTTCGCCGGCGGGTTCGTCAATTTCTCGGACAGAAGTGACTGTTCGACTGAGAGTATTTTGCAAGGTCAGCTCCGCTACGCTGTCGTCATCCCTGCCCGATTCTTCATTCTCCAACACATCCTCAATGTTGATGGGCTTGTATATAGACAATCGCTTCGTGTGCCGGAGCTGATAACCCGCTTGATAAAGGAGCAGAAGCAATGAGATAGCACATGCTAGGAGAGGGAAAAGCGTTTGAAGAAAGCTACCCCACATTAGTCAAGCTGGGTCTCTGATAATTCTCCGATCATACGCACTCCCTTTGAAAGCATTGATCAAAGTCATCACGAGACCAAATGACCTTACAGTGGGCAAACATTATTATCGCATGGAACAAAATGAGGGGTGGTCGATAAGGTGGTGACGCAACAATGGTGGAAACATCGCTTAGTACCCTTTATACCTGTAAGAGCATATGCGAGGTCGGGGCTTTGTAACGGCGTTTACGAGGGGAGGCGCGACGACCGGAAAGTACACATGTTTGTCATTGTTTTTGATGGCGAAAACGAAAGATTTGGGGTGACAACGGCGGCTGGAGCGGCACTGTACCACCACGGCAGGAAATCGAGCCCTGAGAAAAAGCTTAATCATAGACTCTCCAATGCAAACTTTTGTGATTACGGAGTATCGACATGTCAACTTTAATAGACGCCACAATTATGTTGGTTTGACCCTCACGTGGATCGATTCCGGGTGGGTGGCTGCTGCTGTCCGACCCTCGGTGATGACATGTCACAATAGTAAACACCGGACTGCCTAAACCATCGATGTCATGAGAGTCTCTGCTCATACTGCACGTTCTTCTCCACACAATTATTCGACCCATTTGATCACTTTCTCCAGCAATCTTAGAGAAAGAGTAGGTAGTTTTGCTGCAACGACATTTTATGGGACAATGAGTCTGGGGATCTCGAAACACAATTAACTGCTAGGCTGAGCAGCTTTGAACAACACCAAAACGTTATGGCTGTGAGGCTACTCACGGCACATGAGCACCTGAACCTGCGGACCTGACTCTTGACTATCGTGACGATTTCTTTGCCGCAAGAAATAAAATTGACCGGTGCATCGATCTGTTGCTACCTGGCTTCTTCTTCGTCCCTCTCCACCAACATCTCAGCACCGACGGCCCCTCCTGTTTTACCCTCACAATGTCTCAGGCAATGTTGATGAAGGAGTACAAAGATCTTTCAAAGGAGAAATGGTTGAAGATCGAGGTCAGCGCGGTTTCCTCTGACCTATAGCAAGACCTAACATCCTGTAGCTTGATGACGAGAACATTTATCGCTGGAACATTGCTTTGATCATTTTGAACCCTGACTCTTTGTACTATGGAGGATACTTCAAGGCCATCATGACCTTTCCGAAAGACTATCCATACATACCACCAGGTACGTGCTGATCTTCTCGAGATGACACAATTGAGGCTAACATACTGATTTAGACTTCAAGTTTATCCGCCCCCTCTTTCACCCTAACATATACGAAGACGGCAAGCTTTGCATTTCCATCTTGCACGCTCCAGGAGAAGATGTCATGTCTGGCGAGCTGGCCTCGGAGCGTTGGACCCCCGTACAGCGTACCGAGTCGGTTCTTATCTCCATCCTGTCTCTGCTTGACGATGCTGAAGTCTCTTCGCCTGCCAATGTGGACGCTGGGATCATGCTACGGAAAGAGCCCGAGAAGTACAAGGCTAGGGTTAGGGAAGAGGTTGAGGCATCCAAGAAGGATATACCTGAAGGCTTCGTGATGCCGACACATGAATCAACCAAGCCTCCTGTCATCGAGAAGTACGACGATGATTTCTGGGCAGATAGTGATGCAGACAACTCTTTTGGCGGAAGTGACTCGGACGCAGAAATCAACCACGATGACGATGACGACGACGACGATGAAGACGAAGACGAAGACTATATGAAGGGAGAAGAGAGTGCCCAAGGTGACAGGACTCCACTGGGCGAAGAGGTCGAGGATTCCGAAATGACTGACCACGAGCAAATCTGAGCTTGGCGATATCTTGGGTGGTCCACAATTTCGTGATGCAGGCCTCGCCACCAAGTCATTGCACCATTCTCAGGCAGAATTTTGTCGAATGTGCATGGCAAATATTTGAGCATGGGATCCTGCGGAGACTCGACTCTGGCATTAGTGTTGACTCTAAATTTCGTCTTTAGCGAGGAGTTCGGAGCCTTCAAGATCTGTTTTGCAACCTTGCAACAACTCGTATTACTATGAACCGTGACACTTTCCACGTAGATCCCCAAGACACATCTTAATAATAACGCATGAAGTCATTTCGATCATTCCGTGTGGGACGGGGACATTGCCAAGCTTTAGAAAGGGGAATTTGAAGATGGTGAGGCGGTATAGCGGCCCACCTTTCGGTACTGTAAAGCATTATTTCTACCTAACTTCGCAGCAGCGGCGCCTCTGGCCGTGGCTAAGTTATACATTTCGGTTGACCCCGAGATGTTTGAATGATATCCAGTCAGCGGTTTCTGCTGCAAAGAGGCCGTGTAGCAAGTAAGGTACGTCCCGCTGGGTCCTGTAACCGGTCTTGAAGATTCCTCAAGGTCTCTCAGAGTGCTGGCTGATAGTTGCTAGAATTTACGACCAACGCTCCCTTTAGCCCTTCGATCGTTGCGCATCTATCCCTGCGAGGCAAAGGCCAAATTACGAAGGCTCATGTCCTACAGACCAAGTTATCCCGAGTCATGGAGGCCGCCACCACAGTGCGATAGTTGGCGCCCCTCCACACAGCCGCCCAACTGCGAGGCAGATAGACCTTGGTCCAACACTCGTAAGAGATATGGGGGAGAAGATCCGCCTCTCATGGTACGCCACCTGCCCTTTACTAGGGGAGACTCATGGAGACCTTACACGCAAGAAAGACATACATTACCAAAACGAGAAGAGGGCCATGATCACGGTGGTAAAAATGCCGCAGCTCGGACTACGTCCTACCGGTCACTTGGATCTCCACGCCAAACCTTCAGTCTTCCTACTAGGCAAGCGATCTCAGCTTCTGGCCGTCCTCAGTCGTATCTCGATCCTTCAGTGACAGACTTTCAGCCAGGCGATATTCGCCCAAATTCCAATTTCAACCATGCAGCTCCTGCACCACTGAGGTCAGTGCAGAACCTCGCTCGGTATTCTCCATATCGAGTTAACAAGCCCTACAGGTCGGCAGAGCCTTCGAGTAATCCTACCAGCAGGGTTGGTGAAGATAACCTCGACATACTAAAACAAAACACTTCTCCATCACATCGATATGCTTTACGATCAAGGCGGTCAGATGAGGCCCCCCTGACTGCACTTGACGACGTCAGAATACCGTCTGATCAGTTCCATCAGATTATCTCACAGAACGGGCGGGGTCCCACCAGATCATCCGCTATCCTAGCCCAACACGCAAAGCACAGGCAAACAAAACCGCAACAGATCCACCCACCCCCGGCACCAACAGCAACGGATCTCTACCTTGCCCAAGCTCGCCTCCCAGTGATACGGTGCGCGGCTCCAAAGAAGCTTCTTGTTGTACTGGACCTCAACGGAACGCTACTTGTGAGGCCCAACCGGATGAAATCTCGTGAGTTTAACATCCGTCCTGGAGTGCATCAATTCCTGGATTATCTATTCGACCATCATCTCGTCATGATTTATAGCTCCGCTCGACCAGAAAATGTGGAAGCAATGGTGGACGCGCTCGTCAGCAAGAAACGTGCGAAGGCTTTAGCAGCAATCTGGGGCAGAGACAAGCTCGGACTGACACCTGAACAATATAACGAAAAGGTTCAGGTCTACAAAAAGCTCGATAAGGTGTGGGAAGACGACCGAATACAGGCTACATGCCCAGGCAAGCAACCCTGGAACCAAACTAACACTGTTCTTGTTGACGACAGTCATCTAAAGGCGTTATCTCATCCACATAACCTGATCCAGGTGACCGAATTCACCAAGAAGAAACTCGACCCGCAAGAAAGAAAGAGAGAACAGGAAGTTGTGGCCTCTGTAAGGGCGAAACTAGAAGAACTGAAATGGACGCTTGATGTGAGCCGACATATCTTGCGCTGGCAGACAGGCCAGATGGAGCCACCGCTTGCGACTAAATTGAGCCCCTTGCCCAAATCTGGAGAAGAAGGGATGCGTACACAGCCCAGTCAGTCGGCCAACATTGTTGGCGATAGTGGTGAGATTCCTGACGAGGCCATCGTTCAGGAAGGTCTGGAGAAGGATATGGAGAATCTGACCACAAACACTAGCTCGAAGGACGATAATGGTCACATGAACGAGCCCGCGATCTCCGCCAATGAATGGAAAGAATTCCTAAAATGAAACACTTCAAATGCCTGTCCAACCCGGTTGGTACCATTGTATGCACCGCGGAACCAACAGGTCATGTGCCAGCGAGGAAGAAGCTACCCCTCGAAGCTGAGCCGAGAATGCCTATATGTACAGTGCTACGTCTTGGAGGGAAGAGATCCTGCTCACACGTTGCTGGGCGGAATTGCTAGACTCGAAACGGTTCAGAAACGGGTTAAATAAACGTTGGGTTGCTTGGGTTGAAGGATGCGAGATTGCTTGGACTGCAATCGGATGATAAGCACTGGATATCCAGCTTGGGTGAAAGAAAGGGCCCTGCTGCACCTAGCTAGACCACAACGCTCGCGCTTTGTGTGTGAGAGAGAGCTAGGAATCGTGTCCACAAGAAGATTAGCCCCCCGGGTCACGATTGACCATTGAGTCCAAAAAAGACCATTGGATCATACATGGCGAAAGGACCCGCCATTCCAACTCTTCATCCTAATTCGTTTCTTTCCCTTCCTCTAGGACACATGAGGTTGGTCTCCGCGAAACTGGTTGACCTGGTACCCTCCTAGGCGTCCTGCTCCTCTGATTTGCAAGGGTACTACCGTGTTGAGCGTAAAGGTATTGCGTTTGAACACCCAGGCAGACCTCCTCACTACCACGGATAGAGAGTACCCCGAGACCGCGGCAACGAGCTCTCATCAGCTTTATCAGTAGCAGTATGACTTCAAGCCATAAATACCAGATGTGCCAATCACGTTCACGCTACTCATGCCCTGCCATGATATTTCCACCACCATCGCCTATGAAATATAAACCTTCTTAACCTCCTCCCACTTAAACACCTCCCCGGTAGTCGGATCTCTCACATCGGCCCCGCTCACCTCCCCAGCCCCACCTACCAGCTTCCTCTGCAGATCTTCCAACCTCGCCCTCCCATATATCCGTCCATTTGGCAGCACGATCGGGTCGCTCTCCACATAGCTCTTGGTGTGATGCGCGTAGGGGACGTTACGCGCTAGTTCATTGAGCTCGGTGGAGCAGATCGGGCAGACCTTTGTGGTGGTGGAGTGCGAGTTGGAGGATGAGGAGGCGTAGGCGGAGTGGCAGGCGGGGGTTTTGAGAGCGGAAAGGCCGGCTGAGAGGGCGATGTGAAGGAGGGGTCGGGTGGGAAGTGAGATTAGGGTGTGGTGGGTTGAGATGAAGAGGGTGGAGAGGTGGTGCCAGCGGGCGTGGGAGTACATTTCCTATAGTGGTAGAGAAGAATCAATAGGTGGTTGAGAGGAAAAGAGGGCCGGAGCTACCTTGTATGCCTCTGGCATGGCGTCGAAGTTCTCGGGCGAGTAGGCGAGCAGAGCACTTGCTCTGCAGATCTCCTCGTTGTGGGTTGCTTGGTATGGGACGAGATATTTTCGGGCGTGCAGCGTTGCTTCGAGAACTTTGGCCGGAACCCGACTTCTGATCATCTCGATGTACTGCTGCAGCCGGAGCTCGAACTCGAGGTTGTTTTGCTGCACCCACCGATCAGTCAAAAAAGCCCCAACACGCCAGGACACAAGAATGGTCTTACTCCAAGTTTCTTCAAAGTCGTCCTGTTCTCTGAACACCATATGAGGGCCTCTTTCGTCTCTCCGTGGTTCAGGCTGTCGGCGATCTTCTGACACTGCACGAATACATCCAAGTCTACTAAATCCTCAATACCCTTCTCCTTGGCGAGCCTCTCTCCTGACTTCGAGTAGCCCGCGCGAAGCAGGTAGTCGACGAGTAGTCTGTCCAAGCGTATTCTGGACCACTCATCATATTTGACATCTGCTAGACTGGGTATGTCGTAAAGATCTTGCAGATGCTGTATCCTCTTTTTCGTTTGAGCCTGGATGGCCTGCTCTTCGTCGTGCAGGGTCTGTAATTTCCTCTTGAAGTTCTGCATCCGAGAGATCATGGCATCAAGCGAGGCGAGAGTCTGCTCGGGAGTGGTGGCGGAAGCGAGTGATGCGTTTGCCGAGTCTTTGAGGGCGGGAAGAAGGTATTCCTTCTCTCGCTCGACATACCTTTGACTTGTCTTGAAATTGCGCCGGACGAGTTCGTGGGGGAGTCTGAGAAGCGGTTGATCCTGTCAGCATCTGTCAGCCAAGCCTCTTTTCAATGAGAATGAGATGGTACTGACAAGTAGGAGGTGGCTTTCAGCGTTGAGCTTCGTTGTTGTAAGCTCAGCAGCCATAGTAGTAGATGAAGACTTGGGAGGCCTCTACAAATTAGGTGTGACTAGATAGCGGAAAGATGGGTTGACTTTCAATACATCTCGACCACAAGCCTTTTTCGGCGTCTGTTGACAGTCTTAGTAGGCAGTTCTTGGTAAGTGTAAACGTGACACGCAGTCTTCTGATATCTAACAGACCACTCCCTAGTACTTACGTAGTATGCATGTGGTTGCGTAAATCTCGGCCGCGGTCCGCACAGCCGAAGTCACATGCCGAGCCACATCAACGGCTGACTGCAGGAAAACCACCCGGGTCGACCACTCTGTCTGGTGAATAGTCTGCACGCCAGGATGGATGTTGAAATACATGGTCAGCTTGACTTGACCGCCATGTGAGCTTCCATCCTTTGTAGAAGATGCAACCATCATGGTGTGTACTCTCGCTCCTGTTGTCACAGAAAGTCCCCACTCCAGACGCGGCGGAGAGAAGCTTTGAAAAGCACTACACGAAGTACTACTGACTCAACAACAGACGAAGGCATGTCTTGGGGTCGAGAAGCCTCTTCTTCTGTGCCAATGGAAAGCCTTTTGCAGGTGCGAGAATTATTGCAGCCCAAGTACGCCTCTAAACCACTCTCCATGTCGTCACAAGCCTGTAGTAACTTGGTTCATGCTACGGAGGTGCGCTCGGGGGCAAGAACTTCCAGCTTTCTCTAGTTGAAATGAAAGACATGTATGGTCGGTCCGGGTAGGCACCATGGCCATGTATTTCTCTTTGTTTGCCGGGTAATTGCGCCTGGGACTCAGCTTGCAAAAGTAGGTGGATGGAGTGAAGGAAACTGTTTCTGTGAAGACTACCTATCTTCAAACCATCGTGTCACGCTCATTCTCCTGTCTCTATCTGAAATATATGAGCGGTAGTTTCAGCCAGGAAGAATGCTGACGGATTGCATTTTATATCTGGATGGGCTTCCGCTTCAAGCTGGCTGAACACCGTTTTGATGCACTGATTCTCTCATCTCTCCCTCCTGAGTGAACGCTATCTCATCGCGGCCGCCTCGCTACTCCCAACTCGAACGAACTCCCCGTTTCCTTGCCGCATGAAGAACTGAGACTGCTCGGTGAAAGCGGCTGTGTTCAATCTTGCTTGCACTTTTCTCCTTCTTCGTATCATGGAAGGCCGTGCAGTTGTGGAAGTGGGCCAGCGCCCAGTATATATCTACAATGGAGTGACGGATCTCAGAGAGCTCAAAGACATCAGCCTCAACGGCGCAAGCCTTTTCTTCAATGGCACGTTCTCTGTTGATGGGCTGCGACACGTCAATTTGCAAGGCGCCCATGTATTTTTCAATGGAAAGCTTCAAGTGAGATACTTTTGACTACCCGCGACTTTGCTAATAGTGGACAGTCAGGGGTGACGAGAGGAGTCTCCCAAGACGCCGTTGCTACTACAGTGTCATCCCCACTTTCTAAAAGCGATGGTCAAGTGGAGGCATCTTCTCATGATGGCAGCCGGAATAGCTCGCCGCACGTCGATCCTGCAGTACGTAGGCCTTCCAAAGCCTTAGATTCTGGTAGGATGGAATGCTCGAGTGAAAGAACAGACTCGAAGCCTACTTCGGCAGGAATGGATCATCTAAACCCAAAAGATGCAGAAATTCGTCCACTTCACAATGAGCATCCCACTTCTGAGCGAATAGAGTCCGTGACGAGGTCTGGCAATTCTTTGTCACACAACGCGAATCTTACACCTTTTGGGCTCAATCAAAAGGTCGCGGGTAGGCAGCAAACACGGACTTCCGGGGAGGCGGTTGACCGCTCAATGCCACCTGCTCGCAGTGTCCGGTTCAATGTGCCAGCCGTTTTACCAACCCCTGTGCCAAGTCTTCCCCTGAAACATATGCAATGCACCAATCCTAGCCCTCGACGCAGGGGTTCGATATCCGAGACCGTGCATAAATCCACCTCTCACACCTCTGTTTTCAACCGACCGTGGGAACATGATCGAGCGGATGTTCACCTCAAGCTCCCACCTCAGAAGCGACCTTCAGATCAAGACATTTGGAATAGCTCGAAAGAGGAGAAGAAGCCAAGGCTGGAGAAACATAACGGCTTTGACCTCGACAAGCAGACAAACAAGCTGATTCAAGAGGAGGTTGTTCAACGGAGTAAGCGAGCGAAACAACTATCGGACAACGACAATGGTCATGACGCCACAGCTGAACACGAAAAGATACGTAAATTGTCGACTCAGCGAAACGAGATGCGGTCCCAGTTACTGGGCAAACCACATCGGCCACTGTTAGCATCAACCATTCCTTCTGGCCCCACTAGAGATAGGCTAGCAGTGAATGTTCCTCAGCAGATGCCTAGGCTGCCCCAGAGCTCACCCCTCAATAACGTAATCAACTCGGCAACACTCAACGAGGAAATTGTTCAGACAAGAATCAGGTTCAACCTTGCCCAAAAAGATTTAATTGATGAGAGGGCTAGACGAGGAACGGCGTCCAAGGCACTTTCAGCTCAGGTGACAGCTTTGAATAAGAAGCTTGCGAAATTGCACAGAAAACGAACTGAGATCAACGACGATACAGATCGGATGAACGCATTTCGGAGATGTGATCTAGAAGGGTACAGGCTTGATGTTGGAGCATTGATACAGACCACACCCAAGAGTCCACCAGTCTGTCCACTCTCTCCTTCCGACAGCGAATGGAAGAATCGTCTAAGCTTGTGCTACGAAGCTCTTGAGAGGACAAAGCTTGAAAATATTGAGGTCAAGGTTGCAAAGAGGGAATTGGGGACGTTGTCTGGGGAAGAAAACCCGGTGATCAAGCAGGAGAAATGCGACCAGAACATTTTGTGGAGGGTCGAAGCAGCTGGGGATAAGGTCTTCCCGATGCCATCACGGCGTCAGGTGCATTTCGCCCTCACTGACATAGAGACGTGTCTCTAAGCAGCTCTTATGGTCGAATAAAAGCAGCAGTACGAAGAGGCTGACACATCGCCCGCAGACTAGCGCTCATGCCGCTGCTTCAGCCAAGCGATGCAGCTCAAGACTCCTTTACATAACATGTGAGCTATCAAGATATATTATGCTTGTGTGCAGCAATGATGCAGAACGACATGGAGCATCTCCTGCTCGTATTTTTGACTTTCCTAACTACACTGAGATCCTATGAGTAAGCCTGAGGATCGGTTTTTCGGAGTGAACAACTGTCCGAGCCTGACAGGACGGCAACTCGGAATCCTCTATCATGCTCATCCCCAGCGTCCTGTAATGGGCTGGTTCGTATTCTGGCGTCCGCTCCAATCAAACTCTTTGTAGGATACGCGTAAAATGTGGGCACTGGCAGTAGGTGGATGCTACGTCGTAAGCACCTAACTAGATAAGGGTTGGTTGAGGCGCTAACCCTTGCGTCGATGGTGGCAGTCTCGGTTTAGATTTTGTCCCTGAACGTCCTGTGATGGGGCTTCGGGCTGATTTGTATCTTGGCATCTGCTGTAACCTAACGCTCTATTGAAGGACCAGCTTATAAGTGTGGCATTGGCAGCGGCACAGGCGGGTGGATAAGCCTGGAATTACTGACAAAGGCTTACATAGGCAATGAGGGGTAGACAACCATTCAAGCTGTCAGGTACAGTCTCCTATGTTGAGGTACAAAACGTCGTCACATCACCGGCAGTAATTCATTCTCGAAGCTCTTCAAGTGTCCATATTTCTCTTATCTTTTGACTACGATAGCCATTCCGATTCAGTAAACATTTTCTCGATCTAACAACTGTTCGCGAGTCTTCCTCCCTGTTGTCCATACAATGGCTCCATCGAAGTTATTCACCGTGTTCGGTGCCACGGGCAATCAGGGTGGGAGTGTTATTGCGAGTGTGCTTTCAAACCCTCAACTCTCTTCCGAGTATAAGTTACGGGGCATCACACGCGACCCTTCCAAGCCCAATGCAAAGAAGCTCAGTGAAAAGGGTGTGGAGATGGTGTCCGCTGACATGAATGACCCTGATGCCCTCCGGAAAGCCATCTCCGGCTCTTCCGCCGTCTTCTGCGTCACGAACTATTGGGAAAGCATGTCCAAGGAGACAGAGGTGAAGCAGGGTAAAAACGTCGCGGACATCTCCAAAGAGGCTGGCGTGAAGCATCTGATCTGGTCCAGCTTGCCACACGCCATCAAGCTGACCAATGGCGAGCTCAGTCACATTGAACACTTCGATGGGAAGGCCGAGGTTGAAGAGTATATTGAAAGCATCAAGCCCGGTAGTGGCATGGTGGCCAGTTACTGGAGACCGGGTTTCTTCATGTCAAACATCAAGGGAATGATTCAACCGGATCAGTCGACAGGGTTGGCGACCTGGAAGATGCCGTTCAATGCCGAGAAGACCCAGGTTGGGATGCTTGCCGTGGTGGAGGATACGGGCAAGTTTGTTGCCGGGCTCCTGCTCGCCGACCCTAAATCTGTCGACGGATTCCAGGTCAATGGTGTATCCGAGTGGATGACGCCCAAGCAGATTGTCGATACTCTCAGCGAAACAAGCGGCACGAAGGTGGAGTTTCAGGAGATCTCAGGTGATGAGTACGAGAGCTATCTTCCACCACCCATTGCCAAAGAGTTGAAAGAAAACATGCTGCTCGTCAGGGATTACAGTTACTTTGGAAAAGGCACGGAGAAGACGCAGGCGGAGAGCAATAAGATCCTAGGCGACATGAAGTTGACCTCTTGGCAGGAATTTGTCAAGCACAATGGTCCTTGGGAGTGGAAATAAGGTGGGCAGTAAACTCGATAAGCCCAGACAAGATAGCAGGTATATGGAAATGAAACTGCCAAGTTAACCTCTCCATAACCCATGCAGACAGACTTCCTTAGCACAGCTCCAGAATGCCTGGTCTTCCAGAGCTTGATTCTTTGTAAGCTTGTTGATGATGAAGGGTCTGCTAAGGGGCGGAAATGATGTTAGTCTGGTGGTAATAGCGGGCTGGTTCTTGTTACGGGGACCTACTTTCGTGATTTGTTACTGTGAAGCTTGTTTTTAGGTACATTCATTCTGACGAGTTGTATCGTAACATGTAACTTCTTTTGGACATATCTGTCCCCCACGACTACAAGTAAAGAGCCTAGTTAGCGCTGAACTAACATGACTTCAGGCCTTCCCCAGAATCCGATCAGGGATCCCCACGGGGGTGACCGCTTTGGCCGCAAGGGGCAGCGTTCCTTCCAAACTTTTATCTCGAGAAGATATTGATTCCTAGCTAAGTAGCTATAATCCCAACGTCCCTTGCCAATGCACATAGCTCTGTACTCAGTGCCACCAAAAAGTCCGCGCTAGTAGCTAATATTTCATGAATTATTGACAGGTTCAAGCCTCACTGAGAAGCACCAGACGGCCATTATTTATGAAAGCATATATTCCTGTAGCGGAGCCTTCTCGGCACTGAGCAGGAAGAGGCCCTCGTAAAGTAATGATACGGTGTCATGGAAAGTGTACGTAGACTCAGCCTAACCGTAAAGATTGATTAGAGATTCCAAGATCTCAATATGGTGGAGGGAGCACCTCGATTAAAGGACACTGCACAGGTCTGGCTACCAGGCAGTACAGACACATTTCTTTTTGGCTTCATTCTACTCCTCGCTGTCTTCGTTCATCGTTTCGATTTGAGGGAAATATCGTTGCCTGAGAGGACGTCTACCGCGACATTGTTTCCCACTTCAGCACGTTGTCTCCCAATCAATAACATCCACGTTCGCTCAGCCTGGAGAAATGGCATCTTCTATCGCTGTATCCTGCCAACAGACTCGCTTTGACATATCAGACAGCACGGTCTTCACCGGTGTATGTTCAGCGTTCATTCATGTTGCCTCCCACCAAGAGAAACCTCCCAAACTCTCCACATCGTTTTCATTTCGGGTTCTTCCCATCAGAACTCTCCTTCTGTTGACAGTTCCTCTCTTTTCACCTTCGAGATACTTAGTTTAATTGAAGATATACTAATATCTCCTCCTTTCTTCTTTAACATATCGATTAGTTGGACATCAAAGGCCTCAACATCACAATTCAAGCCCCTGTCCCCTCTTCCGATAATATCGAAGCGTCCAAAGCAAAATCCGCCCGCAAAAAGGCGCTTGCAGACGGGATCGAAATCCTCAGCAATGCCGAATTGAAGCTCAACCCAGGCCTACGCTACGCCCTCACCGGGAAGAATGGATCTGGGAAATCCAGTATGTATGTTCGTTCGACAGACCAGTTGCAAGCCCGCCACCATTCCTTTTGGATACCTCTTTGCGGTTGTGTCCTAGCCGAATACAGGACGAATGCCTGATTTGGACTCACCTTTTTTTAGCCCTGCTCCGCTCCATAGCTCAAAAGCTCATTCCCGGGATCCCAAATTCGACTCGAATCTCAATCTTACAGCAAACATCTACCTCTGACCACCGGCACGCGGAGAATGAACCCTTCCTTGGAATCGACATTGGTGGCGATGACGGAAGGGAAAAGGATCGAGCTTCTCAAACTCCGCTTCAACGCGTCCTGTCCTCGGACTCGTTCCGTAACAACATCCTGCACGAGCACTCGATCCTCTCCACCGCCATCAACAGCACCGGAGACGACGCTTTGCCCCGATCCGAGCGCTTCGACTGATCTGCCTCCGTCGGCTGAAAGAACAAGTTCGACAAGCCGAGAAGAATGCGCGACTGCGAAGCGGCGCCCGCGGTCTCCAGGCACGCAAGGAGCTACGGCTCCTGGAGGAGAAGGTCGTAAATGCGGATGCGGAAGCGAGGATCACAACGCTAGCGGACATTGATGCGGTGGTGATCGCTGCCGAGACATCCGCCGCCCTCGACTTGTGGACAGATCTGCAGGGCCAGATAGAAAGCTATAGCGGCAATGCCGCCGCTGACGCGGAGAAGCGTGCCATCTCCATCCTGCGTGGGTTAGGATTCACGACCGAGGGGATGATGAAGAACAAGACATTTGCAGAGCTGAGCGGAGGCTGGCGGATGCGGTGTCTGCTCGCCGAGACCCTGTTCCAACCCTCCGACATGATGATCCTGGACGAACCAACCAATTTCCTCGATCTGCTCGGCATCGTGTGGTTGCAGCGCTACTTGCTGTTTGGGAACGACCTGGCTCAGGAAGACAAAGACACGACGCCAAGCAGGGTCGTGGTGGTGGTGAGCCACGATCGCCACTTCGTGGACAGCGTCTGCGACGAGACGATCGTCTTGAGGGATCAGACGCTCCTGACCTTCAAAGGTACGCCTTCAGCGTATGAGGCTGATCTCCGCTCGAGGATTTTACATCTGAGTAAAGTGAAGGAGGCGAACGATCGCCAGGTCAAAATGATGGAAAGGAGTATCGGTGAAAACTTGCGGGAGGGGAAGGCCAAAGGAAATGACAATAAGGTCAGGGCCGCGAAGAGCCGGCAGAAGAAGTTGGAGGAGAGGATGGGGTTGCAGGTCTCGGCTTCGGGCGGGAGGTTTAAGTTGAGTAGGGACAGGGTTGGGTTTCATGATAGTCTGAGGGATGAGATCGGGGTGCCGACCGAGGAGAGCGGAAGATCTATCGTGCTGCCTGGAGTAACTGGGTTGAGATTCCCAGGGTCGCTGGTTAGTCTGGAGGGGGTGGGGTTCCGGTAACAGAAGTCTATGCCACTGGTGTTGGAGGACATCAACTTGGTCGTGCATATGGGTGATCGCATTGGAATCGTGGGCTTGAACGGATGTGGCAAGACGACGCTCATCAAGCTCATCACTGACACGATCCGAGTCCCCCCGGCTTCAGGGACCATGACGAAACACCCCCAGTTGAAGCTAGGCTATTATTCCCAGCACGCTGTGGAGGATCTGCAACAACATGCAGACCCCAACTCAACCGCTCTATCTCTCATGACGCAACAAGTCGCCTCCGCCCTCTCAGAAGGCGACATCCGCGGCCTCCTGTCCAGTCTCGGACTACCAGGTCGCACCGCTTCCGATGTGCCCATCTCTAAACTGTCCGGTGGTCAACTGGTCAGACTAGCCCTCGCGAGAGTGATATGGAACTCGCCGAGCCTGCTGGTCCTGGACGAAATCACCACCCATCTGGACCACTATACCGTTTCTGCCCTTATTGATGCGCTGAGGGATTATGAGGGCGCAGTGCTGCTGGTTTCGCATGATCGATTTCTTGTTAGGGGTGTGGTCGAAGGGCAGGGTGGTAGTGGTGGTGGTGAATGCGAGGAAGAGGATATGGAGAGGGGAGGCTCAGGGGAGAAGGAAATTGAGAGGAGGAGGATTGTGTATCTATTGAAGGGTGGGAGGTTGAAGGTACTGAATGGGGGTGTGGAGGACTTTGAAAGGTCGCTGGAGAAGAAGTTGGAGAGTTTAAGTTTGTAGCACCTCAACGAGGAAGCCAAGTAAGGTTTAGGCATGCGTATGATGGAAGACTTGTTAGTGTTGGACAATTGCCGGGGAATGTATTTGGCGGATCTTCGTAGCGTTTCCGGGCAGAGAGCTACCAGGTGCATAATAAGCAGCAGCGTAGAAATATTCACTAGCCCCATCCGAGAATCATCTGTAGACGAATCTGTAGACGCAAACCATGTGTGGAAGTGGAAGTTGTGGACTGATGGGCAAAGCGGAGTGCTTCGCCACATTTTGCTCCAAAGGGTTTATGCTTGATTTTGAGGTCAGCCGTGTCGGTAAAGCCCTAGCCACAAGTCTATCAAGTAAATCTTTGCGGTGGTCTTGTATCACGTCTGTACCGGATGCTGTCATGGAAGAGCGCTTTCTCTGACTGTTGAGAACCGCTGCCGTCATTTGTAGTAAGATCTGTACAAGAGCAAGAGACGGGTAGCATGAGTAGTAAGATATCGACTTCGCTTCCCCCTTTGTTTTCCGAGCGGTGATCTTTGCGTTACCCCTCCCATCGTGTGAACAGCAGGTACAGCGAATGTCCGTTCCCTTACGAGGCCCCAGAGACTGGCGATGAATTCCTGTAGGCATACGGAGCAAAGTACGTCAGAGCTTGCCACTCGTCAGGGCCAATCTGGACTCGGTCGGTAGAAGCGAGGTGGTTTGGAAATGTAACCCCAACGCTTTTCGAGATGGCCGGGTACTAAGGAAGCATCATGGTGACCTTATACGGGTCGGGAAGTCCGATATCGCTGGAGCTTCCTACCTGTCATAACTCGTAGGCAGCCAAGTTTGGCTTAGCCGTCTTTGGAGCAAGATCTGAAGTCGCTCTTTGCGCTTTAACATCAGAATATCCGTGGCAGCTTCACTTGGTGTTGTTTACACAGATCGCTGGTTCTTGGCATAGCCGGCCAACCCCAGGTAAAGACGTGGTGGAAAGCTCATCCTGCTCGCCAGTGCAGGAGCCAAGGATCAAACGGAGTCGAAAATGCGGTCATTATAAACCAAGAAAGTGGACTTCAAAGAGTAGCGGAGATGCAAATACCGTCTCTGTTTGGATATTGAACCACATATGCAAAGATTGAGCACCTTCGACTTGGCTCACTTAGAATCCGAGTCAGCATAATCGGAGGACGATCGTGGTCATTCCGGGAAAAGCTTATACAAGCCTTCTCGTTTCAATCGTTTGGTGATTCACTTGACCGAACTCTAGTAGTCTGCGCTGCCTTCCCATACCACTCCTCAATCAAGCTTCCAATCTCCTTGAACTTTGTCGGTTTAGTCATGAAGAGGTCGACTCCGCTGGCAAAAGCATCTTCTTGATTGCGGCCATCAGCCAAGCCTGTCAGGGCAACGATTAGAGCTGGAGGTGGAGCAGCAGCCTCTCCCATTTCGGCCACTCGTTCTTTTTCTAGTTTTCGTATCTCACGGGTAGCTTGCAAGCCGTCCATGACAGGCATACTGACGTCCATGAAAATGAGATCATATCCTGAGTGGTTTTGTCGGGCTGCATTCACTGCTAAATGCCCGTTCTCTGCACTATCGTACGCTGGTTTGCGTTTGTGTCTTTTAACAAATGTCTCGAGGAGATTGAGGTTGATCTTGTTGTCGTCAACGAGAAGGAGGCGAGCGCAGTCCTTTCTAGCGACTGCTCTATGGTCAGAAATGTCCTCCTGCTTAGTCTGTGGTAGTAGGTTCTCCACCCCATCCGTCTGTGTCACGGAACTGGACTGGTCGCTTGTCCTACCCATATCTGATGCTTCAACCTTTTCATATTCTGTATGTGCACAGTTTGTAATCTCAGTGAGTCCGCGGACTGCTTGAATCGAATGAGGGTTAGGATTGATTGCATCAACATCTTGTGTCTTTCCGAATAGCGTTTTCTGACTTCGACCAGCTGCTGACGGAGTCTCTGCATCGTCTGACTCGGCCTGATTCAAGACACAGGCTCCAAATTTCCTTCTTGGGCTTTTCGATTGACTGGGAGTATTATCTGCATACGCAGCGACCGTTCTGGCTAATTTGCGAGGGCCGAACGGCGCAGTAATGGTTTCAAAACTCGAGAAGTTCCGAGCTAACCAATCCTCAGTTCCACCCTTTGTGAGATTATGAGGGAGAAGTGCAATAGCCTTCGAATCTTTCATGCTTTGGTCAATTTCAATAGCTGATATCTCGTCGGCAAGGAAGATGACATATTCTGCATATCCAGTTTCTTCGGTGGGGTCGAAAGGCCTCATCTGCAGCCAATTAAGCATGGTCTTCAACACTGAGGTCCTTATTTCTTCACGGACTGCGGCATCATTTCCGACGACATGACCCCCAGGAGCAGAGCCGCGCTTGACTGGGCGTAGTACAGCTACCGTTGGAGATATGATAGAGAGCGGTGACACAAATTGCGTGTCGGAATGCGACAATCCTAAAGGTGTATGTCTAGCAGAGTTCTGCTTTCCACGAATGAGAGGCAATTTTATACTAACCGTAGTACCAACCTGTAGGATCTATCAGCGACAAAATGACAAACAACTTAGGAGAACGAGACTTACACCTTGTTCTGACTGGATTTGAAGTGTTCCTTTCAGCGAAGCCACAAGTGACTTGACAATTGACAGGCCCAGACCACAGCCAGTGGAAAGGTGATCCTCCTGGTTAAAAGGCCGGAACAGTCGCGTCCTCAAAAAGGATTTTGAGATGCCTTTTCCAGTGTCAGCGACAGAAAGAGTGATCATTGAAGGACTGTCAGCATTCTCTATTATCTCAGGTTCAGCCATGGACAAGCGAATCTTGACATAACCCGAGTCAGTGTATTTCAATGCATTGCCTAAGACATTCATCAGGATGCGTCGTAATGCTCCCGGCTGCGTGGTGAAAGTCCAGTCTTTTTGGTAATCAAAGTCTAGTAACACAGCTACCCTTTCGTAGACATCTTTGGAAGAAGGGATCTGCAACGAATTGTGCTGTAATTTTTGGGCCAAATCATCTGTCGACATGCTCCTCGAGGATGGTCGAGAATTGAGCGCCGCGGTATCCCGAACAATATGGTCTTTCCCAGCAACCGAGCCCTCTATAACCTCTTCAAACAATTCGGCGATATCAGTCACTACAGAGAGTGCTTGTATCTTGGTTCCAAGCATCCGTTTCTTGTCCTGCTCTCTGGTCGTGGGTTCGTCCTATTACGCTTTAGAAGAGCCAGATACAATCGTCATTCGTACATACATGTGCAAGACTGTTGATCTTGGAGAAGTCCAAGACATGTTCGATGACCTGAAGGAGCGTCTTTCCACAGCTGACCTGGGTCGCTATGAGGCTTTTTTGATAGCTGTCCAATTGAGTTTCTTCCAGGAATTCGGCTGCTGCAAGGAGCCCGTGTAAGGGTGATCTTAACTCATGACTGATACTACCAATAAAGTCGCTCTTAGATCGATCCGCTGCAATGGTATTCATACGGCTAATTTCGGCACCCACATTGTTGACGAAAGTCTTTAGAAAGACGACTTCGCTTTCCACGGTCATCACGCGCGAACGACGGCTGGTGAAAGCGAAGCAACTGCAATCTTGTGAGTAGGTAGACACGTGAGTGCGCCTATTGCTTACCCAGCCGTTAGTCGCTCCACAGCTGCATCAAACAGGGGAGCGAATATCAGTTGCCGTGCATGAGGGAAATAAGGCTTCAATGACGCTGCGTCAGATTCACGTTGGCGTTTCCATGCTTTGACGCTAGAGCTGGATGCTCGCCTACCAGAAAGTTGCGCAGGACGGATGTTTTCAGGAGGCGTTATCAGGCCAGCTTCGCCAAATGTCCACATTGTACCGTTGGGATATCGCTTCGTCAGACCGTCGAGAAGCCCAGCATCGATAGGCTGGAAATCATTGCCACTCGCTGGACTATCACAACCAAGGGATGAACCGCTGTCAGCTGCATATGCAAGAACCTCAGCAGAGACTCCGTCATTTGCCGTGCTCCATGTGGCAGCACCATTGTTTGCAGCTTCCCTGACGCGTCTACCACGAGCATGGACAATTTTTGAGATCGAGTCCATTCTATCGAGTCCTTTATTCGAATCGCCAGTAGAGTCCGTGACCTGGCTGGAGGCCGAGTCAAGAAACACGCTGGATTTGTCAGTAAAGCATTAAGTTGCTTGAGAGTATGATAATTACCAACATTGGACATCCAAAGCTTCTCTGATCAAATAGGCCGCTCGAGCGAAGGTCAGGTCGATGTTTTCCTCGGGCTCAGACTCATCGGAAAAGCTACTATGCACACTGGTCGAGGAGGTATCCTGAGAATCCATACTACTATCTTCCTTTAAGGTAACCAAACGGGAATTCTGTACTTGTTCGCGATCGTAAGCGTGGTCCTGAGGGGCTGTTATTGCTGATCTTGATGTAGAATCATCGGCTGGATCGTAAGTAGCTTTCGATGGCTCATCAAACGGAGACTCCTGCTTATGAGTTTGCGGACGAGGAATAGGTACTTTGCCCTCTACGAAACTCGACAACGCTTGGCCCATCTTCATAGCTCTTTGCCGCTCTGCTACTTCACGATACATTTCTAATTGCCGCATCACCAAAGACGATATTGTCCTACAAGAGTGGTCAGTCACAAGGTCCACGAACTGGGTGAGAACATCTACCCGAACAATCTTTTTTGGTCTGACGTGAATTCCGAGAGCAATCGATCATCAAGAACCCAGAATGACCCAATATTGAAATTGCTAGCTGTTGTGATAGGAGTACCACAATAGAATTTTAGGAAGGGCCTTCCAGCCACATAGGGTGCATGGCGAAATCGTGGATCCTGACGCAAATCAGGAACGACAAAGCACAGTGGAACATCGGCATCACGCGCCGCCGGTAAGCAGATGGTGTTTTCGCAAAGATTCCCTATGCGATTGCACTTTGCTCCATTTAGCAATCCTATTGATAGCACATCTTTTGAGAGCTGACCTGCGTAAGACCCATCCAAAGACTATCTTCTGCCTCATCACTTTTTGTGCTATCGCGGAGATTGAGTGTCCGCGTCGACTCAGCAAGGATGTATTGTGCGTGCTGAGCTACAAGCGAGATGCCAACACGCTGTACACCTAGCCGAATAGCGGCCAGCTGGCATAGTGCGGTCAATGTTGTATGAGGCGAGGAGATCTGGCTTGTCTCGTCTATTCCAGTGCCGATTACTTGTGCGCCAAAGTCAATTGGTTTGGAGGGAGACGTGTCTGTCTCTCCCGGCTGCGAGACAAGTTCCTCATCTGATACGTGGTCCGAGAGATAGTACCTGCAATCGAAATTAGCCTCACCGATCTCTGTGACGAGTGTAGGAAACAGAATAGTAACTTATAGAGCTCGATGACCCGCTGCTCTTCAACCGTCGACATCTAGAGCCAGCTTCGGATTAGAGGGCAACCCTAACCCGTACTCGTATCTTAGAGGAAATGGCACGAACGTATCGACCGCATCGACCTGGCAAGCCGTACCTGTGGTGTAGATGAAGTCGTCCGCCCTTTGGAGGAAAAGCGGAGGTCGTTGGGGGCACGGCTACATCTAATCAGACGCATGTTAGGTGGGTGTACAGAGAGCACGCAGTACTACACTTTTCTTGTTCAGTAGGGCCGGAATGCTCTGAGCCAAGAGTCAAGATTTCTATGCGCAGGGTTCGAGACCTCAGAAGACCTCGAGAAATGGAACCAGACATGGTTAGACTCTCGTAGAGTTTAGCTAACGTTACTTAAATTCAATGCTACATACAGAGTACTATGGCTAGTACCTGTGGGGCGTAGCAGGAAGAAGGATCGAATCACATGCCCATCAAACGAAAACATACCTGTCCATTGACTGACACTCAATTTAGAATAAGTATCCACCATTCCGGTGTAAGGAGCCGATCATAATTTCTGTCAATGTTATGCCAGAGTGGTGACATGGCTTCCTTTCGAGATGATGCTAGAGTGTACTGCTGCTACTAGAACATGCCAGCGACCAATTCAGCATAATCTTCAAACAGTAAGATCATGGCGGCTGATAATAGGCCTCAATCAGATTGATTATGAGGATATGGGAGCAAAAATACTAAGTTACCGTCTATGGGTGCAAGCATCTCCAGGCGGGACAATCAAAGGAATCTTAAAGAGGCAGCCATTTCCTCGGGTCCCAATAATGTAATCCGGCAGTATTAGCCGGTTAAGTAATCCGTCGTCGAAGGAAAAGATTGCCCCAACATCTTGGTACTGGACCTTTCCACAACTGCAGCTGCTTCTTATCACCCCCCTACATAGGCATTACCTCAGTCCAAAGAAGATCAGATTAATCACAGGTCCTTCGATTTTCCTCCATACTCTCAACATGACTTCGTCGCTTGATAAGCTCAAAGCCACGGGCACCGTGAGTCCCTCGGTTTCGAAAATGTCCCCACTGCACAGCAACCAGGTATCTGGAGAGATACAAACTGCTTACAATTGAACAGACAGTCGTGTGCGACTCTGGTGACTTTGCAAGTACGCACCAGACAAACCTCTGTAACAAATAGCAGCATGCTAACCAATTTCGCAGCAATCGACAAATACAAGCCTCAAGATGCAACCACTAATCCCTCTCTCATCCTCGCTGCTTCGAAGAAGCCAGAGTATGCTAAACTGATGGATGCCGCTGTCGAATATGGTAAAGATCATGTAAGTCTGTCTACATCAGTCGTGAAACAGTACTGAGTCTATATCCAGGGCAATAATATCGACGAGAAAGTAGATGCCACCCTCGATCGACTTCTGGTCGCATTTGGCTGCGAGATCCTCAAAATTGTTCCTGGCAAGGTTTCAACGGAGGTCGATGCACGTTTCTCCTTTGACACGAAGGAGTCCGTTAATAAAGCACTCCACATCATCGACGTACGTGCCTGGTCATGGCTTAATTCAACATTTCACTAAAGAAAAACAGCTCTACAAACAATTAGGAATCGGAAAAGAACGGATTCTTATCAAAATTGCCTCGACCTGGGAAGGTATCCAGGCAGCACGTATCCTCCAGTCGCAACATGGTATCAACTGCAATCTCACTCTTATGTTCTCCCTCGTGCAAGCTATTGCTGCCGCTGAGGCTGGTGCCTTCCTGATCTCTCCCTTCGTTGGCCGCATTCTCGACTGGTACAAAGCGGCGATGAAGAAAGACTTCTCTCCATCCGAAGATCCAGGTGTAAAGAGTGTGCAGTCGATCTTCAACTACTATAAGAAGTTTGGCTACAAGACCATCGTGATGGGCGCATCCTTCCGAAACGTTGGAGAGATCACGGAGTTGGCGGGCTGTGACTACTTGACCATTTCACCTAACTTGCTCGAGGATCTCTACAACTCAACAGAAGAGGTTCCCAAGAAACTTGATGCTGAGGGCGCGACCTCGCTGGACATCCAGAAGCAAAGCTATGTTGATGATGAAGCACTGTTCCGGTTTGATTTCAACGAGGAGCAGATGGCGGTGGAGAAGCTTCGAGAAGGTATCTCGAAGTTTGCCGCTGATGCTGTCACCCTAAAGGGCATCTTGAAGGAGAAGATCGAGAAGGCATGAGCGGAAAAGTGACAATCTGAGCCCTGTATCTCTAACCGCGTTTGTTCAGGCCAGCCACTCTCTGCTTCCAGTACAATAGCCTAGCGAAATTGACATACTGATATGTTTATTCACATGCATCTGTATCTGAGTTGGTCTTTCAATTGTTGTAGAACTGTTCCTTGGCCTGTGGAGAAGCACCGCAGCGGCATTCAAATGAATGGATTCGATCTGCATCTCCCCCCACTGGAGTTGAAGTTGTTATCTTGGATGCGGGGCAGTGATGCAGAAAGCTGACAAAGCCACAGCTACCCCGCACCAACACATTCCGCATCGGAGAATCATCGGAAGAGCCCCTCACTGACTTCCGAGCTGACTGACTCTTCGCCCACATGCCGCTCCGCGCTTCCTAGTACTCAATCACCCAAAAGATAGCCATCAACTTCAAACGAGGAAATCGAGTCCTTTCCCGAATCGATCAGTTTCTTCACGAACAAACTCTCAAAATGGTCAAAGCCGGTATGTATCCTCCGCACCTGGACGCATATCTCATCCCAGTATGGCTAGTCGTGAGCACATTTTATATGCCGACACCCAGACATAGGGTTGTTTCCAGGGAGATGAGCACATTGTTCAACATATGATTGCATCCACTGCTCGCACATGTAGCCCATGAGCTAACCATCTCCTCCTGTTGATAGTTGCCGTTGTCCGTGGGGACTCCAACGTCAAGGGCACCGTCACCTTTGAGCAAACTTCCGAATCATCGCCCACTAGCATCTCATGGGACATTACAGGCCATGATGCAAATGCAGAGCGTGGCATGCATATACATCAGTTCGGAGACAACACAAACGGATGCACAAGTGCTGGACCACATTGTGCGTTTCCCCACGATCTTGTGGTTGTTCCTGCATAGGGAGCCTGCCATGCGTCTAAACCATCCAGGGAACCTTGGCTGGCAGACTTCATCACTGACTTATTTGATATGCAGTCAACCCTTTCGGCAAACAGCATGGTGCTCCAGAAGACGACGAACGCCATGTCGGAGACCTAGGCAACTTCAAGACAGATGGTCAGGGCAATGCAAAGGGCAGTGTCGAGGACAAGCACATCAAGCTCATTGGAGAGCAAAGTGTTCTAGGTGTACGTCTACAATCTTCGATGCACAAGAACCGGAGCAGTTGACTGGACCTTTGTCAATAGCGTACAATAGTGATCCATGCCGGCACAGACGACCTCGGTAAAGGAGGCACCGAAGAATCCAAGAAGACAGGTAATGCCGGTCCACGCCCTGCATGCGGTGAGTAATCCTTTGAGCTATTCTATTGAACTTACCGCTAACTGTTGAGGTAGGTGTCATTGGCATCGCATCGTAAATGAATGGAGCCGTCAGATGGGTGCAGCGGTCTCTGCCATCATCTTCATCCTAGCCGCTATCCCATTTCACCTGATCGAGATCTCAATATCGAATAGATAGTGAACAGATAAACATATTAAAGTACTCACCATCTAATGTCTCCAGATACCAACTTGGTCGTCAACATTCTGTTCGTCTTATTCTTCATTCCCCATGACTTGACGAGTCCCCATGATCTCTATGCCGGCAAATACCCATCTCCTAACTAACATGGTTGCTGGTGCTATCCCCTATTACACAGAGAGCGGTTCCATAACGTCTATAACGCCATTACTATCTCTCTTCGGACACAGTCCGTCTCTTGTCAGAGCTTCTGTGTCTCAAAAGAGCCCCCATTCACTTTGTTTCGGCTGACGAAGCAAAAACTTCCACTACCGCGCTGTAGTCTAGCTCTTCAGTTGATCCTAAATATAATTGGCGAACGACGGGTGCGCAAGATAGATGACTGCACTGGAGCTGGAGATGAGCCTTCTGAGAACTGATATACCAGCAGAGCTCGTACGTTTGTCATGGTACCCTATTCCGCTTCAGGGCCCGCAAGACTACATTCCCGAGACCACTATTGGGAAAGTGTTAGCACATCTTTCTTTTTATCTAGCATGGTAGCAGAAACACGGTTTGATATCTCATTACCAAGGTCGAGGTATAGACCGTCATTACTCTAATGTGTAGATAATCGCATACTATCAGATCGACGACTCCAGATCTTTACAAAGAGTTTGAACACTGACCTTCTCTAAGCCGCAATCGAAGCCATCGAAATGCGTCAACCGGCTTCTATGCTTTATCCTACTAACAGGGGAATAGCGGAATGGACGTGAGTTCCAGGACACGATCGGCATCAAACCCACCGCGTTGAAAAGACATGCTCCGGATTCTCAAGCCTCCGGTAGGACAAAATCTTCTACCACAACACTCGGTATGACACTTTCAAGGCACTATTCAAGGTTAGAAAATGGACATCCCGTGAGATCGACCGGATATGATCATGGTTTCCATTGCAGGAGCCCAACGCCGTGGACGTAGAAGAGCGCATCGGTCAGTCTCCATAGCTGTGAAGGGGTTTTAAACGAGAAATAAGTTCAGTTGCCATTTCGGGTACGCCGAATCCATGGAAGAGCAGGCCCTCCGATACTTGTAAGAGATCATCCGCCAAGATGAAGATTTTTCGTGTCGTCTGATTCGCGGAATGGTGGAAGGGGGGTGGTATTTCATCATCGCCGACAAGGAGACAATATCCTGGAAGGCAGTGTGGCCAGATCTGCGTGAGTTTTTCGGGGCTGGACGGGAAGGGACTGGGTTAGGAAGACGTAACGACGACTGAGGATTTGTGTTGCACGGGGTTGGGGGACTTGGGTGAAGGTGGTTGCGATGGATTGTCTACGGAAGGGCATATTTGAGATCGCAGAGCTGGCCGTTCATGCATGTCATGATTCTGAAGTTTGATTTTGATTGGGAGTGTCGAATTTCGAGGGCGACAGAGATAGGCTCCCAGGAGAAGATCCCGTTCCGTTCACGCTTACCGTTTAGCCGGGAAAAGAAAGCACAAGGTGAGGTAAATTCCGGCATCATGATGAACACATTCGAGCCTGGAGCAGTGAACTTGGAATGAACCCATATCCTTCCAAAGTACTTGGGACCCAGAGCAAGTCCTCCCGAACCTTTCAATGAAGATTGCTTCAGAGTTCGAACTCAGTAAATATCTACCCGATCACTGAGATTTCCTCTTCATCTTCCGAGCCGATAGTCTGGGAGTGTTAAGCCTCTGACGAGGAGCACTACTAAACGGCCTTTCATCAACCGGCCTACTACCCTCCTCGTTCCTGCTGCCAAATCCACTCTGACTTGGCGTACGGAGAGCCACCCTCTCCTGATCTGTCCGGAAGCACATAGCCCGCCTCACGTCATTCTCGCTGACGGGTTGGGTACTTCTATTTGTAGCACCAGCGGTCTCGTCCCTTCTGATATTTCTACCAGTGGATGGGCCAACCGCCTGCTCGTCAAGGCACCTCTTACCGGTGGAGAGCCTCCCACTAGATGAGCGGGCGGCTCCTAGCTCGGCACTGTGATTTCTACGGGGGTCTTTTTCGATCGAGGGAACGCGAGGAGGTCTCCCGGAACTGGCACTTGGAATAATTCGGTTGATGGAAGGACCAGCAGGTGGCCTTGCAGCATCACCACTACTAGCACTGTCAGTTCGTGTGGTAGCGATGTTTGCCATCCTCCCGATTGCGGGTCTTTCAACTTCCCTTCCGACATCACATGAGCCACCAAAGCCAAGCAAGGCTCTTACTGCAGATGTGTTCTGGCTGCTGGCTGTGGCGGCACTGCCAGCGCCACCAGTACCCATGTCCGCAGCTGGGGAGGATATCGCCATCTTCTGAGCGAAAGCCACTGCCATCTGTTTATCTTCCTCTGGAATCATGTCCATTTTTTGCATCTCTATTTCCTGTTCCTGAATGACTTGTTTTAACTGGCTGATCCACTGTGCGGTCGTACCGTCTCTTTCGTTCTGCCGGATGGGATACCGCTCCAGCCGTCGCAAGTCGTTGAGAAATATCTCCTTCCTTTGGCGTGGATCGGGGAAGGCATTGAATATGTCAGTGATCATAGGGACATATCGAGGTGGTGGCTGAGGTGCACCGGCTATGTGACCCTGTTCCGGTGCCCTCTCGGTTCTTGCAATTTCCATTTCTTGGTCCCAAATGACTCGCTTCAACTGGCTGATCCATTCTGGAGTAGAAGTGTCCCTGTCGCTCTGTTTGATGGGATACCGTTGCAGCCGTTGCAACTCGTGGACGAATATCTCCTTCCTCTGGTATGGACTGGCGCAGGACTCGAGGACTTCGGCAATCATGGGAAAGTATTGAGGTGGTGGCGGCTGATGTGCACTCGAAGCGTCACACATACCGAGCTGTTGAGTAAGTAGTGATGGGCTGGTGTTTACCGTTCGAGAAGGGGACCCTGAAGAAGACGAGGGTGTGTTTGAGGGTAAAGTTGACGTATGTGCGGCAAAAGTCCTTGGTCTTCTTGAGCTTTGGCTGCGCTGTTGAACCGGATGAGCAGGCCGGAAGCACCAAGGATCAGGGTCTGACAATGACATGGCTGCTGCTTGTGTATTCTTTGGCGCACCGTCACTGTCCACAAGATATTGTATGCGCGGGTCGTCGACGGGGAGTGGTGACCGAGGGAGACTTGATCAATTCCAACGAAATGGTGATGAAATGTCAACTTGGTTTGGAGCACCTGACTGAAGAGATATCACTTATCGAGGTGACAGACCATGCACAGCTTCTATGTTTCTTGTCCAGCATGCGAGCAGACATGGCGGTGGGCAGCCTCTTACACCCGGCTTCGGAGCCGAGCCCTGATCGACACATCTTCTGTCTGAGCGAAGGTACGGCACTTTCTGCTACTTCCATCATCTGCAGTTGTGGGTCCGCCTAGGTTTTGCACTGCAAGGCTTGGAGAGTGCTCTTTGCAGGCTCTTCATGCACTTGTGTGGGGTGTTGCCCAAACAAATGCAGTCACACCACGAAAGAGACTCGGAGGGTCACGGTCTTGGCAGGCCCGAGGGACTAATTTAGTAGGTTCCAGAACAAGCTAGTTCTCGGCATCGCCTTGGCGGCTTATCTCAGCTTCAAGTTGTCAACATGCTGTCTTCTCCATACTACTACGGACGAATTGTCGATACTTTATCCATTGGTCATATTCAGGGGTCATATCCAGGCTGCCTTGCGACCTCCACAGTGCTGAAGTGGCTTTGGAAGATATGTCGAACCAAGCTTTGCATAAGGCTGGCAAGCCGCCACCCCGCAATTGCAACGACAACTAAATGGAAGACCACTTCGCTCACAGTGAGGTATAATACATGAATAATCACCTCTCATCCAATGTCCGCCCGTAATTTCATCTGAGTAACCGAGCGGGTGCACTGCGTACCGCATGGCTACCCACGCTGTCGGTGCTCCTTCTATTGTGCGGATTTCCGCTGCGATGGGGACCGACGCTGACAGGTGCACTCACAACAGCCAGACTGCGATTACTATCGCCAGTACTTACGGGCCCTTCCTGGTTCCGAGAGCCAGGAACAGTGGGTTTACTGCCTGATGACATTGCCGAAGTCGAAGCGGCCGGACTACGGGTCTCGCCATGCCTCCTCGCTTCATCCCTTCGTGCCTGGGGAGATGCCCCCTCTTCAGCCGAACATTTCTGCTCCTCTATCACCTCGAGCAACTGTTTGATCATTTCGTCATCTGAGCTGCTCCTCTTGTGTGTTTCCCGTGTGTGCAGTAGCTGAATCAGCTGCTCTAGCAACATCCCCCGCCTCTCCATGGGATCGGTATGGTTACGTAAAACAGCCTTGATTTGTGGGAGATATGACCTTGGCGAAGCAGAAGAGGATGGTCTCGCCGCTCCTGCTCCTGCTGCTGCTCCTGGCCCAGCACCTACCGCGCCCGCAGTATGGAACCCCAACAAACTATGCACAGCCTCGATCTCCCTCGTCATTTCATCAAACCTGTCTTGATCACTTTTTGTCGGCGGTCCCATCCCCATCGTCTCCCCACCGGGGTCCCCTAGGTTCTGCCGTTGTCTTTTCGTACTCGGACCCGCATCATCACCTCTATTAGACGAGGATGAGGATGACGCTGCCGCTGACGCTGACTGCTGTTGCTGCTGTCCATGTCGCCGCTGGCTTTGCTGCAGCATCTGCTTCATTTTCCGCGCTTCAGCAGTCACGATGTCCATCTGGCGCTGCCATGCTGCGGGTCCTGGCTCGGCTTCGGGGGCAGGTAGGACGGCAGGAAGCGGAGGTGGTCGGAGATGGTAGGAGGTGTGGAGGTGGGTTCGAGAGTTGGGAGCTGAGGCTGCGTTTCGAAGGGCGAGGGCGGGTCTGAGAGCGGGATCTGAAGCAGAAGCAGAAGCTGGAGTCGGAGCCGGAACAGCAGCCGTACCTGGAGGGTTAAGGAGGGGCAATCTTTGTTCTGGTGATGGGGAACCGGAGGACATTGCAGATGGAATGAATATTGTGGAGGGCTTCTCGCACAATCTCCGTGAACGTGATCTGGAGACCTGGTAATATGGATGCGAATATGAAACAGAAATATTCGACGGCAGAAGAATGAAGGGAGTGGTAAGTGTGCAAATGTTCTGAAACCAAGAGAGAAAAGCAGATGAAGAAGAAAAAGAAATGCCCCTCTGTGTCTGTCTCTGTTCCCAGATAGAATCGAGAATTTTCTCGGTGTCAAACGCCTGCGAGGCACGGCAGGGCTGACCTGGTACGCCCAGGGTTACTTAGGGTGGTAGTGGCCGTTGGGCGCCCTCTGAGCACAGAGACTACCATAGTGGTACACACTCTCAACCACGTACTGTCTCGGTCCTTTGGTCCGCCCTTTTTACTTTTATTTTTTAACGGGGTGTTAACATCAGCCGACTTCACCCCGGGTTTTGATATTTAACAGGACTGGTTATACAATACATTAGCTCTCATCGCATTCTACAAAGCCAGAAACAACAACCAAAAAAGAAAACCCGCTTTCTCCCCATAACTATTGCAATCCATCACTTTTCTTTCTTTCTTTCTTTCTTTCTTTCTTTCTTCCTTCCCTTCCCTCCTTGCTTCCCCTAGTCTGCAGCGCCGAACGAAAAACCTCACCATCGTCTAGCTCGTTGGTAGTCGCTCGTTTCATGTGGCCGACTCCATGAAGAGGCATGGGCATGGGCGGGGCATGGATATGTGTGTGACGTCAAAGACATGCATACATGCATGCATGCATGTGTGTTGTGCGTTTCTGCTAGGTCGTAAGGAGAGGAGGAGGAGGCACCAGAGGAGGGTGTGAAACAAGCGCCGCGTGGGAGGGGAGGGTTTCAGTCAGTTACTAACTATGGAGCACTATTCCTACTAAGTACTTAACCTAGTGCTGCTAGTGCTGCTCTTGGTGGGCCATAGTAGAGGGCTATGATCATGGTCATGGTCGGGAGATTCGAGTGACCACGAACTTTTTAATCGCTTTCACGTATCTACCGTTGATGGTTGGGAGGTACAGCGGTGGTTGAGCTTGATATCAATGCTTGGCGTGGTTTGCGGGACGGGGATGGGAGAGAGATGCTCATCATTCGATGATAATGCGAGGCATGGTTGAAATCGTGATTCTATCATACCTATTTGACCATAGATAGCTTGGTTCTGATCATGTACGCCAAACTGTTTGCATCGATATGTAACCTCACGGTAAGTACTTAATCGTCAGCAATGGCCAATTCTTCCCTCCTTCTTCCCCATCCGGCCAAAACGTTATGCAAAGTCACGCCGGTACAGTATGACTAGTCATAGTCGCCTTGGCCCTCAAGACTACCACGTGCCACGGCCTAGTCCTCCAATAGCAAAGGCTGAATGACTGGGCCTTGTTTGAGACGACTTTCCCAATACCATTGTTCCTCGAATTCAACGGGTCTTCACGATGGTAGACCTCTGGGCCTGAGTTGTCATGCCCCCTTTAGAGGTCTTCTTGTTCCTAGATGGGGGATTGCGAGTCGGTAGCTGGCCACCAAAGCTAAAGATTCAAATTGTGGGAACTCTTACAGAGGCAGATGCACGCAGCAGCTTACCAGCTGTCTAGTCAATCGGACGCTTCCACGAGAAGGAAAAGTACCGGTAGATCAAGGTGGAAGGCTCGGGAATTCTTCTAGTGGCTTCATCACATGAACCGTACGCGGCGTATGGGCTCGACGTGAACGACTCCCAACTCTGTTGGCGTGAGAAGCACTGGCACTGGAACTGACGGTGCTAGAAGTGGCCTCATGCTCCATGCCCTGCCCCTCTTGCTCATGCTCCAATATTGTAAGATCAATGCTGACATCTTGAAGAACCAGCTCCAGTTGCCTGATCTTTTCTTCCCGCGCCGCGTTGCGAGAGTGACCGCTACTAGAATGTTGCTGCAGCGAGTGCAGCATGGTCTTGAAGGTTGCAAGCCTCTCCTCCAGGTTGGGGGTCGTTCGTAAGACTTCCATAATCTCTTCGTTATATGGTGCGCAAGATGTGAATTTGGAAGGCACTTGGGCGCCATTCCAGATGAGATAATTGGCGTGTACAAGTTGTCGTTCGAACTCCTTGATAATGTCTGGTCGGATCATAACCCGTTGGCGAAGTTGCCTAGCTCTCGAATTGTAGTCTCCAGTGTCTATAGACGAAGTTGAGTAGCAATCGAATAATTCATTCAGCTTGCGGAGCTCTTTTGTAGCTTTAACCATTTGCCGAGTTTGGCTATCTACCTCAGCGCGGGCACTTTCTCCGCTCTCTTGTCGATCTGGATCCGGGCGTCTTGTGCTAGGTGATGCCCCCGGCGAGGGTGCAGAACGAGTATTTCTGGTATCAAGCGGTGGGGAGGAGCGCTCAACATGTTCCCTAGACCTTGGATTAGGAATATGCTGTTCTACTCCTACACCACGGCTGAGGCTGGTGCCTCGAACTGGAGCGGGCTGCTGACTCCGTTCTACAGACAATGTATGAGGAACAACTAGTTCTTCTGAAGGGAGAAACGGAGATCCTGGGCGAGGCGGACGCACTTTGGTCGATGGATTAGGTGTAGACAAGCTAGGTCTCGCCTCGCGAGCCTGCAATCGCCGCTTTTGATTAGACGAGATACTAACACGCCGCAGTCGCTCCATTTCCGTGGGTATTGTGTGAGTCGCACGATGTTCCTCCGCCGGCAGATTAAGAGTAAGGGCGGGTCTCGTGTTTTGAGGGGGAAAGGGTGACTGTTCGTCAACTGTCATGTCAACAGGCCGCTGCTCCGTGGCTGTCACGTCTGTGGGAAGGCGAGATCCCGTGATTGGGGTGGGTGAATGCGCGCTTGCTTTGGGTGGGCTGGCAGTCCTTTCCCGCTTCTGGCCAATGATGCCGACCCGGCTGGGGGCTGGAGGTTTGGATGACATGATTTGGAGGAGTAAGTACCGTACATGAGTCCGTGTGAAGGAAAATGGATGTGGTCAATTTATCACCATCAACATACTTACTGCGCAGTAGATCAATGGAACAATAGTAGTATGTTCTCGTGATAAGGGCTTATCATCGAGGGGGGTCACCTCAGACCCCAGAGCCTGCTCACTCTGTCTCTATTGATCTATTGAGAAACGGTCTATGTTTCACAACCTAATCTTAGCCTTCTCTCGACCGTCCTTCGCGACCGGAACCCGCCTCTCCGTATCGGGCTGTAACAAGCGACATGATGCAAAGAACAAATACTCGGAATGAATACCCAGAACGTATGGTTGGGGGAGATAACAGAACAGACTAGCCGGATGCGTCTTGATTTGATTCTGACATCATGGCTAACTATTCAACCTTTCGGTTCCGAGGCTTAACTACAAATGGCCGCTCCGGCCCTCCGGCCCAATCATTTAGTTACCGCTCAGCCTGAAGCTTATCACTATCAGGCTCAGTTTGCTAACCAACTCACTAACCCGTGATATCCTGCTTCGGAGCCCCTGGAGTCAGGTGTGGGCTTCCAGGTAGCAATTGACGTGCCATATGCCAGACCGGGGACATGATGCAACCCTGTGAGAAGCAGCACAACACCCGAAAACAACCGGAAAGCCAGATCTAACCCGCAAGCATTCTGCTTTGATATTGGGCCCCCCCAGCGGCCCGAAAAATAGCGCATCGCGTCTTCACGATCTCATTGGACGATTTACTTCGAGTACAGAAAGGGGAAGCGCTCTATTCTGCACATCGTCCAATTCACTCCCCGAAGCCACCCCAGGTTGAAAAGGGACTTTTCAGCATGTTTTGACAGATCTGTGATTGATCGACCAATGGCCGTCAGGTATGCCATCCATATCATCACCTCGAGGTTTGCATGTGCTTCTCTTTCTCTTCGTCCTTCTTCGTTCACTTTGCCAACCCTTCCTTGATCTTTTTGACGACATCCCGATAGCTCTTGTTTAGGTTATCTAGATCCATGCGGGAACCACAATAATTGCTGCGTCGTTCAAGGGCCCTTTGCTGGTGCGTGAAGATGTCTAGCTGGCCTCTTGCATCCGGATATCTCTGCAGGGCATGTCCGTAAGAGGGCGACACGATCTTCATCAAGTCCTCTTCCTCTTCTTGATCTCGCTTCTTGATCTCGTCTTCGTCTCTATCACTCCCTCCGCTCTTCTTTTCCAGCTCCTACCTTGTGTTCTCTTATTGAGCCGTCCCCCGGTTTTGTTTGCCTTTCATTTCGTCCATTGCGACTATTGCTTTCCCTTCCGCTTCAATCAATCTCTGATAGAGCTCCAGCAACGTTTGGGCAAACTAGACATCATCATAGTCCCTAATATACTGTTGGACGCACTCGAACCTAGGTTAGAGGATGGACATCCTTCCGGCCGGATCAGGATCCCATATAAATAATTCAGAGATGAACGGACTCAGGATACTGTTCAGCGACTCTTCTACCTTGTTCTCTCCCCCCTCCGTTTTCTCTTCCCCCTTCTTCGTCTTTTCGTCGATCTCGTTCTGGTTTCCCTCCGGTCAATCTCTCATATTCCCTGATCCTATGTTCATACCCTACTTTTGGCTCTCATTCGTGGCGTCCTGTTGGACTTGTCTTAGCCGTCTGAACTCACAAACCAAAAGCCGTAGTCTAAGCTGCTAACCTCGTGTACCAGCCGGCAGCGAAAACACCTACCGCAATGGGACAATACGAGCTTGTGCTGTTTTTTTTAGCTCTTCAGACTGAATGTGAGTATTAGACTAGGGCGCCTCTCTAGTGGAGACCAGCAGCAATGGAAATGAGCAAAGGACCCTCCACGATAAGCCCAAGCATGTGCTTCCAAGGTCCTCGGCAGACGCGTGGAAACAGCCTGTAGATGAAGATGGGCCGTTGGAAAACCTTCACGTCATCCCTTCAGCGCATCTTGAAAAGCTTTGGATAGTGAAACTTTTCGCTTGCAGCTTTCCCAAGTTCCATGATGCTGAGACCGTGGACTTGACACAATGCATGCATATTGGACCATATCGTGCGCAGCGGAGTCTACATTTTATATGAAGGAATTGTATCTGAGACGCTCTAAGCCACGCCACCAGTAGCAGTCCGAGGCGAGGGAACTGTCGGTTTTCTCTTGTATCGCGAAACTCTTGCGAAGATTCTAGCGGTGCTTGCAGAGTTGCTGCTGCTGTCACTTCACATGACTCGCTTTTCAAGGGTCATCTATAGATTTGTATTATATAGTCTATGTATGAGAAATAACTAGCTTTTTCTTCTGATTCTAAGGATATAGGATATAGATATAAGAAAAATACTCTTACACTGATAAGCTCCTTCTTCAGGCAGTCACCGGAACAAGTCCCGTCATGGTACCCCCCCGGTCCGAAACGGCGTCACTCGAATTGCTGCGGCAAATCCGCGCATGGCTTCCACTTCCGATGGCTTTTCCGGGCATGACTGGCGGTATGCTCGCTTTCACCACCAAGTCCAGTGGTTACGGTTACGGTTACGCGATTGGAAGGAGCACCAGCATCTTCTCTTGTCATACTCCTGCCAGGAGCACTGCAGGCAGGAGGATTGTCAGCACTGTCTCTAGCTCCTCTTCTCTCGGTAGACCTCTTCCTGGACGGTCCAGCACGCTGCTCACTAGCACCGCTGCCGGCGGCGCCACTGCCTGCGGAACCGTACCCACGCCTGTAGTCTCGTTCTAGTTCCTTGAGCTGTCTCTGCATCGTGTGGATCTCGTGCTCAGTCTGTCTGTAAAATTCGGCCTGGGCTTGTTGGTCGACAGCCCCAGGCGGATGTACTTGGTTTTGATGATGGTAAAGCCTGTTCTCTGCCAGTCTAATATGTTCTTTGACCATGGCAATCTTCACCTTAAGGATATCTTGCTTCTGATCTCTTCTACTTTGGAGACCAGCTTCTCTGCCAAATTGGGTGTCGCGTGCTGCGCGCGTGTTTAGGTCCTCGGAACCTTCTCTAGCTGAGGCACGGCCTTGTTGGTGTTCGTGTATCGGGCGTCGTCTCCGTGGGACACTGTAAGATGGTGGCAGTGAAGGAATTCCCGTTTGAGGTAGTGGTATCCTATCCTCTTGGGCCACTGCACGGTGGCTTGGAAGGTGTGACATCTGTTGATGCCTTCCGACCGGTGTGTCAGCAGCGAGGCCAGGGTGTACAGCCTGAGTTCTCCCCGGGGTCAGGTTGATTTGAGGTGCTGCACCCCGGTCCATGTACATCACGCCTGGACGCTGAGAGGAGGCCAGGGAAGGTGCTGATGTAGCTTCTCCTGCAGCAGGATGTGCACGAAGCCTGGGCTCTGTGTAGGCTGATGGCGCAGGGTACTGTGATGGCACTGATCCGGTAAATGCTCCGGTAGGTCTGTTGTCATGATTGCCTTCAGAAATTAGTCGTGCTTGGGTTGTTTCAGTAAGTCGAGCCCTTTGAGCTCGATGGTCAGAATTCTTTCTTGATGGAATAGCAGATGGACGGGCACTTGGATCTATAAATGCCGATGGACCCGAGCCTTGTGATAACCCTGACCCAGTAGACCTTAATGAGGATGCTCCGGACAGTTTGCTGGTGTTATCTTCCTCCGGTGTCAGTAGTGACTCTGTAGCTGCAGAGAGAGCCCTCCGCAGTCTAGGCTTCGATGGCCGTCGACTGACTGGAGGTCGGAGTGCCAATGATGCTGCTGCAGATTTTACATCAGATGGGAGGCTTTCCAAGACTGCTTCATCATTAATTCCAGCAGCAGCTGACGCCAGCTGAGTAGGTACAGATGCGCGAGGCTCGCGCTTTGTGGATGCTGCGGGGATCGCTTGAGCACCCTCAGATTCACGAGTCCTCTGTCGTGTGATGCCTGGTGCTCCGCTCAATGTAGCTGGACGCGAATCTTGCCCTGGAGTAGGTGTATCCGAGGCACGCGCTTGACCACCTTTCGAAGCTCTTGGAGGCAATTTAGGTCCATGTCGAGATGACATGATCCAGAAGGCGGACGCTGTCCACAAATTCTGACAGTGGTGTTGCAAGCTGTATTCAAGCTGTATTGCAGCGAAGAGGACTAGATAAGAACGAGCAAAAACGAGAACGAAAAGGGGGTGGGGGATTTTCGACTGTGCTCGTGCTTAGCAGAAGAAGCAGCAGCAGCAGCGCTGGGACTCAACGAAGAATGAAGATAATTGATGGCCTGTTTGATATCAATGAGTGATGTGTAGCAGGATCGAATCCTTTCCTTGCGGACCGGCTGAGAATGGATCAACAAGCTTTGTATGACATCTGCCTACTTAGACACGGAAAGCAATAGCTTCAGCTGCAAGCTGTCTTCATCAAACAGTACCTATCTGCTAGATAGCATAGAAGCTTTGGGCATGAAAAAGCTTCACCACTGTCTGGTGTATGCATGAGCCGAGACCTCTGTAACAGGTTGCCCCCCTGGTTGAAACAGCCTTCAGTGATGTGTTTGGGTCTGGTGGCGGGTCAAGCAGGTTCGTCTTGTGAAACATCGGTTGAACAGATGATACGGTTGAAGACAAGCGATCAGTTTTGAGCAATCCAGGTTGTAGTTGTTTGGATGTTGATCCAATGCAAGCCGAGAAGAGTTGCAATCATGCTCAACCGGAGGCGGCTTTATTTATTTATGCGATCTACACTCTGTGACCTGTCTTGCAGCTACAGCACACTTTAGAACAATCATCATTACTGTACTCATACCAGTTTGCTTCTGGGACAAATGGTCACTTGTCTTCGTCGCTGTCACTCACCAACTGGTGTGAAATCTGTTCTGATCAGCACCCACACGAGACAACCCGTCCCACCCGAACATGCAAATCCCTCCCTCCTCCCTGGTGTCCAAGCGAAGGAGCAGGTAAGGTTAGGATAGGCCACACACACCGGCCACAAAGAGCACTCAATCGTCTCCACCAAAAGGACTGCGAGGGAGCACATCTTCACGGCTTCCTGGGACTTTCAAAACGCACATTTCCCATCGGAGCTTCCAGTCCAGTCTCTGGTCTCGGAGCGCTGGCCTTTCTCTTCCTTTCCACTTCCGTCTCCTCTTCATCTCCTTTCTCCTCTATCTGCATTTTCCCAGCCGCAGGCTCCTGACTCTGTTCCCGTATAGCCATCCTGAACCGCTTGCGCATTTCTCCCACAGCGTCTTGATCGCACTCGACGTCCAGTGTAGCAATGGTCTTGGTGATGATATCGGTAAACGCATTGATTTTTGCTTCCTTCTTATCCGCGATTTTCTTTCAACCATGAAGTTCACCTCGAAGTAATTTCTTGAGTTGCAGCTCTAGCTCTGCAATCTTGTCCCCCCTGTTTTCTGATGTTATGGGAAGTTCTCTGGATGTACCCCTCTAGCGGCACCAGCACCAGCACCAGCACCAACACCAACACCAACACAAACACAAACAGCGCCGCTCAATCGCGGACGCCGCTCCCTGCTCGAATCGGCATGACTCCTCTTCGCTGCGGTAGACGAGGCCGCTATACCTGCCAGAGTAAACGCCAGCTCGGTCTGACCTCTCCATATTGATGCTGTCAATGAGCGCTTTCTGACAGTCCCAGAAGGGTTGACGGATAGTGGAGATTTGCGTGGCATGATTGCGGTGTTCAAAAAGTCCCTGTACACGCCAGTCTCTCGTTAGAACCATAAGGAGTGGAGAGATCCGAGGATGAGATACTATTACAACCCAGTAATTAGGTTAACTGTACAACAAGATACCATGTTTTTGGGATGAAAAATATCTCTCTCACACCACCTCCACGGCTTAGCAGGGGAGCTCGGAGGCTCCAGAGGTAGGCTCGGGCATTGCATGGTCTGGGGTTGCTTGCTGAAGCTGACCTGACCTGGACCAGATTGTCTTCACAACATTAGATTTAAAGAGAAAATTGAAGAGACAGAATGAAAGACTGATAAGACGGCCGCCGCGTCATCTCAAAGATTAATCTTCCAGCAGCGACACCGCTCAAGCAGAGGAAGGATAAATAAACATGACTCCCCTGCAGATCGAAGACGGAGAAGAAGTAGTCTAACTAGTGTGATCTAGCTATACCGATATGAAGCGCCTCAGCAATCGTGCCCTGGCAGTGGCAGTCCAGCACGTAAGTTTCATGAATGCGGTAGCGTCCTCACGCCATTGCTGGCCACTTGCAACTCACAGGTAAAGCATGAATCAAATACTCAATCGCTCAAGACAAGAGCATCATCCGCACTGACCCCGGTACCACTTGTCGCCCTGCTCATCTGTGTACCCCCAGGTGTGAAGACTTGGTCTGGATTCGTTTGAGACTCTGGTGTTGCGCTCCTCAGTCTCATGTGGAAAGGGTTGGCTTTGCGACCTGGCTGCTCTCCCTGACTACTATTTAGATTGGACGATGTAGTAGATCCACCTGCTTCCGAGAGATTTTCATTCACAACAGAGCCATCATCATCTTCGTCATACTCCTCTGCTTCATCTTCCCCTTCATCTCCCTCGTCTATGCCGTTGTCCGTTGGTTGGGCGTACCCTTCCTCTTCTTCCACAACTCCTATGACGACTTCTTCCTTTTCGATAAGGTCCTCTTCCTCAAAACCTTTCTCCTCATCCTCCTCGTCATAAAGGTCTTCGTCAAACCCTAGCGCTTTATGCTGACCAGCATCTGCATGGGCGATAGCGGCTGCGCCATCTCCATTTTTAGCATCGTTGATGATTCTGCCCTTGGAAGCTTCAAAAACATTGCTTGATGCTTTTGCAAGACGCTTCTGGTGAGTTTGTCTGACGTGTTTGCGTGCCAGAACATCTCTCTCTGTTGCGAGCCCATCTTCTTCAACATTATTGTCACTCTCGTAAATATACTTGCTGTCCTTTTCGCTGTGCTTGATCTTGCCTTTACGCTTCTTCGCCCGACCGGGAACCTTTCCATTGATCAACGCCGCTCTCGTCGACTTTGACATAGCAACAGGCAAATAGTCGCTCACAGGCTTCGTAGCAAGACCATGAGCACCTGTGGCACGGATTCGTTGTTCGGTTCGGGACAACACAAGCTGAGTGTCTGATTGAGGAATGGACGGGGCGTAGTCATATCCATTAACTCTGCTAAGACCTCGATGCAGGCCTGACGCAGCGGCGCCGTCACTGTGCGTGCTACTTCTCTGAGACGCACTTCTCCTCAACTCCTCTTGCTCAACTTCTTTTTCAATTTGTGCTGCTTGCGTACGAAACCATTCCGTGTCTTCCGACATTGCTGCGCGAAATTCACGGATTTGTCGAAGGAAATCATCATCATCATCACCATCGGTTAGCCTGCTGGTCGCTTCTAGCGCAATTTGTTTGGAAACCGGAAGCGACATCTTGGGCGTGGTGATGTTGATCGGTGCCTGTATATTCATGGCTGATGTAGCGTCATCCCGGCCCGATGTCCGAACTCTTACAGATGACAAGGTACTTGCTCTCTTCCTTGGCGTCGGATGAGAGAGCTCTTCCTGGGAACGCCTTCTCCTTTCTAGACTTGACTTGGTATCAGGGAAAATTGGGGTATCGGGATCAACGCCGAGGGCTTTGAGACGAAAGTAGTCTGTATGAGTTGAGTCAACTTTGTGGCCACCGGTCGAACGGCAGAGAATAGTTCTGTTATTGCGATCTAGCAAAAGGGACCTTCCGTGTAGCGACGCGGTACTGAGATGAGGTGGAGATGGAGAAGTGACTGGTTTGCTAGACAAGCTGGCTCTTAATGGGGCGCTTACTCGTTCCATTACTTTGGAACGCCTGGCGGTCTCGCCCTTTGCGACCTTCCGTGGATTATTACCATTCGTCACAGGATTCAAGTCGTCACTGTGTAAGATCTTCCTCTTGAGACCTGCAGGAGAAGGATTCGGTTGGCCGTCGCGCATTTCAGATACAGGATCTTTTACTCGACCTGCTTGGCTTCTCAGTTGCTGCTCGGCCTGAACTACCTCCTTTTGTTTTTGGGCCTGGAGAATAGCCTCTAGTTCAGCATCGCCTCGAGCCTTGCGTTGACTTTCTCTTCGGATAGACTTCGCTAAATGACTTCGTCTGCTTGTGGCGTTGCGGTTAAGGATTCTCCGCCAATAGATGGATTTCCAACGCATAAAATACTTCCTGGAAAGTAGCTGCTGGCGTGCGGATTCTGAGTTGAATGTCAGTGATCTATAGATGGGGCGAAGACAAAACAAGTCTTACGTGCGGCTCTGAGTGGCTTCTCGCGTTCAAACTGGTGAAGCGCTTCTTCAACTAGAGCTGTAGCCGTGTGTTCGACATACTGCTGTAGTATGCCGTGTGGTTCGAGGAAGCCTATTGTTGCAAGGTTTTCTGCCGCGTGGTCTACATTTGCTATGGGTTGCTGGATCGCAGGACGTTTGGCGCTGGAATCAGTTGCGAAAATTGGAGGTTGTGAACCTAACGGACTCTTATGTTTTGGTTTCGTATTGGCTGGAGAAGTGAAGGAGGGTGATGCATTGGGCGTGAAAGTCGGTGGAATGGTAGATTTATTAGTCGTGATTGGGGGCACGGTGCTCGGCTTGGATGTAGCTGGTTGTTTTGTGGTCTGGGCATTTGAGGTGAAGGGTGAGGATTGAGGTGTTTTGAAAGTGCTATAATCTTGCGTTGTGCTCTTGCTATTTGATGGGTTTGCTGATTTTGGAAAGGAAATCGGAGCTTGCGTATTGGAGGCGGGAAACAGGTCCCTTGCGCTGTTCGGGATCGGCGGACTCTCTGTAAGAGATTTGACCGCTCTACTGCTCTCACTTGTCGGAATTTCCATGGCTGCTTGTGTATTAATCTGTGCAAGCTCTGGAAACAGAGGTGTTGTTCGCTCAGCATTCGTGATGGGAGGTAGTGATCTGTGACCTGGTCTTGGCGAGGCTGGCGGTTTCGTGAACGACGACACGCCGTCATCCGCTTTCGGGGAGGCAATATTGGTTTTTTCGGTAAGTGGTATCGGCGGAGGATCCTTGAGTGGCTTGGTGTCGAGCTCTTGAGCTGGCACGAGCTCTGGAGTATTACCAGGTTGGTCTAATACGAAAAAGGTTAAACTTGATCTTCTCAACTCGGGTGGGAGCCCTGGAGCAGAGAGGGCAGATGGCATTGGCCGAAAAACTTCGAAGGAGTCGGGAATATCTTCGAGTAGGTCGACATCGTAATCCATGGATCTATACAAAAACAAAAGAATATATTGAAGTAGAGATGCGGCCAGAGCGGATGGAAATAGAGCACCAAAATCACGGGCTTCTGGCAAACAATGAAACCGCTAAACAGAGATGAATACAGAACTTACTCGTATTCACGATTCCATTCACGACCATGGATGGCCAAGCACTATTGACAGCAGAAGGGGCCATTGAGAATGCAGGAGGGGAAGGCGCATTTGCCGGGAAAGAAGGTATGCCGAAAGATGATGAAGTCGTTGTTGCCGCTTTCGGAAACATAAAAGCGCTCGGGGTCGGCTGAGACGTCGTGGGTTGTGGCTTAAAAGGATTCTCGAGGGAAGGGCTGTTTTCAAATATGCCTGTCCTTTGTGGGTCGTTGGCACTGGCTGAGAGAGAGCAGGGAGCTGTGGCGGGTTGACTATCCCAACCATTCGAAATGCTCGGGGCGGATGAGGTTGGTGGTGGCGACAAAGCTTGCGAAATCGATGTCCTAGGCGTGAATGCCGGTGCTTGTTGATTGAGCTTGAGGAAAGGGTTATCTTGGTTAGGCTTGGCTTCCTGTTCGTTGGTCTGCCGAACGAACAATGCGTCTTCGTCGTTGACTGCCAGGTCTTCTTCAGCTTCTTCGTCATCGGCCTCCTCAGGTTCTACTACAAGGCCCTCCCGGATGGCCTGTGCAACATTAATGCCGTTGATAACGGCGACAAGAGTTCTATGGTATCGTTTCTCTTCAACGATCCCAAAGGAGAAGACCTGTTTGTTTGGCGTAGAAGATTCTGGACAGTGTAAGAACAGGAGGTGCTTATCAAAGGGGGAAATAGTCTGAGACCTGACTCACTGTCAAGTATCATTTCTGGTTGACTCGTAAAGTCCAAGTACTGTTCACCGGCATCATTGTACCTGAAGCCAAGATTATACTCTCTGCAAAACTCCAAGGACTGCTCTTCGTCATCGAAGCCCATTAGCTTCGTAAGCTCTTCCAAGGTCCAGTCCTGACGCTTGGCTTGCATGCTGGTTGGAGCACGCTTGATCGATTTCCAGAGACCCTGAAGCGCCATGAGACGGACTTGCCCAAAGTAGATTTCCGCAACACAAGCCATCAAATAAGTGACAGCTTTTGATTTCAGCACATTCCAGAAGCCAACAGCATTCCCTTGCGCAATATCGAAGGCAGCTTGTGGCTTTAGTGGTCCTTGGTCGTATAATGTGTTTCCTGCGGCTGAGTAGAGCTTGAAGGCGGTACATATCCGAGGGTGCCTGAGTAGTTCCTGAGGCCATGACTGCATTCGATCCTCCAGATCTGGCTGCTGAGACTGCAGCTCAAAAATAACGCAGTAAGCTCGAAATTCAGCCTCGTTAGCGAAATCTTGCCGATCTCGATAATCGTCATAGTAGTACATCAGGGACAGGAGAGTGTTGTTGAGCTGCTCGCGCTCCTGATGCGCGTCGAAATGCTCGCCAACAAGATTTTCAGGGTTCGAGAGTTGATGTAGCGAGAGGATATGGAAGCGTGCAATCCGTTCGAAGCAGTCTATGGCAGTCCGAACATCCTCCTCTTTGGTTACCTGCTGGATGGAGAAATCATTTCGAATACCTCTGGTTCGATCCCAGACAAATTTGTGTACTGTTGCAAGCCTTTCTCCTCCACCCACAACATTATCCAGGAGATAGTTCAGTGTCTCACGGAGCGTCTCAGGCGTTCTAATGTCGGAAGGAAGCTGTTCGTCGTAGCCGGCAGCAGATCTTCGAAAGCGCTTAATCATGCGCTCTTCAGAAGGCATATCCCGGCCGGTCTCTTCGTTCGCGACCTGACATCCTTAGCCTTCCCTGATGGACCAAGGTCTGATCAACTCTACCTTTTCCACCTTGTCAACCATATTTTGCACAATCCGTTCCACTCTCTCGAATTCTGGACACATCTCTGTGCACGTTCCCACAGGGGTGATGGCTTTGTCTAGGCTAGTCTTTTTCTCTGGGTCTGCTAGAAATCCATCTTTGATTGCCTTTGCGCGCTCGATCTCCCGTTTTGTTTTCAGCTAGACGTTGGAAGGTAGATGTCAGGGGTCTGCATTGTAGGCCGCAGTCAGTAGACGAGGGGCCAGACGTGGACGTACATGCTGAAACTTTGTAGTCATGTGATTCATGTAGTCCCGTTGACTCGAGGGAGGCGGAGGTTTGGAGGATGTGAAGGGAGGCTGAGTCGAGCGTCCTTCATGGCCGCTATTCAGCTCTCGTTGGCGATGCCTTGGTATTCGTCCTTTCCACACGTCAGTGATAGCCTGTACGAATATGGTGAGCCATAAGCCAGTGCAATTTTGGTTCATGTTTCGTAGGCCTGGTAGTTCTTCGTACCTGAGCCTCGTCGCAATGCTCCAGTGCCTTGATTCAAGCTACCGGACTGCAGACCTTGCAGCAGGGTTTCCGCTTTCGAGTTCGTCGACACAATGGCATCACCACGACCTCTTCCTACTTTCACGGATTGCGTGCCTCCTCTACCGCGACCCCTTTGAGCTGTCGGAGTAACCCCTCTGCCTCGAGACTGGCCTCCCCCTCGCGGCCTGCGAGGAGGCGCAGACATTGCTGTCAGTCCTCCACCAACTCATCGACATGCACAGGCGACTATGTTCTCGTAGAGACTCGGCAGCTGGCGGTTTGAGTGTCCGGCGTATTGGTACTGGAGGCAACAAGGACGATGTAGCTTTTGTTTGGTGATGCAGCCGCTCGGACACATTCCCCAAAACTTTAGGTCTCGCTGAGCTTGGATTGTAATCCGCGGCAGACATTTTAGGCAACTGTGTCGCTTAGTGGTTAGCCAGTGGTTAAAGACATTTAGCCGCCGCACCTCTAACTTACGTGAGAATTCAAGGTACTCCAAAGTCTTTTTAGCCTCGTAACTACTACGTAGAGACATAAAATGTCAACGAGCATACGGTTTATAAATAGGTACTATTGGTGAAAATGCCTGACTTGAGGTCAGTCCATCCCCCCATGCTTCGATATGCCGAACAAGTTTCCTTCACCAGGTGCTGTTGCGCTGTAGCTAACAATTCCTCCCCTGTCGCGCTCTGCAGCAGAGGTCGCATCCAATTTGCCTATCGCAGACCTATATACCGCTCTTTCCTGCGCGTATCAAGGCACAACAAGGCATAACGACAAACCGAGAAATAACTGAAGGTCTTGAAAGAGTGGTGACGCTCAATGGACGCTTTGGATATTCGACGAAGAAGCTGCATGAAATTCGTGGCACTAGAATTCTCAGTGACCCCATGCTGAACAGGAACATAAATCAAACTCGTGCGCAATCAAACCGTCCAGAGGATATCTTTTGGAATGATGAGATTAGAACAGAAAAGCCCCTGTCACAAATGGTCTCGCTCACTGAGACTGGAGCAAACAAAAGATGCTGGAAGACGTATACGGACGGAGACAAATTTTACTAGAATGAAAATCGAAGTTCTTTCATCGCTTGCTTCATCCGATCTTAGCGGTTGAGCTACGCCCGAACGTGAGACGGCAGGTCGTAAGAATGCTGGCTCATCATGCTGGCGGGTTGAAATCTTGGGGTGGATTGTGAAGGGAAAGAACCGGTATGGGTTCGTTGGAAGCGAGCCAGATCGTCTTCATACCCAGCTCCGAATTGACCATGAATATCGACAGAGTATCCGTTAAAATTGCTGCGGTATGGCTGTTTGTGGGTTCCTGGGTAAGGGTAATGGCCGAAGAGGTGGTTTCCGTCTGCCGGGTTGATGGCTGGTGGCTGGCTGGGTTCACCAGTATAACGCATAGGATACAGATCAGGAGTGGCAGCAAGAGGCCACTGTCCTATAATTTGTTCATCTGGTGAGAAAATTTCTGAATGGCTGCGAATGTCTTGCATATTGCTATATGAGTTGTCGACGAAAGAGGCCCCATCGAAGCCATGTTCTGAAGACCCATGCTGTGACATGTCGCCCAGCGATGAGGTGACTTGCGCCGCCATGGAATATCCTGCTTGATGATCTTGATAGCTGTCTTTGCTTTCAGGCGGCCGAAAGTGATGTGTTGACCGATTCTCCACGTAGCTGCATTCATCAAGATGAGCTTGTGGTACCATTGTAGCCTGGTCCGCGTGCAAGTATGGAACAGAAGATATCAAAGCGGACGGGGTTGTTGGTGTCAAGATCTTCGCCTCCGCAGGTATGATCTCAGGATCTGGGCTGCTTTCTTCAACTTCACTCTCATCTTTGGCGTCCAGAGACTTTTTTGATCGTCCTCCGCCTCGAATTGTTCGAGCATCTTCCCTGCGGGCGTTGACGTAGACCATGGCCGTGCCGTCTATTGGAGGTTAGATCAATCCATTTGTATCAAGTGAGGGGCCAAGTGTCTCACCCTTTCCGCCACATCTGAAGTTTTCCAATGCTCTTCCAATTTTCCATACATCTTCCAGTATCGCTTCCTTTCCGGCTGGTTTGATTTTTGCTTTGTCTGATTCCAGGGCCGCCTTGAGGTCATCCGTACTGCACTCGTGTAGCCGATGGGTATTCATCAAGATATGACAGAGAAGAGCCAGGCGTTCTGGTACAATTAGCGATATCTCAAGGGCAGCGTTCGAGATACTAACGCTCTTTCTTGATATGATCGGGCTCCTTGTGAGGGCATTCCTCTTTTGATGGCCACCACTTTGGCTTCGTTTCCTCGGGATCCGAGTCTTTTTGTGTTGAGAGATCATTAGATGAGAATTTTTGAGCTCCCTTTACCTTGAGATTCCCGTTATAGGGATGGTTGACTTGTTTCTTCGGCTCTATGGTTCTGATCCAGCTTTTGCAGAGTGTCCGGCAATTGATCTGCTGAAAGGAGGTAAACGCATCAAAAAGATGCTCCTTCAGTTTTTCGGATTCTCGAACTTCGATCCCAATGAGCTGAGTCTGATTCTCGACTGTTTCAGCAGAGTCAGACCGTTCGGTAACATGGCTGCTATTGTCATCCTGCAACCAAGATGACCGATCCTCGGAACTCGCCCTGGCTCGCTTTCGTGGTGGTTTGACTGACGGAGGTTTGGACGCGGTGTGGCCTGAATGTGGTGCCGGGCTGGTGCACTTAGGTTGATATGGCATACCAACGTGTGACGTTCGGCCCTCAGCATTCGACTTGACTGGTATGCAAAGTTAGCTGAATTTGTTCAGTAAAATCAATCATGCCGCGTACCAAACGACTGTCGGATTGGGTTTGCTTTTATTCTTTCTAAAACTTCGCGATATTTTGGCAGTGCTGCTTGAAGTATTTTTCGTCGCTCGTCCATGGTGATGGTGGATGAGCCGTCTGCCTTGATGGTGCCCTCCCTATCGACGTACAATGAAACCTGGTGATAACGGTTCGTTGGTGGAAGTATTGGCGACTTCGAGGCTCCCTCTCGGCAGATCTGAGCTGGTGGTAAGTGACCGGTACGGGTGGGTATGATTTTACGGAGGCCATCACCTTTGTACCCTTTCTGCGACGGATGACAGACTGGGCATCCCGGACAGTGTGTCTGAGCTGCGTGAGATCATTTTTCTGATCGCTGGCGTGTTCGGTGTGCACCATTGTGTTGGCACGCTGAAATTATTCGCTTCCTCCCAGCGATATCTGAACGGCCCTAGGCCAAGAATTACCCGATTTGGACTCGTCAGATTTCAGTAGTAGCGGCGGCGGTGGTACATGTAATGAACGGTAGGGTGCCGCTGAATTGGCGGTCACTAAATCACTGCGCAGCACCATAGCAAGTTAGCAGAAAGCCGGCTCAAGAGGCTTGACATAAATTCGGGTTGAGAGAGTTTGGGGGCTAGTTGAGAGGCTCCGAGTGCGTGCGGAGCAGTCGGCCCTTCCCGTAGAGAGGGGAACAGCATGCCAGGCTCGTAGGCCATCGGGCCCTCTCAGTTTCTTGGTCTGTGCGGGTCTCTCAGTGCCCATTTAACCCTTGGGTCTGGGGTGTGGAAAAGGCATTGCGCTGCGTGAACAAGTCGCCAATTCCATATAGCAACGCCGAAATGGGTACTGTCAATAGACCTACCTGGGCAACATGTGGGAGAGAGCAATGACTTGGCGACACAGGATCCCGTTCTGGCGAGAGACGATGCCTCGACAATGGACCTACCCCAGTGGCGAGGACGAGTGGTCGCGGGGACAAAACTTGGCGGCAGTATAGCAGCACTGCCGTGCGTACATACAAAGCAAGCAAGCAAGCAACCACCTCGCCGACACAAGGATTAGGCCGAATAATGCTCTCCAGACTCTGTCCAGTATGCCCAAACAGTTGCAAGAAGGACGCACAGGTGTCAAGACGGTGGACAAAAGCGAAGCAAAAAGTGACAAGAACAAATCCTCCCCTTGAGAAACGTAAACTTTGATGGCGACTCAACACTCTCGCCTGGCTGTCGAGACTTTCTCCTGAATGATAATATGGAGCAAACACTACATCACTTGGTAGTAGTCGATCGGTCACCTTCCGTACACTGGCCCCCAGGCTGGTTTGAGTTTGGGCTCCTTCTGATGTGTCAATGCAAAATGCAGGACGGGGTCGACGGGAGCTGTTCTGCAAACAGATTAGGAGGAGAGGAATCCAAGCTAGATCAAATACTTGCCCTGCGGTTGATCTCTTCTCGCAAAGCCCATCTGCCGACCTCAATTTGTTTAGAAACGCCCGGTGACACTCTGCCAGCCAAAGGTTATGAAGCAAACCACACTACGGATGCGTCGCCAGCGTTCCCCGACTCTTGTTCGCGGCAGGGCTGGCAGTTGTTGAGGGGACTCGGCAGGCCAATTGGTTTGACGTAGTAGTAAATATTGTGTGCCAGCTCAGTCTCGTCGAGACGAGGGCCACACTGACCCACAGACGTAATCCGAGATCTCAATTGCAGATCAGCTTGTCAAAGATATGATATTGTGATGAAGGCAACTGGGTAGCTGTTATGCTTTTGACAAAACGCGGCTGATGTAATTAGAGCTTCAAGGCTATTTCTCAGCGTTCTTGGAGTGGTGATCTGCAGGGCCAGAGCAGGGTTCCCGTGTCTCCTGGTTCCTTTGGTGTACACATACCGACAAACAGTACGAGTAGTGTCCAAGGTTCGGGAAAATTTGCTACTGTGCCTACTCAATCTCCAGGTTTGTGTCGCAGTTCAGCAGACGCAGAGCTACAATGTATCCAGCTTGTACCTAGCTTTGCCAATGATCTGCTTGCAGCATGTCGTGCGACCCCAACCTACCTGACTAGGGTGTGTGGCCGTGCGGGCAATTATTGCGAGACCCTCGGTAGATCGGGTGGATCAAGAAAGGTACTCGAGTGTTTACTAGTAGCAAGGCCAATTAACCCTTGCTGTGAACATGTTTCCGTGGTGGACTTGGGTGAAGCACAAGGACAATTTCCCGGAAGTGGAAAGTGTGGAGGGAGGAGGCATGCATCCATTTCGAACAACGAAGTGCATCCATGATGTACAGTAACTCATTAGAAGACTGGCTGCGACTCGCCGTTAGATCACCGCTAACTCGGCTCAGCATCAAGAATGGAGTACGTGAATCGTGATAGTAACGGTAGCAGGAGAAATGTCGTGGGCCTGGTGTTGGACTACAACCAGCAAGAAAGGGCCCGTCCAGATCCTGCAAGATGGGATGCAAGGATGTCCGTCCAGCCAGCTTCGAGAAGTTGGATGACGCACAGGACTCGATAAACGGGCCTGGGAGTAAATACTCTATGGGTACTTCGTAAAGGCATGTCTCAGCAACGCATCTCTGTGTATTCAACATCTCGTATCCCTGTATCACCATGGAGGCTCCGATCTTGCCAGCGAATGGGCATCTTGTGTTGCACGGAGCCTGCTCCTGTATTGGCATAGCGATCGAGGGTGAAAAGTGGTATTGTGAGGTATTAATGCTTCTATCTTGGGCTTGGAAGAGGGTGCCTGCTTTTAGAAGGCTGCAGCTGATGCATGGACAGTGGACGCTTGATGACATGATTTACTGTATGTCGAAAAAGGGAGTGGATGAGCTGGCAGGGAACGCATGAATAAGTGCGCCTCGATTGTAACTTACCAGGAAAAATTTTCAAAAGGAGAGCATGCTGCTTCCCTGATCATGGTGATTACATCATCCATTTGTTGACAGCCAGAATTTTGCTCTTTTGCAAATGGTAGATGGCAATCGGTAAAGATCTCAGTCCGCTTCTCCACACCTGCTGGCACTCATACTACTCCTTATTCAATTCCTCCCTTTCTCCTGGGGTTTCCACTCCATACAGCTGATCATTCAAGCCTTAGCAATAACGCTTCGTTACCAGCTGTCATGCAACCAGAACGGCATTCGGTACTTGCTGCGGTAACTCCTACCGGCCTGTCATGCAGCATGTCAGCGATCCTTTTAGCGTTTTGCTGCTCTTCACCGGATAGTCTTGGACCCATCCCAGAAAAGCGCAACGTTTTGTCATGAGATCTTCAGCGTCAAACGGCTCGCAAACTGCAAAAACTGCAAAAGGCACCTCATTGGACTTGCCTACATTGGCTTTCCCATCCGTATGCCCGCCGCCATCTAATGCAATGGTCCGCTGCTGTCAAGCAACCCTGCTTCCTTGACAAGTTCGTAGAAAAGCCCTTTTCCTCGAATAAGTTCGCTGGGGGTGTCAAATTCAGCTACTCTGCCCTGCTGCAGCACGACGATCTTGTCACTGTCTAGGATTGTGTTGATTCGATGTGCAATGGTGATGATGGTTCGGTCCTGAAACATACTGCTGCGCAGGGTGCTCTGAAGCAGAGAGTCTGTCTCCACATCAACTGCTGCCTGTTTCTTGTTAGCTTCATCCCCCTCTCCACTCTTCTGTAGATCGACCTACTGTAGCTTCATCGAGCACCAGAATGTTGCTTGGCGTCAGGAGTGCCCGCGCTATTGAGACCAATTGCCGTTGTCCTTGGCTGAGGTTAGAGCCTGCGGTCGAGCAAAATAGATGTATCAGTAGTTGTGCCTTTAATGCCAGATAAGGAAGATATATGAAGGCACCAAAAAACAGCACAGACCTCCTTCGTGAACAATAGCATCAAGGCCACCAGGCATTGCCGAGATATGATCTTTCAACCGAGCATGCCCTGAATTCAAAAGTGTTGTGATTAGTGAACGTCTTTGCCAATGTTGACAAGCAGCACAACATACCCAAAACACTCCACAGCTCAGTGTCATCATGCACGTGACGAGGATCGAGATTGTCTCGAATAGTGCCTTGGAAGAGTGCGGCATCTTGTGGTATTATCGCCAACCTCCGCCGCAGATCTAGCAGCCCGATCGAAGAGATGTTAAGACCATCAATTCTGACGAGTGTCAGCGCTCAGTCAGACAGCAAGAGACTTCTAAAGACAGGAAGGACATACGTTATGTTGCCTGACACCGGCTCGATTATTCGGAAAAGTGCCAATGTAAGTGAGCTTTTGCCGGCACCTGTTCTGCCAACAACCCCTACTTTTTCGTGCGCTTTGATGTCTAAGCAGATGTCTTTCAGCACCAGGTCCAGGCCTTCACGATACCTGGTGCTATAATTGTTGAATTGCACAGCGCCATACGCAGGCCAGCCGATGTTCGGCCTATTCTTGAAGATCACGTCAGGCGCCTCACTTGGCAGATTGGCGTATTCCAGAACCCGTTCCACCGAAACGATGTTTGTCTCCACCTCAACGGTTTGGCGAACAATCCAATTCAGGGACTGCGTTATTTGTAGTGCATACGACAGTGACAGGCCCACAAAACCGGCTGAAAGGCCGCTTCCGGAGGCGACAGATATAATGGCAAAAGAGGCAGCGGCAAGGATGATCACCGAGCCTATAAATTCCAAACGGACGGCCAGCCATCTGTTGGCATTGATCGATGGGAAATAGGCCCGGAGGTTGGCATCCATGCGCCACTCGTTCTCCAACGCAAATCTTGCCTGCTGCCTATAGGCTCGGATGGTTGTGACACCACCCAATGACTCTTGGAAGTGTGCATAGATGGGACTACGGCTGACGCTGTCCAACCGTTTCAGCTCACGTGAAGTCCGAAGGTAGTACTTTTGATAGGCGAGATAAATGGCCCCCAATGGAAGGACCAGCACCAGGAAAATTGGAGTGGCCGCTGCTATGACAGCCAGCGTGAACCCTGCCCTAGCTGTATTGACGAAAAGCTAACAATAAGGTCATCAGTATGGCATCACGCAGGTAGCATAACTGTTCGAAAGAACGCACCATGTTAAACGTCCGAGCCAGAACTTCATCAACACGGTAAATATCACTGTGCAACCAGGTCAGCATGTTGAGTCTCATTATAATGCCACGTATTCAGGCCCAAAGATGAACCATGTCCAGCGGATTGGGCTTATGCGGGCTGCCGTACCTGGAAAATCGATTGAGTATACGGCCCGCAGGGGTTGTCTCGAAAAAGCTCATTGGTGATCGGAATATGGCGAAGGCCATTCTCTCGTGCAACTTCCGCGAAGCCTGTAAATCGCGTCAGCCCAACTTGAAGGATTACAGCTATCTTTGGATTGTCTGACCTCGATTGAACAAAATATCCAAAGGATCAAAGTTTGGAGGACGACCAATGCTGCAGATCCAATTCCGAAGGCAAAATATACTCCAAGATATTTTCCAACCTGAGGATTGCCTCCCATTTGCTCGTTAGTCTCTGACCATCGCTTCAACCAAAAACTGCCTCCAATTTGAGCGGTCTGCGCGGCCACAAGGCAAAGCAAATAGATGGCTACCGCGTAAAGGTTGCTTGTCTTTGCATATTCGCCGTATACGCTCCATTTCACCTTGCCTTGTTCTGAGGTTTCTTTGCTCTGCTTGCTCTTAATACCACCGGCTTCTTCATCGGTAACTTTGCCTCTAGGACCGTGGAAGCTCGCAGTGCTAGCACGTCTGAGGGTAACAAAGCTTGATTTGCGAGCAGTCACCGCCCCTGGTCGGATGGCTTCAAGACTTCCGATTGTTGCCTGAGCCTCTTCTGCTTCTTCGTCGTAGCCGGCGCCGTTCTCGATTATGGTCACTGACTCGTCAGTGTAGTCGCTGAGTTTACTGGCGCTGCTTGGACTACTCGACCCTTCCTCCTCGCTCGATGATGTTTTGATGAGATTGGCAATTTCGCCCTTCATTGCCATCAATTGGTCATAGGTACCTTTCTCAAGAATGCGCTGGTCGCGCAGGAGGCATATGAAGTCGGCTTCTCGGAGAACATTGATAGAGTTTGTTGCAAGAATCCTCGTCTTGCCGCTGAGCAGACCATTGGGACCTAAAACACGATTGATGAGATGTCTTCCAACGTGCTGGTCCACGGCAGATAGGACATCGTCTAGCAAATATACGTCGGCCCTTGCGTAGACTGCCCGAGCCAGTGTCAGCCTCGCTTTTTGACCTCCTGATAACGAAATGCCACGTTCTCCCACCTCGGTCGAGTCTCCATCAGGGAGGGTCAGGAAGTCATCACGCAACGCACATGCATCTATCGTTTGATTATAGAAGTAAGGATCCCAGCGATGACCGAAAACTATATTTTCCTTAACGCTTGCGTTCATTACCCAGGGCTGCTGAGCAACATAGGCCATTCGCCCTCGCACGACCACTTCTCCGTGCATCTTCCAAAGGTCACCGAGTATACTTTGTAGGAACGAAGATTTACCAGTGCCAACCCGCCCTACCAGACAGCTGAGCTCACCTTTATGAGCTGCAAAGTTGATATTGCAGAGCACGTCTCTGCCTTCTTCCTTGTTCCATGTGAAGGTTGCATCGCGTATTCGCACCGATTCTTCTCCTATCTCTGTGACTGGGTCTTCAACACGCACAGCATCGTCCTGCAGCTCCGCCGCAGCAAAATAAGTCGTGAGACGATTCACAGCCACTGTGGCCTCGATAATGGATGTGATTACCATAGGCAGGACCGAAAGGGGGAAGGTGAGCAAGTTGAACAAAGTTAATGCAGGGAAGACAATGTCTGTAGTCAAAGGTTGATTAGTGGTCAAGACGAATACAGCAAACGTCGAGCAGGAGACAAAGAAGGGTGTTGTGGACCAAGTGAAATTGGCAAAAGATTGTGCTGCTCCTATTTTTCGAAGAGTGTTGAGCTCCAAGTCGTTTCGAATATGGCTTAGATTCTCCATGAATGCTGAAGTCCACGCGTAAAGTTTGATGCTTTTCATGTTGTTCAGTATTTCGGTCATGAGCCTGGTCCTCTGGTCCTTGTTCCTCATCTGGACGATTTGGAGTTTCTTCATGATTCTAGCAATAATGCCATTCAGTGGGATCATGACTATCATGGCTGCTACGCCTGCCAGCATCGAAAGTCCCACCAATTGATACAGAGATATCATGCACAACACAATCTGGAAGGGAGCTGACCATATTTGCTGACCGTACTGTGTAAGATCAGCCAAACGTTGTTGGTCTACGGCCATGTGATTGACAATGTCACCAGTAGATTTCGAAGCACGACCTTCGTTGGAGAGCTTGAGTGCTTTTGAGTATATCATCGCGGTAAGGGAGGACTTGACTCTCATCCCTGTCTCGAATGCCCGTTGGAAATACTGATGAAGGGCAACGGTCTGACAGACGGAAGCCGCAAACATGGCCAACGCTATAGCAGCTCCTCGTATGGCCGGTTGAGGTTCATCGCCGTGGCGATAGGAATCCACAAACGTGATGATGAGTCGTAGAAGCTGAGGCTGTACAAAGGCTAGTGCGTCACTGATGGTCTTGATCAATGCGCCCCGGAAGTATGGTCCACTGAATGCTCGAAACAATGCCAGCCATAACGACGGATGTTTCTTTTCAAGCTCGTTGGTCCATGCTTCCTGTAATGCAGCGCCAGTAACCTTGGTCGTGTCTCTCGGGCGCAAGTTCCACAGGTCATCTTGAGTCAAAAAGTGCTTATATCCGTATTTCATCAACGGGGTCATCCATCCAAATGTCAATATCGAGAAGATGTCGGCATATTCCATGGGACATTCATCCTGATCTTTCAGTGCGTGCCATGCGCTCTGTTTCTTCGGTACAAAATACTCCAGCACGAATTCTATAATGGCAAGGCCCAGACTGGCGTTGAATGTCACAAAGTATGGCAATCGAGTCTTCCATAGTTGGCGTGATATGAGCGATCTCAACTTCACTCCATAGGCGAGGACGAAAAATAACCAATACAAGAGGACGACACCGTTGGGTTGCCGGCTCCGCCAGTGCTCGAGATATTGTACTGTAAAAACGATCCCAAGTGACGCAAGAGTAATCACCGAGGTCCAAAAGCGGAAATCTTTGGCCCATAGCTCTGGGAAGGACTCTATCTGAAGGGAGGCTTGTAGGGCCGTGGTAAGGACGAGGCATGCGATCACTATCTACCACGGAGTCAGCCCAGCGTCAACAGCAAGTTTGTTTTGCGAGATCTACCAGTTTAGTGTAGAAGTGCCAATCCTTAGAAACTGGCTGCGCACTTCGTCTCTTCAGAAGGAACCATATTGCTCCTGCACCTCCTACCGTGCCCAATGTCGCCACGAACACAATCCAAACATCAACAAAGCATGGCGTAAAATCATATCTCACAGGGCTTATGGGACCCCAGCCTTCAGGATCTCCGCATAGAGGTTGTTGTCTTGTTCGCCAGAGCTTGTCCTTATGGGTTAACTGCGCTCCACTGAAGGTCTGCTGCTGGCTTCCAGCAATCATGTCAGCTCCTAAGCCAAGCAACAATCATGGATGTGCTGCGCGAGTTGAAGTCTGCGTATAGCAAGGAGAAGGGAAACTCTTCGCTACAGAAAACTGGATGCCTCGCTGCAGCTGTGATTCTGTTGACATGGGATGGTTTATGGTGCTGAGCATAAAAATAAGTTCCTAAGCGCCTTACGTCCCACTCCACCCGTCAGCTTTAACTAAGTGTCCCCCTCCCCCCCAACTCTTCCTCGAACTAACTTAGCTTGTTACAATCATTGGAGACATATCCGGGACATCCGCTTCTGTATTTCCCATAGCCGCTTCAGCCGCCTACCGTCGTACAAAAATGTTACAGTACTGGTTATGTACCCTCACAACGTCGCAGGGACAACCAGAGCCTGAACAACGGAAAAGATCCGACTTAATCGGTAAACCACAAGGTACATCAATGATTTGACTGTCTGTGGACATCTTACATTCAGCCATCAAGGGTAAGTTAGAAGGATTATTCTAGAGAAGTAGCTCGAGATCATTCTAACGACCTGCCTGCGTTCTCTTCATTCGTTCCTCCGCAGCACGAGCTCGTCTCTCCCGTTCCAGCTTCATCCTCATCTCGGGCGTCAGCCCTCTCCCTTCCTCTTCTCTGATCTCAGCCCCCGTCTTGTCCCTGCTTCCCAGGCTCTTTCCAGTCCCAGCTTTCTTTTCAATCCGACCGATCCTCTGAGCTGCTTCTTCATGACGCAGCCTTTCGAGATCAGCCTTGCGACGTTCAGCCTCTGCCGTACTTTCATGTGCCTTCTCAAGCTGTTGACGATCTTCAACCTCCTTTTCAGAAAGGGCCGACGGAATATGGGCACCTTTCCAGTCAAAAGCAGATTCTCCTAACAGGTGACGAGCTAAACGGAAAGCGTCTCGTGTTTTGGAGTCGCCGGCAACGTCAAATGCTGTTTTGCCATCCCCATTACATAGAGTAGGGTCAGCTTTTGCTTTTGTCAGCAGCGCTAGCACGACAGCGGCAGAGCTGTTCGATGAAGCCAAGTGCAAAGCGTTCGGTGCATGATGGTGTTGAGACGCATGGGAAGGAAAGAAGGTATAGTCGGACGATAGATTATTGTTCATCAAATAAGTCAGAAGAGCAGGAGCTTTATTGCGTCGGATCAGGGTCTGGATCTGGGAAGTATGCATGAGAGCGACTTCTTCCTCCTTATTTGGCTTTGGTGGGGGCTCGCGAGCCATGGCTTTCGGCTTAATGAGCTTGCTGGCCTTTTCTTGGTCTGCTGCGTCTACCGAGAGAGCAGATTGCGAGATTGTGCTGACCTTCAATCTGGTGAGCTCTGTGAAAGATCTTAGCAGTTCAGCTTGCGTCGCTCTTCGTGTACTAAATGGGAAGCCACGTATACGGCTATCAGTAGCCCGCAAGACCTGACATTCATAGGGTCCATAGAGAGTTCTTCGACTGGTGGTGCCTGTCGCACGGATAAAAAGTAGCTCAGACTTTTCAATCATCTCTTTCCATTCTGCTAGCACGCCGCGGACGTCAAATTCTAGAGCCATCTCATTGTAGCGACGTATCGACGAACCGGCGGAATGTGCATTTCCCTTTGCATTGTCGTTAGCAGACTGCGAACCGCCCTGTTTCCGCCGTGTCGTATACCTGTGGAAGGTTTTGTGTGCTTTGACAATTGCATGCCTTTCTTCATGCCCTCCAGGGCCTTTTCGAATCTGCGGAGCTAGTGATATGATCATTGCCGCAAAATGACCACCTCCAATCATACATAGGAAATAGTGAGGAGTGGGTGGCCCAGAAGCCTGGGGAGTTGTTTGACCTCCAGAACCACTATGCTTGGCAAGCACTGGCTTGAGCTGCTTCTCTTTGATGACCTGAACCAAATCCTTGCGTAAGTCCGCTTCGGTAAGCAATGCTCTGTAGATTCCTAGTGACACAACCTCTGGCAGTCTAGAACTTGACAGCCATAAGAGGGGAGGATTACCAGAACCTCTTTTCTTCTGCTGGAGAGACGGGCCGTTGTCTTCCTCCTGCTGAGTTATTATGGCCTGACGTTTGAGAAGGGCAGTCAGGGCCGAATCAGATGGTTTGCCATCTTCGTGGTTGTCCTCGGACTCAGAGTCGGATGAGTCTGATCCTGAGAGAGATTCATCGAGATCTCCTATAAGTCTGTCGAAGGTAGACTCATTGACGGAAGGCAGACACTTCAATGCCAACTTCAGATTGTATCGATGAAAATCCGACTTAACGTGTCCACGTTGGTCGATGACAGTTGAGAATGATGCCCGGCAGAGTGCACAAGAAGTAGAGGAAGGAAGCGCATCATCTGGAACCCCTACAGAGTCTACTATCGACCGTGGCACCTGCTCACCCAACCCAGGCTCAGGAGACGTTTCCGTCAGATCTCGACTGCGGAGGCTCAAGAGCAACTCTGGCGGCAAGTCAAATACTACGAAGTGTCAACCTGAGACGCCACCAGAGGAGGTGCGACCAACAGTACAAAGGCCTCCGCAGAAGATCGTTGGATTCTTGCACCCCGCCCGCCATCACAGTAGTTGTTGAGTTGGCTGCTAGAAGACAGATAGAGAAGAGTGCCCACACCTTCACTTATCGACTTGAGGACACCATTTCGATCTTCAGGGCTGTTCCAAGGTAACAGTATTGGTCATAGAAGGGCGAGGCTAGGGTCAACGAGTCTTGGCCACCCATCTTTGCACTCAGCATGGGTGGTAAAAGTCACGTGCGTGGCATTCCGATGACTCAGCATATCTCTTGGCAACTCCGCCTTCACCTTTGGGTTGTATCCTTGTGCTTCAAAGTCATCTCTGTTGTCAACACCTTGCTGCTGCACAAGTCCTCGACACATTTTCACACTAAACTAATTCCTCCTGTCGGGCCCACAAGCGGTTTCTCATGTCAAGAACTTGATCAGATCCGCAGCAGCTTGGCGCGCTGATCTTGTGGCAGCGGTAATCAGTGTGAAACATAAGCAAAACAGACGAAGCAGAAACACCTGCACATCCTGGACATGCGCTGTCCAGTCAGCATAAGAGGCACTCGCCACTATCAATGCATCTGTCAGCCGCCTGCATTATGACCGAAGCTATTGATGCATTCTATTTGCGCCATTGGTCCTGCAATATCAAGAGACTAGACAACATCAGCAACATTCGAGGTATTTCTAATGATGAAGCATTTATGTGGCAGCATTGCTGATACCTCCGGAGCATGAAACACCAGCACCTTGGCTCACCCAGCGCTTCGGTGTCAAACATTCCTGCATACGGTAGGAACAAGTTCTCCAACCTCATTTCTAACACCAGATGTTTATAGACCAGCTATACGGCCTAAAACTATTGAAGGGCATATCTCGTCACAACGTGTCAAATCCCTGACATGCTCTCAAGATCAACCAGGAAGCTCTCCCTTTTCTCGGTGAGCCACAAAGTGTTGAGGCATCGATCCTACTGCTAGCTCCTCACACGTAAGCTGATGCTAAGTCTACTGCTGTGATTATGCATCGATTCCATGCATCGACACGCAAACAAGCTGACATCATTGAGCCCTTGCTGACGAATCAGCTCATGATATTGACAATTATTGTGGAGGTCTGAAGCAATTCTTCTTCACGAGACGTTCTGATCCCATGTCTCGGATCAGTCTCTCTCCGCTCACGAGTTACTTGGCAGCCATCGACTTCAACACCGTACCCATATATAGGATAATGTGCTGTGCATTCCATTGCTTTCATTCTGCGGGCTAGTCCTTCTGCACCTTTTTCAATTCCTTGGTTTATCGGACCTGCTGTCTTTCCTTAGTTCCTTTCAATTCACTCGTGGTTTGAGTTCGCAGGCCGGTCCTGTGTCTTCCATCACTTCCTTATTCAAAATGCACACCAGATACACTCTTATCTCCGGCCTTCTGGCCACGAATGCCCTAGCTTATAATGCGGTCCTCCGAGGCCGAACTCAAGCCCTGGCCGTGGCCGTAGCAAGCCTTGCAGGAGCACCAGCGGTCGTGAATGGAGCACCTCTCGCTGATTCTATTGGGGTTCTAATAAAACGACATGGGGCGGCTGAGGGTGCTGCCGATGAGGATGCTGCCGATGCTGAAGCCGATGCCGGTGCTGAAGCAGGTGACAGAGCAGGAGCAGGAGCGGGTGCGGGCGATGGAAAACGTGGAGGCAATAAGGGCAATAAGGGAGGTAACAAGGGTGCAGCGAACGGTGGAGCTGCCCCACCGGTGGAGCTGCCAACGATAACAACTAAATTATAATTATTACAAAGTAAGAGTATTACTAAACTAGATAATAAGATAGTTACTTTTAGGATATAGCTACTACAGAACAAAGGACTACAGTTAAACTAGATATGAAAACTACCTGAATACCTTATATTATATATAAAGCAGACTAAAATTAAAGCTTATACTTAATAGATATAAAGACTATAGGATATATAGGGTACCTCTAAAGCAAAGTCAGTGGCCAGGATGCAGCAGCTGCGAACGCCACTGCGCCCAACGCTGCAGCGCTTGGCGGTGCGAATGCCACAGCAGCTGCAAATGCCACCTCACTCAATGCTACAGTTACGGCTATTGCTAATACTACAGCTGTCAATGCTACGGCCGGTGTTGCGAACGCTACAGGAGCAGCAGCAGCGGGCGATCAAGCAGCAGCGGGCGATCAAGCAGCAGCGGGCGATCAAGCAGCAGCGGGCGATCAAGCAGCAGCGGGCGATCAAGCAGCAGCGGGCGATCAAGCAGCAGCGGGCGATCAAGCAGCAGCGGGCGATCAAGCAGCAGCGGGCGATCAAGCAGCAGCGGGCGATCAAGCAGCAGCGGGCGATCAAGCAGCATAGGACGCAAGGGCTGAAGAGGGTGGGAACGGCGCCGCTGCACCAGCAGCAGCAGCAGGAAGAGGAGGAAAAGAGGCGGCGCCCAAGAAGAGAGCCCTAGGCCCGTCAAGGTGGCCGATCTCGTCATGAGGCACCTTGCGGCTTGAGCTTCGCAATACAGAAAATCTACATAGGCTGTGAAGAGGCTCGCTTGGATTTGCTGATTTGGGTTAGGGTTGATGTGGGCAGTGAAAGAGCCTTCTACTTGGAAATGCGCAGGCTCCGTGTACGCAATCCTGTAATTATACCTGCTTAGAGATGCCAAATAACAGTGTTTTGGGAGAGAGAAAATGTAGTGGTTGTTCGCTTGACTCGACTTAGGGAACAGACGACTTGAATCCGGCCTTTGGGCGCGCTTCATGAAGCCCTGCTGCTGTGGCTGCTGCTTTAATTGTGGGGAATTTTGATTTCTTTATTTGGCACGGGGCTGAATCATGTGATATTTAATGTGGAAGAGGAGATTGTTGAAAGAACGCGGAGCCAGAACGGATCAACCAGTAGGCTACTACAAGCCTGGGATGTAATGTAATAATGGGCTTGACCGGTGTGGTTGATTATCATGGCACGTGGAAAGGACAAGAGGAACCTAGCGACCATTTGGGTCTTTGGTAGAGGACATATTTGCTGTCGTCTATGTCAGCTGAATGCTCCGCAGCTGATCGCCAGTTGAGCTCTACACTGCTTTGCTGTTGGTTGACGGTTACTCTGCTCTGGTCCGTGATGTCCCTCAACGTCGAAGGGTGAATACCGTGACTGCCAGTCCTGGCATCATTGTCGTGGCCTAGGTCTCATCCGAGGAGTGTCCCAGATGAGCGACTTACCTCTCTCGCGCACTCGTAGTAGTTCAGTTTCTGCTCACTTCAACATCCGGCCGTCCTTGGTTCTCGTTCTGAACAGCACCAACACCTTGGCCATCCACCGGCCACTGGAATACTTCCCAGCTCACATCTGCACCCTCAGCAGATACCTCAACCTGACCTGACTGACATCGTAGACGATATACTCGTTGTACAGGAGGTAAGCGTGGTTTTCGTCCGTCGGACCCGGCTCCGTGCTGGTATCCGGCATCTTGACACCCTTCAGATCGGCATGGACACAGCTTGCATCCTTCCAACCCTTGGGCGCTATCCCACCTACTCCCAAAGTAGAGATGCAGCCGTCTTTCTTTGCAGTCTCTCCGGCGTTTGAGTCTGCGTTCTTCAGCCTGAGAGGGGGAGCCCCAAGCTCGACTTCACAGAGTAAGAGAAGGCCTGTCCCACCACTAGAGCTGGCCCAGCAGTAGTTGGCTGATTTGGTCGAGATATCAGCGAGATAGACGCCTTTCCCAAACATATAGCCTAAGGACCAGCAGAGATTAGCTGATGGAACATCATGTCAGCAAGCCGTGCTTACCTGTGACCGGAGCTTCGGGTGGAGCAATACGGAGACCCTGACTCAGGATGCCACCGTAGTTGGTGCTTCGGGAGCCGTGCCAGAGAAGACGACGATCGGAGTTCTTGATAGATGCGTAAGGAGATTTGGCGAAGCGGTCCCTCTCGCCTTGTCGTTCGATGCGAAAGATGTCTTGAACTTTGTACTTGATGTCGTGCGTTCTGCCAGCAGATTTGATGAGGTAATCTTGGAGTTGCTTGAATTCTTCACTCTTGCTGTTCAATGGTGTCATCTCCTGCATCCCAAGACCTTCGTATTGCCGATCAATGAGGTGGATGTCGTTCTTGACTTTGTCACCCTTGGCAGTCTTCATGATTTCATTGGCGAGCTGCATGTCAGTCAGACTTTCGATCAACTCAATTTCTCTCTTCATCAGGCGATCGTCTTGAATGACTGGTGGTCGGTTGCGGCCGAATGCATGGGGAATGGTCGAGAAATAGCGGTTGCTCAGGTCTTCAAGAGTTTGTCCCAAGCTCTGGCCATATTGAGATTGTGCGAGCGAATGATCGCCAACAACTGCCGCAATGTCCTTGAGTACCTGGTAGCCTTGCGTCAACGTTCGCTTGCTTAGCTTTCCAAGAGGCATCTTGTGTGCATCATAATCCATGGAAGCCATTGTTTGATTGAACATCTCCGTATTGAAGATGAAGCTAATGAGGTTCTGGACTTCCTTTGGTAGCTTGCTCTCTACCGTGGCAGCCTCATTGCCGTCAATGCTTTGTTTCGAGGACCGTCGGGTACCAGCTCCAGAAAGGTCATCCTGGCCATCATCATCGCTCTCTTCGTAGTTGCGTTCAATGTATGTATACTTGCCTTTCTTGGCCGGCTCATGACGGCTATCCCACGTGTGGCCTGTCTTGTCTTTGAACTTCTTCTCAAACTGCGCCAGAGCATCATCGAACGAGCCGGAACCAAGCATGGCTTTCTGCCCACCCTCTCCGACTCGGCCCCACCTTGTCCAAGTCCGATAATCTTGCTCTGTGCCATTCACAAGCAGCTGAATTCGATAGAATTTGTTGTTGTTCCGGCCAGCATTGGTCTGATTTAGAGTCACATCATAGATTGTTCCATCATCGGCCTGATGGACACTGTGACTATCTTTTAAACTGCACCAGTCATCTACAGGGACATTGACAGGAGCTTTCTTGGATGCAGAGACGCTATTGGAGATTTGCTTCTTCGACCGAGTTGCAGAGTCCACGACCGTCTCCTCTTCATCATCTGATGGATCTGCTCGCTTTCGCTTTTTGGGTTTTGAGGCCTTGCTTTCCTTCGCCCCAGTGCCATCAGTAGTAGCACTGCTTCCTACCCCAAGAAGATAGCTCGTGTCGTCGACCATTTTTTTCGATGACAATGCCTTCACAAGCCAATCATACGAAACGATCTTGATATTCACATTATCCATAGCTTGTTTAACTGCAAGATTCAGAAAAGGACTTGACTCGTACTGACAAGGAATGGGAGGGATTTTGGTGGGGGGGTAACTGAGTGCAGAGGGAAGGTAATGTGGAAGTTCCCAGAAAGAGGCAAAATCGTCTGAGCAACAAGGGAGACAAATGCAACTGTTCCCTCACCTTTAGCTCCTTTCGCATCGTATTGCTTCTGATTAGCAATGAGATGGGTACAGTCGTCCGTCACCTTCGAACGAAAGGCGCCCCCTCGATCTGCAATATAAGTCTTCAGGTCACCTTGCATACCAGTCAACAACAAAGTCACGTCGTGCCAGCATTGAGATCTTACCAATGGAATGACTGCTGAGGTCAGAACACACGGTGTGGCTACCAGCAAGGACAACTGTGCAACCGGCAAGAGAATTGGAACCAGTAGGAGATGCCATCTCAGCTGCAGATCAAACTCGAAAGAAGGCAACAAGATGAATGAGTTGGGGTTTATGCAGATGAATGAGTAGAAGAACGATTTCAGAAAGTGAGTAACCGAAGAGTAGAAGAGTGGAAGTTGTTGACAAGCTGAGGCGAGTGAAGGGTGAAGTGTATGTAAAAGGAAGGGAGCTACGACAGAAACCAGGCAGAGATCAACTTTGATTGGTGGTGCCCAGGCAGCCACGGACGCTAGTGTCTATAAGGAAAGGCCTTGAAATCCCCTTAAGATTGCCGTCAGCAGCAACTTTCACCTCGATAATCTCAATTAGTACTTCATCTCCACTTTCAAGGTGAAATGACGCTTGTCATAGATCCATATGTGCCATTTGGATCTGGAGGAAAGGTGAATGCTGATAGACATGGTAGCAGATATACCTCATAGCACAATAAGACAATCTGCACAGCCAACCACCGTCCCGCCCATCGTTCAGCATCCGACTCTGTAAGAACTGGCGCTCAGGCACTTTAGGCAGCCCCAGCTGCGTAGACTGGCTGTTGTTGCTGCTGGGCCTGCATCATGTTCGACATGCCAACAGTGGGCTGCACACCAACTCTCTCCTTGGCCAATAGGTCCACAAGGAGAGGGCTCGGTCGACTGTCGCGCTGAGGCTGAAAGATCGCCTGGCTTTGCTTGTACTTATGCACATTCTCCAAGTACATGTCAAACAGATATGCAGAGTCTAGCGGCCCTCCCTTTGCCTCGGGGTGGAACTGCGTGGAAAAGATAGGACGAGACGTATGGATGAGCCCTACCCAGATAATTAGCTACTATTATCGATGGTATAGGTGTGGGATAAACATACCTTCATTAGAGTTATCATTCAAATTGAGGAAGTAAGGCTTCCAGTCACTTGGTAGGGTTGAAGCATCCACGGCATATCCATGATTCTGACTGGTGATGTGGCAACGCCCTGTGGTGAGATCCAACGCAGGAATATTGTGGGCACGGTTGCCATACTTCAATTTTATAGTGCGAGCGCCTGCGGCGAGAGCAAGCAGTTGATGTCCAAGGCAAATGCCCATAATAGGGATCTGAGATGATTCCATAAGCTTGCGGAGGTGGTAGACAGTCTCTTGACAGTGTGTAGGGTCGCCGGGTCCATTTGAGATAAAGACCCCGTCAAAATGGTGAGCCACCTTATGAATAGGATAATCACAGGGGAAAGCTGTGACGCTCGCACCGCGACCCACGAGACTCCGCAGGATGTTCTCCTTGACCCCACAGTCGATTACAGCGACATGGGCAATGGGACTGGGCGCACTAACGTGAAAGGGTGCTTTGGTGCTGACTTTGCGGACCAGGTTGATCTGTTCGGGATCGACGAAAGCTTCATCCTGGTCAGCATCATATTCCTCACCAATGGTGATCCTAGCAAGTGATGATCCTTGCTCCCGAAGATGTGTAACAATGGCTCGAGTGTCAACGCCTGAGATGGCTGGTACCCCTTCTCGAGCACACCAATCGCTGAGGCTCTCAACAGCAGTCCAGTGACTGTACTGCTCCGCCACATCAGCCACCACAACACCCACGGCTTGGATGTTGGGGGATTCAAAGTATTTGAGAAGCCCACAGTCATCACGCGCCGACGATGGAACGCCGTAGTTTCCAATCAGAGGCTGGGTAAAGACCAGGATCTGACCTCGGTAGGAAGGGTCGGTCAACGATTCTGGGTACCCCACCAGAGACGTCGTGAAAACAGCTTCACCAGATATGTTTGATTTTGCACCGAATGACTTGCCATGAAAAACAGGACCGTCCCGGATCGTGAGAGTAGCTAGATCATAGGATACAGGAGTGGCCCGGGTCCGCTTTGGGGTCGGCATTTGTCGTGGTGTTGCATCGGCCACTGTTGCCATGAAACGGCTTCGGCCAGCAAGGTTTCCAAGCGATTTGACGGGTATTTGTCCACAGACATGTTGTCTGAGAAGTCGAGAGAGCATGTTGACAGAAGAATTTGGTCGGGGCAGGAAACTTTCAATTTACTGATGCCTTCCACAGATGGTCTGGGGATGTAAGCGTGAATCAAGAGATAAGCCGACGATAAGGTCAAATCATACCTGAGATATAGTCCTAGTGGAGGAAAGTTAGCTGAGAATCTCTTTTGGGGTATGACGTGGCAGGATATCTGCTACCAGCGTCCCTGTCTACCAGCACACGACGGATGGTGGAAAACGCAATAGCTTACCTGAGAGGTGAAGGTGGAGTGTGCTACGGGCATGCGCGCAACTGGTTGCGTCTCAACGCAGAGAATTGATGATGACGAGGAACAATACGGCAGGAGAGTTCGAAGATCAAACGGTTGGTGCTTTGCACGAAGATTACTCGGTATGTTGTTAAGAGATGTGATACAAAGTGGGGTGGAGGAGTGCGAGGGCGTTAAAAAGGTGTGCGGTGTGAGAAATTTGCTGCTTGCACGTGCTGCCCCTCCCCAGTAAGTACCCCAGGACAAACATTTTCCGCCAATTGGAACCGCCCGATTGCGTTTCGCTTGTAAGCATCTCGCTTTGATTCAGTAACTACAGCCCAACCACAGTGTTAGTCACGGCAGTCACCAGGCGGATTGCTGATTTATCCAGTGCCTGTGGATGACCCTGTAGAATTTATTTAGCTGACTATACGCTACACAGCGCCCATCTGAAATACCAACGCCCTAAACACCACAACTAAGGGGATTTCTCGAGGTACCACATCCACCTACCATCTTCACCAAGTACAACTCGAAAAGGTTCTTGTAGTGTCCAGTCACAAAAATCCAGGACCCTCTGGGCCTTTGGGGCCAAAAAATGCCCCGAATTTGGGCTATCATCCAAGATAGACTGGCAACTGGCTGCCACAATACTGAATCGGGATCGTCTTCCCAGAAATCAAAACATGGCATCTACTCCAACACATGCCTCTGAACATCATAAGGACCCATCCACTCGTAATCTGTTCCTTGTTTCCAAGACCGTCTTGTTCCATGTTGCTTACCAAATCTGGCAATCTTTGGAAGTAGACTTTCATCCTTTGGGCCCACAAGGCAGACTCGCTGGTCAGAGATTGTGGGTAAGGGTAATTGGGGTGTCCGTAGTGTAAGACCTGTTGTGGCCCTGTGTTATACAGAGGTGTAATGTTTTGATGATCAAACATATGGCGGAGGTGGTAAGCAATTAAGGAAAAGTAGGATGGCGAGCGAGGAACTGGCGAACGAGGAACTTCTTCCGAGCCAGCCAACTTTGGAATGTCCCAAAGAAGTGATGTACTGGTTTGATATGCACGGTATATCTCCTCTTGAGGCGGAGTACGAACACTCCGACTGCTGCCGTCAACCCAGTATCTGGCCAGTAAGTCTATCTCATTGGTCCATTCATCTGAGGCCGCTGACAAAGTGGATACCTTCTCATGAACCCAAACTACACTCGACATACGTGACGCATCTGTTCTTCGGATTAGGTCACCAAGGCAGTTTTTGAATTCGATAAACGCTGTTGTGAGTGGTAAGCGAATGGCAGCAGCAGCAGCATTGGGAGATACTCACCTGCGCTTGCAGCAGTGACTCCATGAAACAGGAGCCCATTGTCTGGAGATGGTACTCCCAGGATCCCTAATTCTGGTCTGTACATCATTGGGGCGATAATGCTCAAAAGATCCGAAACGCCAGGGCACCAACCAGCCTGTTGCCAGTAAACAGATGTAAAGGCAGCCACCAGTCGTTCATTTCTGGTGAAATAGCGCAGGAGTGCAGGTATCCTGTCTAGACTGCTCACGTCAAAATCTCGATGGAGAAATCCAGAATTGACTCCTGGCAGAATGCCGAACGCCATTTTGTCAGCAGCCGCACACGGAATCAAGAGCATCTTACGCTCAACATGCTCTGGAATGACTGGAGTCAACCATGGGAGAGGAGCATTTTGGGCCCCGGAGCCCAAGATCTCATTTATCTCGACCATTGTGCCGACTGATCTCACAAGTACAGAGGTCAGATTGTAGCCATTGCCTTGCGCACGAAGAATTCCATCCGATGGTTCAAAGCGATCCCATTCCATGCCAAGTCGGCGAGCGAGGATTCCAAGATCTCCGATATTGATTCGAGCATATGGCTTGACGATGTCTGGAGGCATAAAATCCCAAGACCGTTCCTCAAACTTGACCAGGGGCATTGTCAAATTGCGATTCTCGTATTCTGCCAGCTTGAGATCGTTCTTCTCACCTCCCGCTTGTGTTACTCTGCTGAGCTTGAAGAGCATTCTCTTATGGGTCCATTGGATGGCACGTAGGAAACGCAGCCAAGTAACAAGCTCTGGTGAAGCAGCTGCTCTGCCGGATATCAGCAAGTTGACCTCATCAGCGCCTGCCTGGTGTTCTGCCCTGCCAAGGATCCAACCGCCGTCTGGGTAAGGGCACGCCGGCATCTCTGAGGAGACCCAGACGGTTCTCTGAAGCATGATATGCGGCACGGTGAATAAGGTCTCAAACCGAAACTCGCTCCAGCGGAATCTAAGTCGTGTGCGCTTAGCCCAAGGACCCACCACAGAGTCTTGACATCTCCGGAAGCCATCTGCTGTACCGAAATATTGCTGAAGAACTTGTCCAACCGTAGAGAGGAGCGCGACGAGCGCAACAGCTAGAGCTGCCGCGGCGATTGTGTTGTCCCCAGCCATGCCCTTCCCAGTCCTCCAATATCCAGTAGGAGACTCATCCTTGGTTTTCTCAGTAGTTCACAAATGTAGCAAACAGTGATAAGAAGTCTCCCTCCATCTCAGTGCTCCTCTTCGATGATGCTTTTTGCCGTGGGATGTCAATGCTGATCTCTCCATGAGGAACTTGCCACAAAAAGAAAGTTGTGTTGGTCATCCAGGGTCTCCGCCAAGACATGATAAAATTGGAAATTCTCTCGGTCATGAATATTAAGCAAGTTGACGAATACTAAGTAGCTCAGCCCAAGTCATACCCTTGAAATAACTACGTCTTTCATCATGGCATTTGGTATAGTTACACTGAATACTTTGCTTCCCATGACCCATTGCAGGCGTGAGTGTAAAACCCACCAAGGACCTTAATCGAGCTAAGGTATCATACATAACAAATCACATTTCCATTCAAGTATCGCGTTAAGGTGTTGATCTAGCCTAGCAGTACCTTCCTCCATGACTTCAACTCATCTTTTGTCGCTTCTCCAGAGTGGCATGGGAGGTTTGTTGCTTACTCTAGTATATAGACCAGACCTTCCGCATAGCGGAACCCTACCTGCGTTTCCTTCAAAAAAGCGGCGTGAGACTTCTTCATTTCTCCATGTCGTGACTATACCTGCCAGTCGTCCAGCACCTCCACCACCTTCGTAGCTTCGCCTCACGGACGCTGATCTACAATAAGCAGATAACACACAGCTTCAACCAGAAATGGGAGAGTTTAATCGTTGCCGATTTCTTCCTGACCGATGTACCAAGCGAGACATATCTTAGTTCTTCCTGCTGCGGCCTAAGCCAGCTCGCAGTCCCTAGCTCGTTCCCCGTACTGGTTCCCAGGTTATCTACCTGACCAAAAGACTGAGTACGTCACGAAAGGAGGTGCAGAGAATCGATAGGACGCCGGATGCCAGAGGCACGCCGATGTAGGTGATTATGTTTGTTGACGACGTCATCTTACAGTAAGTCGAGAAGGCAGAGCATGGGAGTGTGAGCATTCGCTATGGCCGGGAAAGTGCAGGGGCGTGACGGAGGTTAGCGCCCCGAGCTAAAGGGGGTTTCCAGCTCTGTGGTTGGTCAACTGGTAGTGTTTCCTCATAGTGCTCAGCCAGGAGCATCTCCCGCTGCTGTCCCAATTTGGTGGATAAGGGGCAACAGGCTGCAGAAGCACCCTGGATCCGACCTGATGTTTTATCTAACGACTAGTTGCGACTTAGAAAATCGTCGTGAGATGTCGCTGCATGTCATAGCGTCTAAAAATGACGCTCTAGATAGCAGAACTGCGCGTCTCTGACCCACGGAAGGCCTCAGTTTGGTGACCATATACGTCCCACTTCACCTACAAGGTTAAGTCACGATGGCAGCTTCCCCTCGGAGAGGCGACGTCGCTGTGATTGGGATGGCTTGTCGGACAGCTGGCGCGAATTCACCCTCAGAACTTTGGGATATCCTAGCCAATTCAAGGGACGTCCAATCCGTTATTACTCGATTCAATACAGAAGGGTTCTATCATCCCGAAGGCGGGCCTCGAAAAGGTTCTACTTGTGTACGCAATGCGTATATGATGGACGACGAAGCAATTGACAAATTCGATCATGCTTTCTTCCAGATCACACCCGTGGAAGCAATGGCTATAGACCCTCAACAGCGGATGCTATTGGAGGTTGCGTATGAATGTGTTGAGAACGCCGGAGTGCCGCTCGAGGACTTTATGGGCACCGATACCTCTGTGATGGCGGGTAAGCCAAATCTTTCTCCCTTTAGCACCCAGCCATATCACAACTAAGATTCATTTGTGAACTGACACATCAGGGGTGGAGAGCTGCGACTACCACGACGTGATATCCCGCGATATTGATGCCACCCCCAAGTACTTGGCTACAGGCACACCAATGTGCATGGCCGCGAACAGAATCAGCTATTTCTTCAACCTCTCGGGAAACAGCATCGCAGTGGACACAGCTTGCTCCTCGACCATGGTCGCTCTACATCAGGCAGTCCGCACTTTGCAGCACGGCGACTCAGGCATGGCCCTTGTCTGTGGTGCAAAATTGATCATCACGCCAAATATGTTCGTACCGAGCACGGAACTTGGCTTTCTCAGCCCTAGTGGGAGGAGTCGGAGCTTCGATGCGGACGCTGACGGATACGGACGTGGAGAAGGTGTTATTGCACTTCTCCTTAAGCCCATAAAAAATGCCATAGACGATGGCGACCCGATACGAGCTGTCATCAAGGGCACTCGGCTCAACCAGGATGGCAGAAAGCAGGGCATCACTCTGCCTTCAGCCAGTGCACAGAAAGAAAATATGGAGAGATTGTACACCGAACTTGGGTTGTCACCAAGAGATATTCAATATCTTGAAGCTCATGTAGGGACTTGACGCCATCAAGGATTCATCAATATCTGACTACGCACCAACTCAGGGCACTGGAACAGCTGGTGGAGATAGACTGGAATTGTCCGCAATCAATGCCGTGTTTGGTCACTCTTGTCGAGATCGATCCTTGGTGGTTGGCGCGCTCAAAAGTTGCATTGGGCATCTTGAGGCTTGCGCAGGGCTGGCTAGTGTAATCAAGACCATAGAGTGTCTTGAACGAGGCAAGATTCCTCCCCAAATGCACTTGAAGAAGCCAAATCCGGAGATCACTTTTCAGGGCCTCCAAATACCTCTGACGATGCTCGATTGGCCAGCTCCTCCCAGCCAGACAAGGCGCGCTGCCATCAATACTTTCGGAGCTGGCGGCACCAACGCCCATGCCGTTCTAGAGAACTACAATCATGCTTCAAGCAAACCACTGACTAGACGCCATACATACCTGTTTATGGTGTCCGCAACTGATGATGATGCTCTGTCACGATTGTCTTTGAAATATGCTGACTATATCGAGCACCATAAGCCCACGCTTTCCGATATGGCGCATACACTCCTAGCGCATCGATCTCAGCTGGCCAAATCTGTGTTCTTCGCATCCGGTACTCCTGAAGAGGCTATGTCGAGGTTAAGAACTCGGACTCCCTCGGGGCATTTAAATACAACTAGATCAATCAAGGGAGCGGTCTTCCTCTTTACGGGTCAAGGAGCACAATGGTAGGTGTATGCCCTCCTGTTTTATGTAATGCTTTGAAAATATTTTAACATTCATGTTGGTAGGCCTATGATGGGAAAAGTCCTACTTGAAGAGTCGCGACTCTTCGAAGAGGTGATTATGAGGTGTGATGACTTACTTTCAAGCCTGACGGACGGCCCAGCGTGGTCGATCGTCGATGAAATGATGAAGACCGAGGAATCCTCAAATGTCTATCAATCCCTGTACTCACAAACACTTTGTACAGCACTCCAATTGGGCATCATCATTCTCCTAGAATCTTGGGGCATATCACCCGTCGCTGTGGTAGGCCATTCTTCTGGCGAGATTGCAGCAGCTTACACTGCTGGGCTTCTATCATTCGAAGATGCTATAATAGTCGCATATTACCGCGGGATGTACCTGAATCGCTCTATGCTAGACACCGGTAGCAAGCGCGATGGCAGTATGTGTGCTGTTGGCATGTGCGAATCCGATGCGGTGTGCCTCCTTGAACAGTATGGCGACAGAGTCCAGCTCGCGGCTGTGAACTCGCCTGGCAGCTGCACACTTTCAGGAGACACTGACGCGATCAAAGAGATTGAAATGGAGTGCGTCAAGCGCTCGGTATTCTGTCGGAGGCTGCGTGTTGACATGGGTAAGTAACCGGCGGCGGATGGTACTTTCTTGCTAACGACTCTCACTAGCCTATCATTCGCATCATGTCGTGCCCATGGCGTCAGCCTACGAGAAAGCGCTGTATACTGTTATGGGATCAAATGACCCGCTCGATCAGAAATGCCAGATGTTTTCCTCCGTTACAGGAGAGAAGATGATACTCAACAGGTTATCACCTCATTACTGGAAGGACAATATGATATCAACTGTTCATTTTGATTCTTCTCTTACAAAGTGTATTGCAGATCTGCCTCACGATATTGTCATGGTTGAGATTGGCCCGCACCCAGCCTTAAAGGGGCCAACAAGAGAGATCTTGCAAAGTAAAGACAGGTCGCACATCAATTATTTCAACTCTTTATTTCGACATAAGAACGATATGAAGGTCTTGCTTGAGAATGTGGGTGAGATGATTGCAGCAGGCGTTCCTGTTGCAAAGCGAAATATTAATGGTATTGAGATCGTAGATGGCTTACAGTGCAATTATAACCTTCCTGCAGTTTTGAAAGATCTGCCCTCTTACCAATGGGATCATTCTACACCCCTGTGGTATGAGTCAAGGACTAGCCACAATCAACGCTTCCGATGCTTTCCACGCCATGACATTCTCGGATCTCGCTATCTGGAGGACTCACCCATGAACCCTAGTTGGCGAAGTCTGCTAAATCCAGACGATGTCCCGTGGCTCGCTAAACTAAAGGTCAACTGGTTCTCTCCCATGCATTGAGCTGAGCTGACAAGAGAAAAGAGCAGAGGAACAATGGACATACCTACGGCAGCCTTCCTGCTGATGGCTGCTGAGGCAGCACGGCAGATCTTCGTGGCTGCAGAGCGCATCCAAGGGTCTATAGTGATCTCTGACATGTCGTTCGATTGCAACCTGCCGTTCTCCCTCTTTGGCACAACGCCAAACGTTGAATTACACTTGATCACGCGCTCTGCAGAGGGAGAAACTGCGTATAGCTTCGAAATATCGTATCTGCTTTCTGGGCATGGAGTGCGCTCAAGACGGCTGTGTTCTGGCATGTTCAAATGGGATGAAACATCAATTATGTCGAAGGATCAGGACAATCAGCAGGTACCTCGCGATCACGATCCATGGCTCCCGGAGCAGTCCCAAGCAATAGGAGAACATATCTCACGAAAGATCTTGGATCTAGCCCTGAATTCCAGAGGTGCAACTGGAAGGTTTGACAATGTGATCAGCCCATCTGACCATTACTTTCTCGATCCGGAGATCCTCTATTCTATACTTGGATTAGCATCAGTATCGGCCTTCAGGTGGAGCCTGCCTTCGGTCCAAAGAATAGTGTCAGTCGGATATCTGAGGTTACCTATGGTCCCACAATTGGAACATGCCAGCGGAATTTTCACAGTCGATGTGCGACCTGTGCACTCAAATTCTATACAGGCAGACGTCGGTATCAGCTTTGGCGAAACACATGCTCTCTTGCTTTCGGATATCCGGCTACTACATGACAGAAGAATTGATCAGACACCAGCACCACGATCACTCTTCTTCAAGCCAGTTGTGCTCCCTGACATAACCACAATTGAGCCTACAACAAAGCCCAAACATATCTTCGAGTTTCTGAAGCTTGTGACGCACAAATGGCCAATGTGCGACATTGCAATTAGCGGAATAACCAGCGAGAACATCGATATTATTATTGAGTCTTTGCAACGCTCCGAATGCGGAGGTCGGGTTTCTTTCCGTTCCATCGTCATCGTTGGCAATCCGGAAGACCGACCACGTTGGAGTAGAGTTCGGGTGGTCTACGAGCTCCCTAGTGACCGCCAATATCATCTAATTGTTCAAGGAAGTGAACATGTTGACGCCGAGAATGCACGCAAGCTAGTCTTGCCTAATGGACTTCTTTGCATAGGCCTTGCCGAAAAACAGAAAAGCGGGCTGAGGAAATTCTTCACGAAGGTGTGTGATATCGACGGAATCAATAACGAGTACATCTGGAGTATTTGGCGAGGTCACAACCACAAGTGTGCGGACCGGCTGTCTGCGTCCCATCCAAGATTGACTATCTTCAGCAGCCAGCTACAGCCTGCCGGATTTGGTGAAGCCTTTCCTGGAGCCAAACACGTCTTGCTTGACCCAGTCTCAATGAAGAGCTTCATTGAGGAAGATAGGGCTCTACACCAAAGATCTGATGCTATCATTGTTGATAGCATTGAAAACCCCATTATCACAACATGGTCTGGCTGCGACCTCGTACCATGGTTTCAGATTTTGCTCGCGTCCTACACAAACATACTATGGGTGACCTTTGGCTCACAGGATTGCAGTCCTCACCATGGTATTGCCGGTAATCTCTTGCGTTCTCTGCAGGCCGAGCAGCCTTCCATCCGGACCGCTTCGCTTGTATTCGAAGACGCAACGACAACCAAGCTTCATGACATCATAGGCTCTGTTTACCAGAAACTGAAATCTGGATGCGCTGAGAATGAGGTGTGTCTCGAAGTGTCGGACTCTGGTTCGAAGATTGTGCGATATTTTCCAGATGATCAGTTGTCTGTATCTACTGGTGTAGCATTACCTCGGGATGCTGTCAGAGGCAATGTGCTCGGGAAGAACTATGAAATCTCTTTGACTACAGAAGCTGCGACAGTCTTAGTCCATAACGAACATGGCGAAAGACCGTTGAAGACGGGAGAGGTCCGGGTCAACATCGAAGCTTCCATGATCGACGTAAGTGATGTCTGGACATTTCAGCGTAAATGTGATATCAGGCCGCAGCCTCTTTCTTGCAGGTTCTTTGCTGGGAAAGTTGTGAGTTCTGGAACCGCAGACTTTGTGATAGATGGGCAAGTTGTTGGATGGTATCAAGGACCGCATCGCAGTCAAGTCGATGTCCTGTCTGCTTGCTTGTACGAGTGTAACGCCACCGTCGCACCCAGTGTATCTGCGGCAGAATTTGCCCGAATGTGTGTAGCATTTTCTACCGTTGACGGAGCCGCTCGAGCCAGGAAGGGCGACATTTTTGAAATTCGGCTCAAAGGCCCAATTGGAGAACAGCTGGCAAATGTTTGCAGAGATCTAGGAGCCAAAACACTCGATAAAGACGTCGCAGACTCGCCAACGTTCATCGTTGATTTGATTCTTGATAGAGGCTTGCTTCTCAACGATGCACCAGTACACATTGAGAAATATTTGACTTCGTGCCGCGGCATTGATATGGTACGCCAGCAATGGAAGTGTGAAGGCCATGCTCTTCCTGCTAAACAAGTGACATTGAAAGAGGTTAAAGAAAGCTTTCAACAGCTTGGACTGCAAGACATATACTCAACGGTGTTGAGCCACTCCGACAAACATTTAGTACAAGGGGTGACCGTCAAGACAAAATATCAATCTCTGTTCACCAGTGATGGCACTTACGTTTTGATTGGTGGATTCGGTGGGCTAGGACGCTTTATATGCTCTTGGATGGTGAAAAATGGTGCTACAAAATTGGCGGTGATATCTCGAAATGGGCTAGAATCGCAAGAAGCGAAAGATACTCATGCAGCCATCAATTGTTCCCACGCTTCATTGGAAGTCATCAGAGCTGATGCCTCTGATCGTACCGCTATGCAGAATGCGCTTGCTCAGATTCGCCAGACATCTCAGATCAAGGGAATTTTGAACCTGGCAATGGTGTTGGAGGATTCTCAATTTGCTTCTATGACAGGTGAGCAGTGGGATCGAGCTGTTGGGACAAAACGAGACTCAAGCTGGATCTTACACGAAGAGACTGTGAATGATGAGTTAGACTTCTTCATTCTCCTATCTTCCATCGCCAGCGTCTTGGGCAACCGAGGACAAGGAAACTATAACATCGGCAATACATTCCTGAATGCATTGGCCAGGTACAGACGATCACTGGGTTTAACTGCCATCTCGGTTGCGCTAGGAGCGATGAGTGAGTCCCTTGACCTGAAGGGATGTACTGGATCATGCTGACACAACATCAAGCTGAAATTGGCGTTCTGCACGACCTGGGGAAGGAAGACCTTATTTCAACGCTCACCCGCAGTGGACTATCGCCGCTTGGAAAGAGAGAGCTAGCCAAGATCATGGAGGCAGCTGTTCTTGAATCCCGTCATTCAGACCGGTTTTTGATACTTACTGGCCTCGAAATGTTCGACCGCGTGGACGGAAAACTAGTAGGATCAAGAGATCAAGTGCAATTATTTTGGACCGAGCTTCCTGAGTTTGGCTTCCTGCAAAACCACAAACTAGGCGACACTGAAGTGAAGCCAGATGACGCCAAACTCAGTCTGCGGGAAAAAGTACTGAGTCTGCCGGACAAAGAAGCTCAAAATCTCCTCCAATCGGCGTTTATTGGGTTTCTGTCGCAGCTGCTCGGGTTCGATGCAGGGAAACTTGACTCTTCATCTTCGCTCGCCGCGTATGGTTTGGACTCGCTAAGCGCAGTGTCTTGTCAATACTGGATTCACAGAAGTAGGCATTGAGCAATCCCCGCAGAGTGTGTTTGGCTGATCGGAAGATAGATCTTTCAGTGAACATATCGCTCTCCACCATCTTCGAGTCCTCGTCGATTAACCATCTTGTCGAGGAGACTTGGAAAGAGACGATGGACCATAATTTCGATGACGAAACTACAGGGCAGCGTGCTGCGTATGTTTAGACACTTTCTGGAAATGTCTGTGTAGAGATAGGACCAGTCTTGGAATATGCTCGTTCCGGGGTTCGACACATCACTGTAGGATAGGCATCGGGATGACAGGGAACTCTTCTAAACTCTGTAAGACATTATGATTCCTATAGCTTTCGAGTTGTATCTCTAGCTCGTCGTGAGTCACTCCAGGTGCTTCTAGGCGCAGCATACATTACTACGTATGTTGAGCAGCCATAGTGCCCCTGGTTCTGGGGCGAGAAGGGGGCAGGGGCTGGCTTAACTTTAATTTCTGGGACATGTGGTGCCTGTTAAGCTGAGTTAGGCTTGCCGCCTATTAAAGTCTTTTAGCGGCCTAGACACACAACCACTAAGCTCAGCTGGTCAACGGCAGTACTTACATATGTTGGTGTTTGGCTTAGCATCAGTAAAGCTCCAGATATTTAGATTCATCGCTTCGCACGCATATGGACTTCTCTTACAGTGATCTTCCAGCGCAGGTGTTCTGGGGCTATTTTGCTCGAGGTCCTTATCCTTGGAAGCTCCGAGTAGTCTCTGCCATGTTTCGCCCAGTGGCATGAGCTTTGTCAGAGTCGCTCTACTTCAACGACAAAATGTTCACTTTCACCCCCTTGCTCGGCGCGCAAACAAATTCGAGCGCCTTGCAGTCAATCATTGAACTTGATGGAGGAGTCAAAATTCTGGTAGATGCTGGCTGGGATGAGAAGCTCGATGTTTCCCAGCTCTCTGAGCTCGAGAGGTTCGACCGATGCCCCCTTGCGACTTTCACTTTTCGCTGACTGTGTCAAGGCATCTATCGACCCTCTCCTTTGTCCTCCTGACCCATGCAAGAATATCTCATCTCGGGGCTTTTGCTCACCTCTCCAAGCATTATCCTCTGTTTTCACAAATTCCGGTTTATGCTACAACGCCCGTTATATCACTTGGCCGAACTCTTCTCGAAGACGTCTATGCCTCGACCCCACTCGCTGCAACATTCCTTCCTTCGACTGGCTCAGCTACAGAGGGTACTCTGCCGTCTTTCTCCAAAGAAGCGCGATCTAGCTTGTTGATGCAAGCCCCGACAACCGAGGAAATCACACGATACTTCCAACGGATTACACCACTCAAGTACTCTCAACCACATCAACCAGTCGCATCGGACTTTTCTCCTCCTCTTGAAGGTCTCGTTCTCACTGCTTATAATGCCGGCCATACTTTGGGTGGAACAATATGGCACATACAGCATGGCATGGAATCCATCATCTACGCGGTGGATTGGAACCAAGCACGAGAAAATGTAATGGGAGGAGCAGCATGGTTTGGGGGTTTTGGAGGTTCAGAGGTTATTGAACCCTTGAGAAAGCCAACAGCCTTAGTTTGCAGTAGTAAGAACGGGAACAGCACTCCGCTGGTCGGCGGGCGTAAGAAGAGAGATCAGTCCCTGCTTGACAACGTTCGCAGCAGTCTGGCCAAGGGTGGGACTGTGTTGGTACCCTCCGATTCCAGTGCTCGAGTGCTGGAATTGGCCTTTGTCCTGGAGAAGGCTTGGCAGGAGGGGGCCAATGACCCTACTCTGAAGAATTCCAAGGTCTACATGGCCAGCAGATCAGCTGTGGCTACAATGAAACATGCTCAAAGCCTTCTGGAGTGGATGGATGAAAGCATTGTTAGAGAGTTTGAGGGTGAAGAGGAAAACACCACAAAGACACACAAACGCGCTGGTAGCAAGCACACAAATGGCGTTGCCCCCAAACCATCGAAACCTTTCGATCTAAGGTATATAAAGACGATCGAGCGGCCGAAGCAACTTGAGAAAGCGCTGAAGAAAAGTGGACCCAAAGTTATACTGGCCAGCGACTCCGCTCTGTCGTGGGGTCTCGCCAAATTAGCTTTGGAAGAAATCGCGCAAGGACCAGAAAACTTGGTGATTCTTGCAGAGAAATCGAATCCAGCCTCAGAGGCAGAGAACCCTACTCTAGCACAGTCCCTTTGGCAGGTGATGGAGAACAAGGAGGCCGGAGTAGCTCTTGAAACATCCTCTGATGGAGATCAAATCGAGCAGATCCATGGCGGCGGCAAACTTCTTGAATACTATGACGTCCGGAGAATGCCTTTGGATGATAACGAATCGCAGGTCTACCAACAGTATATGGCCGCTCAACATCAGCTGCAGAGCTCACTCATCTCTCGAACAGAAGCAGGCACTGATGAGACGGAGATTATTGCTGATGACTCCTCTAGCTCGTCCTCATCCGAGGATTCTGATGACGAGCATCAAGGGCGAGCTCTAAATGTGAGTGCGGCTCTTGGACATGCGGGGAGAGCCAAACGAGATCTCAGCGAAAAGGATCTGGGCGTGAGCGTTTTGCTGCGCAAGAAGGGTGTGTATGATTTCGATGTGCGCCAATACAAACGAGGAAGAAATGCCATCTTCCCATATATCCACCATCGTAGGCGTGGCGATGAGTTTGGTGAGTATATCAAACCAGAGGACTACTTAAGAGCGGAAGAGAAGGAGGAAGCGGATAGTGCGAATGCAGGTGAAGCTGAGCACCGAGTTGGCCAGAAAAGAAAATGGCATGACGTTGCTGATGAGAAGAACGAGATGCGTGAAAATAAACGCCAGCAAACGAAAAAAACCGAGCGAGGTGGAGAGAAACAGTCCGCTCGAGTGGCAAGTTCTGGTGATGCTGATGGAAACATATCTGACGACTCAGACGCGGACCCGGAGCCTGAGAGATTCGAAGGACCAGCTAAAGCTGTCTTTCATCGTCGTAGCATGACTCTCAATGCTCGACTTGCGTTCGTTGACTTCAGTGGTCTCCACGATCAACGCAGCCTGCAAAATCTGATTCCTGTGATCGATCCAAGAAAATTGATTCTGGTGGGCGGCTCCAAAGATGAGACGCAGGCATTGGCGCTTGATTGCAAGACTCTTTTAGCGGCCAAAGAAGGTGACATGGGTGGTAATCCCACCGTTGATGTCTTCACTCCAGTAATTGGCCAAGTCATAGACGCAAGTGTTGATACCAATGCCTGGACAGTGAAGCTAAGTCGGGATCTTGTGAAACGACTGCAATGGCAGAATGTTCTCAACATGGCTGTCGTTACCTTGACGGGAGAGCTGAAAGCCGAAGAATCAGCCACCGAACAATCAAATAGCATGGGTAACCCAAGCAAGAAACAGAAGCTACTCAAGTCGGACACCCAAGAGACCCCTGCTTCCAGTGTAGTGCAGAAAGGCTCAAGCGAAATTCGCCCGGTACTTGATCTTGTCCCTGCGAGCATGGCTGCAGCCACACGATCTCTTGCCCAGACATTACACGTTGGCGATCTGAGACTAGCAGATCTCCGTCGCCTGATGGGGACTGTTGGCTATACTGCGGAATTCCGTGGTGAAGGGACCCTCTTGATCAACGGAAACGTTGCGGTTAGAAAGCTCGGAACAGGCAAGATCGTGGTTGAAGGGTCTGCTCTCAGCACTACGACGATGCGTGCTGGTGTCCCAGCCAATACATTCTACGATGTGAAAAGAACAATATACGAGGGCTTAGCTGTCATTGCTGGTGGTTGAATGACCCTTGTCGTTTGCTTCCTCATCTGACAAAGCCAGTTGGTGTGACTGGCATCTTTTTCACCACGAGTGCCCAACATCTTACCCGCTCGCTATGACACGGACTTCTGACAGCGCCTTACGGCTTGTGGGCTCGGTTTGAAGAGTCATCCTTTCGACGCCGTTTGTGGACTGGGCACAGTGAAAAAGCAGTCACAACCAACGAGTGATTGGTTGCACCAGCACTTCAACATATATTTAATTCCCTATCCAAGATGCGTACTTATCCTGCAGAAACAGGTACTGCCACATCAACACAAATCAGGTCGTCTGCCTGCACGTTGAGCGTTCCTTCAAACAGCAAAGTGTTATCACACCATCATGAGCAGAAGATATCGTTATATGACTCGAGATGGTCATCCACCAAACCAAGCTGTTCCTCCTGGTGTACCGCACAGAGGTGCAGGACCACAATTCATACCAGTCTTCACGCAACCAGCTTCAGGATATCCTCAGCCAATATACGTGGCACCCCCTCCTGGCGCACCACCTCCACCTGCGGGATTTTGTTGGCTTCCAACACCGGCACCTGCGCCAGGCCCTACATATGCGCCACCCCCACCACCTTATCAGCCCTGCGCTGGCGGACCTCCAGTCTACGGCGGCTATCCTCCAACAGAACCAGCCGCCATTCCGGGTCCTATCCATGGAGCCGCACAGCCCGCTCCAGGTGTAGCGGGAGGCACGGGAGGCACTCTTCCACCCGGTGCTCGTGTCCGTGGCGAAATACCCGTCTTTCCTAACCGGAACTCAGGGTATATCTTTAGCAAAAAACAGTGCTGCTTCAACATCATCGAAGGTCGTACCAAACCTTGGAAGGAGCCAGGTTGCGAAATCAAGTTCACCACCGCACGAGCCGATTGTCGAATGGGAATCAAGGAATTCATTGAGCAGGTTGGAGCTCCTGCTCGTGCCCCTGCTCGTGCAAGTGAGGAGGAAGTGGGCATCTGCGAGGTCATCGAGACGGGTGATGGGACTTGGCAGAAGGGATCGCAATTCTCTCTGGGTGATATGGTAGCCAGGTTGGAACAGTCTCTTGCGGATGTTGGGTGGGATGAGCTTAGGGGGGAGGCGGGCATGGGGAAACCCGTTTGGTTGGTTCTACTTCCCTGATTGGGAAATTCAGCTTTCATCCACCAGGCAACAGTTTTGTCTCTCTTCCTAGCGGTTGTCAGTATGGCTTTCAACAATGAAAATATTCGTCTACCGACTCGGGCTATAAAGCGACATCGACCGAGACGAGATTGCATACCCTTTCTAACCATCCATCAGAACTACAGCCGAGACCAACATCTCACATTTAGAGCCGGCCGGCCGACCACGTCGTTGACCTGATACGTTTGTCGTTTATCCTTTATCTTTCAAGGTGAATCCATTTAGTGAACAGCTTGTCACTAGGCCCCTATCACTAGCATATCCCACACTCCTGCGTTTTCTATTCCATGACTCCCCGCCTCCAATCTCCTCGTCCAGGTGTCTTTCCAGGTGTGCTCTTTATGCTCTACCATTACAGCTCTCAGCAAGAACATACATCGTCAAACCTGACCACGCGGGAAATCAGGAGAAAAGTCAGAAACCCGCCCATTTCGACCAAAGATTGGCTTTCCTCCCCTCCCCTCCCCTTATCATCACCCCCGAAATCACCGCGAGTAAGTGCTTCAGTAAGGGGTAAATGGTTCAGTAGCACTTCCCCCTCGTTCGAATTGCTATGTTTGCCAAAAAAAAAAAACAAAAAAAAACAGGCCTACTACTACTACTTATCATGGTGAATACGTCTGGCTTGGCTTCGGTTCGCGATCCCGCCTCTGAATCTCGGAGGATCTCGGAGTCTGAAGCAGAGCAGCGGGAGGAGCGGAGCGGGCAGGATGGGGTGAGAGGGGCAGGATGGTCTTCGCTCTCGCTCCTTCGAACGCTGCAAAAAGCATGGTCGGTGTGTGTTCTACCTTATACTATAGCCACGATGTCGACGTAGCTCTTCCTTCGCCTTGGGGTCCTCCGGTCCTCGGGTTTGTGCAGAAAGACAAGCGTCTCATTGGTCGCGCGTAGGTAAAATACTTCATGGGCCTCACATTGTCGGGTCAGCAAAGCAGCCTTGTACGGTGACGGCATAAGTTCACGCTGCGCTGGTAGAACATGACGCCCTTGCTTTGCAGAAAAAGCATGTCATGGCTTATGTAGCGGTCGATATCAATACATGAACCATGGAATTTCCTTCTCAAACCGACCCCTCCCCCCCACCACAGGTCATGGTCTCGTGCTTCCATTTCAATTCCAGTACGGCGCCTTCAAGCCGGTCAGATTACTCAAAATGCCCTCGGCACCACCATCGCCATCACCAGCGCTCTTCTCCCTCTGGCCCGCCAGCTCCAGCTGAATCGCTCGATGTACGTGCACCAACCAATCCACATAGCTCTGTGCCTCGTTGTTACGATCCTCCACCAACAGGCGTGCGAATTCGAATTCACTACCGTCCAAGCCTTGTCTCGCCATCTGTATCGTTGCAGCCTTTGAACCCCGCACGGTGCTGAGATAGGCCATCAGGTTCCGCACTTGCGCATTAAGATGTGTTTCCAGGACGGGTAACTCAGAAAGCCAGGGGTCGAGCTCTTGTAGTGAAGTCTTGCCTGGACCGAACAAGTCTTCAAGCAGATTGGGAGAGACTTGGCTGTGCAGCCAGAGGATGACTCCTTGCCCATTGTCGACTAGGTAAGCGCCGCCTTCTTCGACACGGGAGAATGAGGCACGCAGGGTAGGTGGTAGAACAAGTTGTGAAGTGTCCGAGGATGGAAAGCAATCTGACGGGGAAAGATTGTGTATTGCGAAGATACGAGGGTAGAGATAGAGTGCTGTTTCTGTAGCTCCGGCTGATCGAAGGAGGCGTGAAGAATGGACGCGTCGGTCTGTAGGTTCACCACCAGCTGTCAAGAGTCAGAAAAACACATGCACTGATAGCGAGATACGGTTAATCATACCTTTGAAAGCTCTCGATTTGATCAGGCCCAGCATGTACATCGAGAACTCCTTCAGATTCTCTGGTAGAACCAACTGACCCGGAGGATGACTGCCGGAGAAGTTCTTTCGATATCCTGCCAGAATATCTATTGTCTTTTCCGTGATTCCGGCTCTTATATCCTTCAGGCTCCTCTCCGCTAGCTTCGATGAAGCCTCCTTAGCGATAATGCTCACCACAGCATCCTGGTCGACCGTCCTCATGGACTCCATGGCGCCCTCCATGACCCCCGCAACTATATTGATGCACCGAACTCGTCTCTGTCCGGACGCAGTAGTGTAGAGAAGAGCAGCTTGGAAATGAGCATCAAGCTTTGTATCAAGCTTGCCATCATAAGAGAAGACGACGGCCATGGCTTTATCCGCGTCTATGGTGCCGATTTCTAGATCGGCTCCAAAGGTGTGTTGGAGGAAGTTGCCGTGGTATGAGGAGACCTGCAGGCCATTCGAGCATCTAACCTTCATCAAAGCTTGATATCCTGTATCTCGTGTTGCAGCATGCCGGATCTCATTGGCGAGCTTCACGTGGTCTCTCGGAGCATAGAAATTCGGATAGAGGAATACTTCGCCGCCAGTCAAGGCCGAGATATGGCCGATAGTGGCTATGTCCATATATTGGCCACCAGTCGCCGCAAGGAAGAAATCAACTCCAACCCCAGCAGACACCATACTTGACGCAGTCTTCTTGAAACCGGGATGGTCTGTTGTGAGCAATTTCTTCTCATCATCAGGATCACGTCCCTTGCTATCATCTCGAACAATAAGTCTGCCAGGCCCCCCCGTGGGTAGTGTAGATAAGGCACACAGGACTTTGCCGCCCGTACTTGCAAGAGCTGCTAGTGCAGCATTGAGAGTTGGTAGAAGCGCCGGCTCAGGAGCTCTGGCAGCAGAAAACAGCGTCGGTAGTTGGTTAAGCAAAGAAGATATGATTGGTTTCGATTCCTGAGGATCAACAAACAAGCCCTCACTAAGTGGCACAAATGGTTCATCAAGGTCTGTCATAACCATCATTTGAGCTTGGTCAAGGCTAGCACTCAGGTTGTAGAAATGGACCTCTTTGTCATACGTCACGATGCCGACTTTGCTTCCAGCTGATAATCTGCCTGCTGGTGGCTCGGTCCCATTCTGCACAAAACTTGTTTCTTCTGACTCATCATCGTACAGTGCATGCCGAATGCCCTCACAGACAGACTCGACGAATTTTTGCTGCAGGGAGACTTGACTGACGTCTATCAGAAAAAGCCATCGGAGACCTACAGGCTCTCTCGCCCAGTACTCCTTGGGTACTAAGAATTCGCACGTTCCAAGCATCAATTCAGGCCGCTGGTGACGATCAACACGGACGCCAGATGGGTCAGTAGGAGCAAAGTATTCCGGTGCAACATCATTTGGGAAATTGCACATGTTGCAAACGAGTTTGTTGCCGCCAGATCGAAAAGTCATGAAGGGGTTGATGTATGTTCTACACCTTCGGCAACGAGGAGGGCCAGCATCGCCAAAGTCCAGCACAGGTATTGGCTGTTCGCCTTCTTGAAGAGGAGCGAGAGGCTGTAGAACCATCCCCAGTGGTAGGGCGGTTGATGCTAAACTCTCTGAAGTGGATGGAAGCTTGTTCAAGGTCAATCGAGCAAACTTGGGGGATGAATTACCCTGATCGTGTGCAATGAAAGGGATGGCGGCAGGTGGAGGAAGGTGTCTTTCCATGGTAGGATAGACTTGTGTCAGATAATACTGCGCTGCTGCGTCTCTCGACCGTGGGATGCTTGGGATCTGTTCCGGGTCGACACGCCCTTGCGTGGCTACCATCTCCTCGCCAGACCTCAGTCTATCTGCCGTGCTCATATGAGCCATGGGTTGCGCTGAACTTTGCCCCATGTATGGGCTTCCGGGCGCCTGCGGTTGCAATTGCCCAGCATTCAAGAATTGTCCCTGGCTGCTCCCATACCCCTGTGCTATCCCTGGCGGAGGCTGTGAGGGAGCTGATGGTTGGCCTAAGTCATGATATGCGTGCCTTTGCTTCTTCTTGTGAGCCTTCTGGGGTGCATAGCTATCGCCTGAGATGGCGAGCCCGCCCATTTGTCCTACCAGACCGGCACTAGCGTCTGATCCTTGAGTTGGAAAGTATGAAGCATTCGGATCCCCTCCATATTGTTGCTGCGCCGCTGCTCCATTTTGACCATCTTGTGCGCCAGGATTCGACTGTCCAGAAAAGGAACCTGCTTGTTGATAGCCAGCAGGTGAGGGTGCTGCCGGAGTTCGCGCATGTTGATGCGAGGACAGTGGTCGGCCGGGATTATTGTTGTATGCTGCATGTTGAAGGCCGGGTGATTGACTGGCACCATGATGGGACATGGCGCCTCATTCCAACTACTTCTTTGCCAACTCTTCAACCAAGTTGTTATCTCGAAGCAGAACACATAGCGTAGGGAACAAAATCACAGACCACCCCAAGATAGCTCGACACCAGCCTGTAATATGGTTCCGTCTCCTTGCGAGAAGTTCTTCAGCCGAAACATCCAACTCATTGAATGTGCAGCGAGAAGAATTCGAGTCCAATGTCCAGATGCCATTGCCAAGCCTTGGGCAGCTCTCCCACTGCAGTGCCTGCCCTAAACTCGTATGTACTCCCTACAGGAGCCCCACGAAACCTGGCTGGTTGAACCCTATTACAGGTTCCCAAGGCGCTATTATGCTAGCCTAGCGAGCGGTAATGATAATTGACAATAACCTTACAGCACCGATTCGATATTTGTTACACAAACCTCCGAGAAGATGAACATCCTTTTACCACGATGACCGCATCTCAGAGACTCGCCTAGCTTCAATCATGGTAACAATAGTGCAAAGACTTCGTGACTGCGTACGTGGAAGAAGGGCACTTGCTCTACAACCGGAACCAAGGAAGTATCTGGCTTGCACTCCTTGCCCTCCCAGCACTCACTCCACAAGGCTCTGGTCCTACAACTCTAGAAAGAATAGATATCTCTCCCTGATGAATCGGCCCAACTCCGAGGCTGGCTCACAGGTCTTCATCTCCTCCAATGCTGTCTCTACGCTCGTCCACCGCAAACTTCCCAAGCCCTCCACCGGCTCATCATCCATCCATTCGGTTTCTCCCGGATAATACATAATATCCTTACCAGGCAGAATCATGTGCCAAGATCAACAAAGTGGCTGTTTGCTAAGTAGTCTGGCTAGCAGTCATGTTAAACGGGATCCCTGACCGGATAGAATAATAATGGATGGAGATCATCCTAGAAAATGGGAGCATTAGATGTGAATCTGCTAAGATGGTCTGTCTAAATCAGTTTAGCACAGCGAAGAAGGTCTAGATTGCCGGAAGCATCCCTCATAAGCGCATTATCGTTCAGCATGCTCGGTGGCAGTTGAAGCCGCCTGTGACAACATCGAGTTGTAATGATGGCGAAGATCTTCCAATTGCCTCTCAGCCAGCTCCCAGTCTGCCACTTTTCTCCAGGCTTGCTTCTTCCTCACACACAGATCTCCAATGGCATTGTTGATCTCGAGTGCTTGCACTTCGTAGGTGGCCCACCCGGTGTCAAAGTCCTTGGGTAAATGCTGAACCATTTTTCGCCTTAGCTGTCTTACCCTCTGTTCGAGTTCCTCCATGACGCGGCGCTGTTGCACAGCTTCCGCCTGCTGCCTGTCTAAAACTGTCTTCTCTCGCATAATAAAATCTCTCATATCCTCGGGCGGTTGGCAGTGTGCCCAACATTGAGCCATGGCCATGACCTGCATTATAAGCTTGTCGATAGCAACCCATTTCGGTTTGCCATTATTTTCCCACGCAGTCATCGTTTCCTTCCTCACCTGCATCCAATTCTGCAATGCTACAATTTGCTTTTTGAAGCTCTGTATTTGTAGCTCGTTGGCTTCAGACTTCTCCCGGCTCTCCAATTGCTGTAATTTTGCCTTGACGATGGCGATGATTTTTTCCGTCGTCTCAATGCTTGTTTGGACCTTGAGCATGGCATCATATTGGCAATCTATCGATGCGCTCATAGCGCTAGCTTGTCTCTTAATGCTAACCATGCCGGACATTTCTGGTTTTGATATAACAGATGTGCTCCAGGGATTCTGCTCAGCTGCATACCATTCCTCGAGCGTGGGTGCTGGGCTTATCACATTCAGATCTGAGGGTAAAGGTGTTGTAGTACCTGGTGGGTCTCGTGATCCGGGAGGATTGCTGGCAGTCGCAGCATTCTCTGATGACCCAGACAACTCTACCGATCCCGCTTCACGATGACCGGGAAAGACATCTCCTCCACCTCGGAAAACGAAGGTTGGGGCATCTTTTGAAGACTGGCTAGCATTTGGCTGACGATTCTCCCTGACGTCCAGTCGAGAAGACCAGCTGGCTCCTGGTTGAGAGGGCTGTCTTGGTGTTGCATGGGAAGATTGGCTGGGCCCTGCTTGGGAAGATTGCCGGGCGCTACCTGTAGCTTTGGAAGACTTTGTTTTGGGAGGCATGGTCACGCCGCCTGTGCAACGGAGCAAGAACAAAAGAAACCGTTCAAAAAAAAGGAGCGACAGATATTTGGTCACAAGGAAGGCTCGTCCAGAGTCCAGCGAGACCAACATGCGACATACTCGATGTATCAATACTCGAATAAGCAGAAGCAGAAACGGACCCTGCTCGGGTTTTTAAGCATGGCGAAGGATCTTTGCCCTACTGGAGGTGGCATCAGGTTAATGTTTAAAACTGGTGTTTGTAGTTTGATGGTTGCGATCTGTTTCAACCATGTGTGACTTGCGCCGGACCATTGTCGGGGCTACGCACAAGCATGTGTAGGACGGAACGGGGAACTTGAATGGGAGAGGTGCCAAGAATGAGCCCAATCGCTGGCTGACATATAGAGGTTTGCGAGAATATTATCAATGCTCTAGGGGTGGAAAAAAAGGTCAAAGGGAACAACCATCGTTAGAATAAATCAAGTAGAAAAAAACACGAATTTTAGATCTTCAGTCTAACGCTACTCCAAACCGAGGTACAACCGCTGTTGTTAAGAGATATTCTAAATTTACGTCATAACCATTGACAGTACGGAGTACTCCGTACTGCTTTTCAGATACTACTGACATGGAGGTCACTGGCTGACCTGGACTGAATTAAATGGGATCAGGATATGCAGATGCGGATTATTGTGTGCATCGCCATCATCCATATGGTTCTACTTTTGCACTGTGTTCATGGTATGTGGTCAACAGCGTATCGCAAATTCTCCTCGATTACATCACCGTGAATGGAAAATTCTCAAGCAAAGTGTGGGTGTGTTGCTATTATTGAGGCGCGATCAAACGAATGTGCCCTGAAAGTCGATCTTTCCCGTTTTCGGCTTCTCTATCTCTTTCTCGTACTGGGCCAGACTCACTGAGCACTGAGGCATTCAGTCCCCGATGAAGCTTGTCCTCATTTATTTGGACCCTGCTAAAGACTACATCCTCACTGGGCCATATATTCTCATACGACCCCCAGGCCTGCCGTCCTTTGGGCTCAAGAAGTTCTTGTTTGGTCTTTGCGGCTTCGACCTCTTAGTGTAGGCACTGCATCCAGAAGCCAACGATCTCTTTTATCATTGTATCTACAGGTGCAGCTTCATAGCCAAAGATATATGCAATAGCATTGCGGCGTACCGGGTAGACTTGTAAGAAAGCCTTTGGCATCAGATTGCGTGCGGCTATATAATGATAAGTAGGGGTTCTTCCAGTAAGATCCTTAGCCAACCCGGTACACCAACTTCTGCCCACTGACCTTATCATTCCTCAGCAGATCGAGCCCATCGAGCAGCTTATCCAGTCCACCGTCCATAACCTTCAGCGGATGCACCTTCACCTTTCTCTCCGCCAAGAGCTTCTCAAACATGGCAGTCCACCCAACTGCAAATTCATAGTCATCCTGCAGATCAGCCGCCTCCCAAAGTTTCCCACCTATCCGGAAAGTCTCTCCAAAGCATGTGTAGCCGATTGTAAATGTGACCGTAACATCTTTGCGAGGAAGTTCGGGCCTCGCAAGACAACCGTAATGAGCACCGCTTCCGGACGTGAGGGACTCAGCACAGATCTGCATCGAAGCTGGCAGAGTGATGGTGTCCCATGCATACTTGAGCTGGTTGGACGTGTATTCTCTGATCTTTGAACCACAGTCTTTGTCGGAATAATTGAAGACCTCGTCCGCGCCAAGGGACTGGACAAGGGCGAAATTACGAGGTGAGCAGGTCGTTATCACTCTCCAGCCAGCTCTGCAGAGAGTAAGTTTTTCATCATGGCCGGGTAGTGGATTTGGGACTCACAGTTTGGCAAGCTGGATGCCAAGGGTGCCTGTTGCTGTACTTCCGCCATAGATCAATATTGTTTCTGGTACCTCTGCCGGCTCAGTCGGCAACGGCAACTTCATAGTCTGGAACAAGCCTTGCCCAACCGTAATGAATCCGACCCCCAGAGTGGCTGCTTCTTCGTCACCCAGATAGTCTGGTACCCTCATCTGCACATCCGCCTTCACAACTATGTGCTCTGCGAATGCGCCATTCTCCAATTGCATTTGATCGCCTCCATGGCAAATGCCGCAGATTCGGTCTCCTTTCTTCCAGTCCTTCTTGTAGCCCGAGCCAGTTTCTTCCACGACGCCAGCGTAGTCGCAGCCAGAAAGGGCGCCAGCTGGGCCGACGAAGTCAATGCGCTTCCAGTCTGCCGGGTTTAAGGCAACGGCGCAGACTTTCACGAGGAGGTAGCCAGGACGGAGCTTCGGAAGGGGCCGATCAGTCACAACTGCGGCTTGCTTGGGTGCTTGAACGACAACAGCCTTTTGGGAAGCCATACTTTTGGATATGGTCTTTGACAGTGAGGCGTGGGGTCGATATATGCTGGAGAGGCAAGAAAGTGTCTGAGTATAGGGCAGCTTGGATGAAATACAGTTCCGGTTACCACAAGCTACGACACTACCAGTTGGTCGCAGGAGCTTCTGCATCTGGTAAGAATCATGCTGTGATTAGAAATCAACCTCTCTAAACCCAACTTGCTGTTGACGCTTAGACCCCGAGTGCCGACGCGCTCTCCGTACCTGGCTTCTGCAGGCATTGTTTCTCATTTGGGGGTATGGTAAGCGGGGTAAAGTGCGCTGATAGACGATGAAATATTGTAAGTCTGAAGTAAAAGAGAGCATCGTGCGGCAAGGAGTGGAATGTTAACTTCGCAAGATACGATTACGTACAGTGATCTAGCCAGTGTACTTCCAACCTTTTTGGGTCCGCCAAGCAGATTTCAGGGGCTCTGGGACTAAAAGCAGCAATCAAAAGACGAATTCTAATTAGAATTGTATAAAACCGATCACTGGAAACTTGGAGAGTCACTGATTTTGTGCAGTGCTCGGCTAAGCTATGCTACAAGCAAAGATCTGTCGACTTGTCCTTCGAACCTAAAATTGAAATCCTGGGATGTTTTTGTCTTTGTCTCTATTTAGTTTGGTAAAGCAAAGCGCAATGATGGGCGATGCCTACCGTGCACGATCATGGAGCGTCCAAGCAGCAAGGCCTGTCATAGCAAATCCCATAGCAAGAATCTTTGAGCCAGCCATACGCCTCAGTGAACCAGGGTATCCTAGATCCTTCCCAAACTCCTTGTTCAATGGCCCATGTAGCAGAGTTGAGAGAGAATATACTCTTTGTCAAGAGTGGACGGAACCGCGTCAGGTACCTTCGCCTCCTCACACGCACCATAGAAGTCGTAGAGGCCGCCGTTGTGGTGTCTTTCCAAGATGGTGTCGATCCAGAGCGCTGAATAGACCCTCTTTTGAGCCTTGGCGATCTCGGGTTGTGCAACAGGCATGGTGATTTCAGGTTGGCAAATCTTGGAGAAGATCTCGAGTTGAAAACCAAAAGCTTGAAGATCCTTCTCTCCGGTACAGACTTGGCCAAAATCCGTTTGTGACTTGAGCGTCTCATCAAGAAGCACCAAAGTGACAATGATGGCGTTCCAATCAGCAAGGGAGATGCCGGTGGGATACTTGAGAGGCTGTGGCAAAAGGCGGCTAGTGAGCGTGTCGCTTGTAGTGGCATTTCCATCAGGCCTTGTTGAGTTCGTGGATGTTGTTTCACAACACCGCTGCCTGTCATTGTCCCCTACACCAACCGTTCCATTGGCACAATGAACCCCCATCGTGTCCGCACATGTCCCATCGCGGTCAACTGCATCTTGTGAAACGCTCTGTTCTTTCCGAGTGACAAGGTCAACGACAGTTTTAGCTGATCCGCAGAAGCAACGGCCATTGCGCCTGTCCCAGAGACCAGCTTGTCCGTTCGAACAGCGACCTTTCAGAGTATTAGTGCAATGGACGCGAGGGTCGAATGGAAACCGGCCAGGGTCCTTCATTACTTGTGGGGCAAGATCGGCATCACGTTTCTCGCTACGAATGCCACCACGGCATGCACACCAGCCGCCACCGAGGTTAATCACCTCGAATCCACGAGGACATCCTTCGTGGCATGGATACGCCCACATACTGTTGTCAGCTTGCGCTGTGTCTTGGTCAAGGGTCTTGACTGGCATTGCTTCTAAGCCGTGGTCACCAGCATTGATAAGAACTGACCAGAGTGAGTATCATGCATCATTTTAGGAATGAGTGTACTCACCATTCTTGAAGACTGAGGGTTGATGAGTAGAATGATCAGCGCCTCCAGCAGGGTAGACGCAGCTAGTTCCAATGCAGGCATTGTCAACTGAAGCAGGCGTAGGGGCAGAAACCACCTTGGTTGCAAAGGTGATCAGAACTGCTAGCGCAGCCAAAAGGAATGACTTCATATTGGTGTTGCAAGTCTGTGCGAGAGAATGTCAGCTGAGGTTGCTCGTGGGGTCTGTTGTCAAGTGAAAGTGGAAAGTAAGATGAAAGCAAATCATGAGTGTCAGCTAGCAGAGGTCACAACCATGCTATAGCTTGCTCTTGGTGGCAACTGGAACCAGACAGTACGATGCTGAGAATGGCACAAGGCTAAGTGGTGGTCACCTAGAAAAACCCAGCAGGCTTTAGGCCGACTAGGGATGGCAGAGTGCTTGTGACAGACCGCAGCCTGGTTTTCAGATTGCCCAAGATTGTACCGAAGTATGGGGGACAGTGAAAAGATATGATGACAGCCTTAAAACTCGGGGACCAGAGTAAGACCAAACAACTGTCATGTCACAATGGTACTTCGCTCCACTTGTGAACTTTTGAGATTGCGCCACAAGCAAAGTCCAGTGAAAGGCAAACAACTTACTGTTCAGCAGTTGGATGATGATATCAGAGAGTGATGATATTGCTTGCTGAGGGCGGAATCAAGAAGTTGGAGTGTGGTCAATAGTAGAAGTAGAAAAGAGGTTGTGGTCACAGAGCCAATATTTGTAAGTGGAAGGGAATGCCATAAGACCCAACTGGGGCTAGCGTTTAATTGCAGAAACAATTTTGGTATCCACTCACCAGTAGCTAGATGTGAAGGTAGAGGACATTCCCTTATAGTCAAGGTGTTTCCATCAGTGAAGATGGTGGCTACCTCCCCAGACGGTTCCGTTACAGTGAGCACGGTACTGGCACCCTCGAGAGAGACCCAGTCCATCGAACATCCTGTCTGCTAAGCGGCTCTGACGACGGACTGAGGATCGAACCGAGTGTGTTGAAATCTGCGTCTTTTGTTCCTGTGAAGCGTTAATGCCCAGGTACGGTCCAATGGCGAAACAACACCAAGGAACGGTGCGAAAGCCGTTCTCTAATATGTCATTGTACAGCACATCGCCCCTCTCACCCATGTTCTTGGAAAGTAACAAGGGAAGTCTTTCTCTTTCCCCCTCCCCGCTCTCTCATATCCCTTGACAAACAGTTCCTGCATGCCAAGGGAGAAATGCACGTTGAACAGATAGAGTTTTCTTTGCAAAAGAGCAGCCTTTTATGGCTCTGTATGAGGGCTCGGATGACCAGAGACATTTTGAAAGTGAATCCGGTCTTGCTCATCCTTACTTGCACACAAAAAGGGGAAATCAACATTCATGTACTGGTCTTCGTATTCGTGCAGGAGAAAAAGCTTTCAGGAGAAGGTTGTAGATACTGGATTTGACTGTGCTGGTAGTGGCCAGTTATTTACGCCACAAGCGTGCATCCCCTGACAGCCGCCTTACAACTGTTGCACACGAACAGGGACGGAACGAAAGCATCTATGCAGTAAGTTATGCAACGGCCTCAAAAACTGCGGAGAAGGGGAGTCGACGCTCGGAAAGCGGCCAATCGCACCAGCACAGGAGGCTGCAAGGTAAACAAGCCTTGAAACGACAAGGAATTCGTATCGCACGGCTACACTGCATCTGCACGCCCAGTGCAAGTTTCAAATCATGTCCGCTATGAGAATGGACACGTTTAACTAACTTTGGACCTTGGCGGACAATAGCATTCAGCATTCAGCATTCAGCCGACAGCCGACCCGATATGAGTTACTCCGTATAAGGTACAGTACTCCGTATGGTGACCGAAGCGGCCAATGGCGCAAATTCCTGGTACAGTACTAGGAAAAAAGTATCCGGCCAACCCCACTTTCGTACCCCACCAACATTATCGACTCTCTTCATACAAATCACCATAGTAAGTTATGAACTCTTTGGATTCTAATGAAAAATAGCTCAAAATGTTCAGAAACATCCAGAGATTGAGGCTGGGCTAATTTCCCGAATAGGCAGTTGATATTCAGAATCTAGTGTACCATCCTTTGGCCGCAATGACCGCATTCACCCTACTATCCATGCTCTTGATGAGATTGGTTATAGCTTCTTCTCCTATAGCATCCCAACCCTCATAAATAGCTCTAAACAATCGTTAATAATCCTGCCCTGATTTGCCTATATTAATTAGCTCTGGGTAGTGATCATTAATCCATTGCTTGAGTTGCGCCCAGACGTGTTCAATTGGGTTGAAACGTTGTTGTGGTGTACGAAAGGCCCATGTTCGACGCGCCCCACTGCCTCTTTCAAGCGAACATTCATCACTGAATATGATCTTGCTCCACTCAGCCCACGTCCAATTTCGTCGTTCTTTACACCATGTAAGTCGTTTAGCAGCCAATTGCGGAGTCAATAGAGGTCTTTTTTTGGCCATCCAATTGGTAATGCCTTCGTTTTTGAGTATTTGATAAATAGTCCTTCGATGAACACTAGTACCAACTTCGGACTGAAGTGCTTGATAAGTAATCTTCGGATTGATACGAATAATGCGTAAAATATTGCGTTTTTAGACCCTATTTAAGGCCTGAGGACGTCCTGAACGAGGCAAGCTTTTGCCGTTGTTGCGTAGTGGATTTTGAACAATGGTATCAGAAACAGTGGATTTGCCGCAATGCAGATTTTGACCAATCTCTCGACTTGTGAGCCCTAGGGCTTTGTACGCCGAAATTTGACCTCGTTGGTATGGAGATAGCTCTTTGCCATAGCTTCTATTGATTTCAAGAGGCGCCAAAGCCTTGCGTTGAGCCATGGTAGTTGTTTGAAAAAGGGTGTAAAAAAACGCGTGTTCAAAAATGACGCGTTTTGGCCGGATACTTTCGCGCGGGGCTGTAGCTGTAAACCTGTCCTCATGACTGAGTGCAGCATTAGTTAGTATTCATCAAAGCGAATATCTCGCCAACTCACTCAGTCAATTGGTCATTCTCTGAGATGAAAATCCTTGCTTACTTTCTATTCCGCTGTCAAATGATGCGCCATCCCACTCCCTAACCACGCCTTCATCGAGACCCTTCCCCAAAGTTATCCACACACCAAGGGCATCACGCACCATGTTCCTCCTCCCCTCCCTCGTCTCCACTCTCACAGTCCTCCTCCTCCTAAGCACCCTGCTGCTTGCAGCAACAGAAGACTACTACAACCTCCTCGGCCTCTCCAAAACCGCCTCAGACCGCGAAATCAAACGCGCTTACCGCACCCTCTCCAAGAAATACCATCCAGACAAAAATCCCAACAATTCCTCCGCACACGCCAAATTCGTGGAAGTGGCCGAAGCCTATGAAGCACTGTCAGACTCCAATCTGCGCAAAATCTACGATCAGTACGGCCACGAGGGACTGAAGCAGCATCAGCAAGGGCAACGTGGCGGCGGAGGGCATCATGATCCATTTGATCTATTCTCGCGGTTCTTTGGTGGTGGAGGGCATTTCGGGCATGGAGGTGGACAGCGACGTGGGCCAGATATGGAGGTGAGGATGCAGCTGCCACTGAAGGATTTTTATAATGGACGGGAAACGGAGTTTACGGTTGAGAAACAGCAGATCTGTGAAGATTGTGAAGGGTCAGGGTCGGCAGATGGGGTGGTGGAGACTTGTCAGAAATGTGGCGGAAGAGGGGCAGTGATTCAAAAACATATGCTTGCGCCGGGGATATTTCAGCAGGTGCAGATGCAGTGTGATGGGTGTGGGGGGAAGGGAAAAAGTATTAAGCATGCGTGTCCGGTTTGTGGAGGTGCGAGGGTGGTCCGGAGGCCGGTGACGCTGACGGCCGTGATCGAGAAGGGAATGCCCAAGGGGACGCGGCTGAGGTTTGAGAACGAGGCTGATGAGAGTCCGGACTATGTGGCGGGGGATATGGTCTTGACATTACAAGAACAGGAGCCGAAGCTGGGCGAGGAGGAGTCAGCCAAAACTGACGGCACGTTCTTCAGGAGAAAAGACAACGACCTATGGTGGAAAGAAGTGCTAAGCCTGAGGGAAGCCTGGATGGGAGGATGGACACGAAACCTCACGCATCTGGATGGGCATGTGGTGCGGCTATCGCGAGAACGTGGTCAGGTTGTGCAGCCCGGCCAAGTGGACACGGTAAAAGGAGAAGGTATGCCAATCTACCACGAAGGTCACCTGCATGAGCATCACGATGGAGATGAATTCGGCAAGCTATACGTGGAATACATGGTAGTGCTGCCGGATCAGATGGAGAAACCGATGGAGAAAGATTTCTGGGCGCTATGGGAGAAGTGGAGGTTAAAGAAGGGAATCGATTTGGGAAAGGATAGTGGCAGGCCAAGTGCTGCGCCTCATGATGAGCTCTGATAGACTTAATAGACTGGTTCTTTTTCTTCTTCTTTTGAGTCGTTCCGAGACAATTGATAATCTAATGTGGTTTGTGCTGCGACTCGCTTCGCTAGCAACGACAAAGTGATATACAAGCTGTCCGAGGCGCTAGAACTATGCAATGAATAAAACACCTGGTCCTCCACCAACAATCATACAAGAGACCGATTACGACCCAAATAATGCAACCGCTCCCATAAATGCCAAAACAACCCCTAGAGACAGCCCCAATCGGTTTTCTGACACCGCAACCAGGCGGGGTGCAGCGCCTTTTCGTGACTCTCCGATCCCGAAGGGCAAGCCTTGATATCCGAACGTCACATTCTGCGGTATTGATGCGTTATAGCATTGCCCATTCGAGATGTCCAAATTCGTCAGGTCATCAGGAACGCGGAAGAACATGTACATCTGTTGATTCAAACCCTCGAATCCAGACGTATCATAAGGAAATCTATTCTCCTCATCTGTTGCAGAGGTGTTTCGCAGGAAGATGCACTGAACCTGTCCGGGGTAGTCTTGGGCCATTGCGGGATATGCTTTCTATTCCCGTGTCAGCATTTACCACTACCAGAAACTAGAAGATTAAGTAGCCTTACCATGACATCGCTGTTACTAGTATCTGCCACGAGCACGAATTTGCGTTTTGGGTATGTGAGGAATATTTTGTCCAGGAGGAATCGACGGATAGACAACGTGGCACTCACATCGCTGAAGTTTAGCGGTCTGGTGTCGAAACTGCCACCTGGGTATGTCTTGTATATGAAGTCCATGTAATTCCTCGTGACCTGTTCTGGTGTTGTTGTAAGGTAGTGAAAGTGAGTGTCTGGCAAGGCTGTCGACCAATTGGCGTAAATGTCTGGCATGTTCATCCACTGCGTGAAGGGACGAGCAAACGAATTGAGTAGACCTTCCTTCGGCACATAGATCTTAGTGACGCGCAGGATGTCGTCGATGTCACTAATAATGGTGAGGCCTTCGGTGGCGACGAGGTAAGACGTCGCATTCCCTGCTTCAGTGCCGTTGACGTAGACGTTGATCTTTTGTGGAGGACCAGTAGTGTTGCCATCTTCAAGACCTTGATCGGAGAGTGGGACGAAGACATCGAAATCGCCTTGGTCTGTTGTCGGATAAGGTAGAGTGACCTGTTGGCTGCCTCCAGGCGGCGTAACGCCACCACCACCACCTGGTTCACCATTTGTACCAGCTGAAGGAGCAGGCCCAATATCCACCGTCACATTCTCCTCGCCCTGCTGTACGACATAAATCGACCTGGTGAGGTTTACCGCCTGCGCCAATTGCGAGGGAGGCAGTTCCTGTACGGAGGTGTCGATGAGGAAAACGTTGGCCAAATCGTTGATTTTATCGTCCGAAATGTTGGGCTGCTTGAAAATATTACCGTGCACTCTCAGATTCCACCCTGCAGTCGTCCAATTGCCATATCCAGGTATGTTCAGTGCCTGCGTTGGAACTGCGTCCAAATCAGTACTGCTAATTCCTGCAGATTTCAGCACTGCCTCTCCAGTAGGAAACCCCTGGAAGAAGTTGGCAACGCCATCCGTAATAAATGATGGTGCTCCATCTAATAAAGAGTTCGCATAGCTCGCAGCGTCAGAAAGCAGGTCACGTCTATCGACTGTCCGCGTGGGAGGAGGGTAGGTCGGACCAGCAGTAATCTGAGCAACCACTGCATCCAGGGCAGGATCTGGTTGGACGGTAGGAGATGCGAGAATGGGTTGAAAAACACATAAAAGCGCGACTATAGTACATGCCATGATGTCTGATAGAGAAAGGAATGTTAGCATAATATGATGAAGTAAAAAGTTGTATTTCTGGAGGTTCCTACTCTCGTAGATCACCTTGGGTTTTAAGTGACCTACCCAATGCGGAAATGTGACTTGACACAAACAAGATGCTGCCGTCCAACAGCATGCAGGTTCAGGTGTGCCTCAGTGGTGTTACATATTGCGGGACCAGGTCTCTAGTTATAAGTACACGGGTTTGGTTGGAATCTTGAACAAGGGCCATCATACCGGGGTCCAGAACCCTGTTTCGGTTGTCTATATGATGCAATTTGCAGGCTACAACGTAACAAACTTGATGCTTGATACCGTAGTAAGCTCTCCTCTGAAAGCTGATGAAAAGCTTAGACTTTGTGACGATCATCGCAATCGCAACGCATTTTGGATTTTTTGGGGGAGGGTTCAATCCCGTAGGGCGAAGAACAATGGACTGCTTCCCTCAGCCGCCTATTAATAGTGATATATGCTTTGCACACTCACATCTTCATTGTGAATCATGGCTAGCAAGCCAATTTTGCTACCCATTTTTTATCTGTGACAACAAGGCAAGCACGTGCCCTGCCCCCATAGCGAAGCGCAGAGTAGCAGTTTCTCACAGACAGAGGTGAGCATATCTCTCAACCTTCGAGTAACTTTACATCCTGCTCAAGTGCGTGCTCTAAAGTACACGGTTAGTTTAACAACCTGTCTTGCATAGAATTGTACGCTGCTCACCAGACGTTTTGAAATTGGCTCTGCAGAGCATATGGTTCCTGGCCACCGCCCTTCCCTGCGGCCACCAGCGTAGAGTTGTCAATCCAACTCATGATTGTACCATGCCTACCCGATCGTCTCAGCTGCCCAAAGTCACGCTTTCTAAACTCTTGGCCACGATGGGCAACAAATCTACCAATTTGTTTGGATCACGCAACTGGGCAGCAGCATCGTCCCTTCTGCCAGCTAGAACTTCCCTGACCTTCTCGTACTCGTCTTCTTTCGCGACATACTCCCGAATAACCTCGCCTTTGTCGAAGTCAACGTAAACCCGAGTATCCCGAAGCCTCAACATGACATTGTCGAGGCGCATAAAGAATCGGCACAACAGCAACATTCTTGAAGGCATGACCCGGACCTTGCAGGAAAGCATAGCTATTCCATTGTCTGCTAGCTCGTCTTCATAAAGCATCACATCATCGAAGAACAGAATAGGGTCGGGTCGTTTGAGAAGTTCAACGGGTATCGGTGTCGATGACACGCGGAATGGGGGAGAAGGAGGAGATAGAGTGCCTTTGTAATCCGTGGTGTACGACCAGTCGAACGGCTTGACCACTTCCTTGATATCATGAGTATCTTCTCTACTCTGTTGCCATTCTTTAGAATATGCGACTTTCAACCTCTTCTCTCCCGTCTTGTCTACTCGGTCCAGCGCGTCAAAGGCATTGAACGAGATTCGCCAGCCAGACGCAGCGTGCTCGACTGCTACGTAATTGTCACCGAATATCATTTCAGGCGGCGCAATTCCGAGTGCTGAAGTCATCTGCTCGATGGGTTCTGCTTTGAGGATCGGAAGCTTCTGCGTAGTGATCTTGAAGCCATTTTGAGTGATGGAGCGTTGGGGAGTGCTTCCTACAGCCGGAAATGAGGCATTGAATCTAGCTGTGGTCGCAACTCCATTGCTGGCCATTCTGGGAAGTTCAGAGGTAGGGAGTGGTGGAATAGAGACACTTTACAACGACTCAATCTAAAAACCTGCTTCGTATTCAAGCTCTCCTGGAAAGGAGTGTGTCCATCATGGGGTTTAACTAAGTTAGAGGCAGCAGCGCAGGCAGTAAACCCACCGCGTGACCTTCCTTTCCAGGAGGTTCCACTCGCTAAGTCGGTTTAGCATCATCGACTGACACAAAGCACCATCATCTGTCTCACATCAATCAATCCATCTTCCTGTCATCGCTCATCTCTAAGTTTTATCCCTTCTGTCTCCTCAGTAATCTTAAAACCTCACGCAATGGCCGCAAATACAAGATATGAACGAGCGCCTCAGCGTGACTCTCTTGAGGAAAACTACACACAACCGCCACCATCATACCAGAACGCCAGCTCCAGCGATGGCCTCCTCGGTGCTCCACGAGGCGAAGACGACAATGTCCCCGATGACTTCAAGGTATATATAGCCATAGAAAATCATCTTCGGCGCAATCAATACTGACAGCTACTCCAGTTCGGTGGCTCAGTCTCAGAAGCCACTCTCGATATTCGCATGGCTTTCGTTCGAAAGGTCTATGCCATCCTCACTGTTCAGCTCTTCCTGACCGCTGCCCTCTCCTGCGTGTCTTTCTTCTCCAAGTCCTATCGGCACTGGATTCAAACCAACAGCTGGATGATGTGGACCTCCCTCTTCGGAGCTATCGCTTTCATGCTCCTGACCTTCTGGAAGAGGAAGAGCTACCCCACAAACCTACTCTTCCTGACCGGCTTCACTGTGCTCGAAGCCTACTCCATCAGCGTCATCACGTCCTTCTACGAATCCCGGATCGTGATCGAAGCCCTCATCCTCACGCTTGGTATCTTCGTCGCCTTGACCTTGTTTGCCTGCCAAACTAAATACGATTTCACGAGCTGGATGCCCTATCTCTTCGGCTCGCTCTGGGTGCTCATCATCTTCGGGTTCATGGCGGCTTTCTTCCCTCACGGCAGCACGGTCGAGCTGATCTACGGTGTTGTGGCGGCACTCATCTTCAGTGGGTACATCTTGGTGGATACTCAGCTCGTCATGAGGCACTATCATGTTGAGGAGGAGATCGCAGCGGCCATCAGCCTATACCTTGATGTCATCAACTTGTTCCTTGCGATCTTGAGGATTCTGAACAGTCAGCAAAACAACTGAGTGGAAGGCGAAGCTGAGGGATATCCTTTCCTTTCAATTAGCAGGACGGTGAGGTGGTGGAGCGGCCAAATCTTTTCACCTTTCTCTAATTTGCCCTGGTGTTAGTGCGTCATAGCGGTTCAATGGAGTATAAGCATCCGGTGGAGGCTAGGTTAATGAGGCAGATAAAAAACTTGTCCAACCAATCACATCACAATTATATCTGTGTGTCTGACATCCGTTCCAAAATCCATTCAAGTATCTATCATATAGAAAGGACTCTTCCACTTTCCCATATAGTCAAGTAATATGTGCAACCGTCCACCATCACTAACCCTACAAGACCGGGACCGAGATGGGCAGAGATGTGTGGACACCAAGCCCTGTTACTGCCTCTTGAACCTGTGACATGCATTTTCCATCCCTTTACTATGTCAACTATCGGCCGGTCGAATTGTGATCGTCTTTACTAGCGCTCTCTTACCCCTTTTCTCCCTAGAGTTGGGTATCCCAAACCGACCACTGGTGCGTTCAACACGTCAGATGTGCCCCTATAATCGCATATTAGGTGGTTTATCCAGATCTAGTCCCTCTCTTACTCTTTTATTCTCTGTCAATCACTAAAGTGTTGCCGAACCGGGCGCTATATGTGGCCAATCATCATGCTTATGTGTCAAGTGCTTCAAGCCAACTCTTTTTTTCAGTCCTGCGGAACGCCGTCATAGTATCATGGATGTGCCCTCTTCTTGTCGTCTCCTGGTGCTTCTCCATCACAGAACGGAGTGATTTGGTAATCCAAGAAATACTCTTATGGTGTTCTTTCGAGTCGGCCCTAATCATTCTTCCCAAAGCCTTTATCCCGAGATTGTTCAACACAGAGTCTCAGTCGTTTTCACATGTCTCACTTCCCGTCTATGCCAATTCTGGATGCTTCTGCTCCCCTGATCAGTGCGCCACAATGAAGAAAGTATTGGTAATCAAGCAAACAACCATAACCAGCAGTCCATAGATCGCCAGAGCCAGACTCAGCCGTCTCAACAACTTGCGTCTAAAAGCCTTTGTATTATTCCGCAACATGACCATACTGGAGCTCAGGATCCCGCTTCCACTCAGCAAGCCGTCCCTCTCTTCACCTGCGGCATCGGCATCGCTATGATTATCCTCGATATCAGCGTCATAATCATCTTCTTCTTTCAGTAGACGCTGATGTAGTGCTGAGTCGAGACTCGATATTTTGTAGTAGAACAAGCCCGGCAGGATGAAGCTGATGGATGTACTCCCTGTACTCCCTACATAGGCTAGCACGGCCTCCAGACTGTTGACCGTCATCGCGACGATGAAGCTCAGAATAATGATCGCCGTCGTGATTGCAGCGAATCTCGTCTCGCTGAGCGAACCATCATTTCTTTTCCTGCCTGTCAGCAGTAAGGGGGTGCTCCTTGGTGGGCTTGAGTCGAGGGAGCTTGGTCCGCTGCTCCTTAACAGGGACTTTGGCCGCCATTTGAGCACTGCGTCGACGCTCGCCCTACATGGATGGACTTGTAGCGGGTAAGAGAACAATACCAAGACAACAATTGCGGCACGGCCGATTGTCGCAGATACTGAGGGTAAGTACTGAGCGACGATGTTGCCACCTATATCGTTGCCGAAAGAAAGATAGCCGGTGATGGCGACGAGAACGTAGATGGCTGCTGCAGTGCCGTTGCTAACAATGGCAACAGAGCTGGTGCGGAAGTGAGAGTTGTTGCCTATCTCGTTGAGGACGGAGAACATATTCTGATGGCAGGTGTAGGCGAAGACGATGACGGGAAAGGAGCTCAATGTAGGGATTGGGCCGGCCCAGCGAATGACACGGATGGGGGTTCGGTCTTGTCGGAGAGTGTCGCCAGCGCAGAAGTGGTAGACTACTAGGATAACGAGGTAGCCGATTGATATGAGAGCGATTACAGAAGTGTATTTGAGCGAGTCAAGACGTCGGAGGAAGGAGAGTGGTATGACGATAAGCCTGGGACATTGTTAGTATGGTTACTAGATGAGCCGAGATGACTTGCATAAACGCTGTAACCCAGAAATGTCTATCTACTAAGAAGGGAGCCAGATCTTCTGCACTGGTAAAGCCTCTCACAACTCCTGGCATCAGATCTCCGATAATGATTAGGTAGCTGACACCAACACCGAAGCATTTAATGGCGATAGCTGCATCAAAGACCACCGCAGCATTTGGGTATGTGAGCTGCGACAGCGCAAAGAATGATGCGGATCCTCTCTCCAGGTACTGCGCGCATCGAGTTTGAAGGTACAGTCCGAACGCCGCCGTAAGCCCAGCCCATAATATCACTATCGTTCCAAGAAGGATGCCCATATGCGACATGGCGAGGGGCATGGCCAGGAGTCCCGCTCCAAGAATTGTGTTTAAAAGATTGACAACGCTACTGATCCAGCTTGCCTGGCCAATTGTGCCTCCGACATCTCGTTTAAGATGACTCGGTGGACGTCTGGAAGAATTGTCAGTACTGAAGCCTCCAAGCCTGCCGCTTCACACACCTTCGGCCTCTGTGGGAGTAGTTGGTGCTGGATTGGCCCTCGTCCTCGGTTGAATGCATTTTTGGGAGCAGGTGAGAAGAATTGCGATGCTGGAATGATGTTCACGGCGGCATCCTAAAATCGATAATAACTCTCAACACACAGTCCAGAGAAGGAGGAACGTTCGATAACCGGATATGTGGCCATGAAGGAGGGCAAGATAGGAAAGTTGAACTCCTGATAGTGTCGCAGTGTAACAGCGCAGGCGGACTCGGCACTCAACCGGCGCGATCCGACCTCCCAGGTTGGGAAGCTGGGCGCGCTCCTTTACGTAGTAGTAACTAGTACAATACGGAGCTAGTGGTAGTACTAACTAGTGGCAATATAGTACCACAGACTGTCTTGAGCTTTTGCCTGTCCGCCGCGATTTTCCAGCGTCTTGATGATCTAGGGCCACTTACGGCTGGGACAGGAAAATCAGTAACACCCCGCGATTCCAATTGAATTTTACTACCAACCTGCGATTCTTCAGTCTGTGTGAGCTATGGCTCCCTCTAACCATTTCTAACGAAGTGTTTGTGTATGATATACGCGGCAGTCTTGCGCTCCTCAGAATGAGGTTTCAAATACCGATGTCAAACGTTCTTCGCCCCTGTCCTTAGATAAAGCCTACCTAACCGGCAACGCTCTGAAGTTTCCTTCCAGGCTCAATCTACATTCGTCCACAGAGACTGTCCAGGAGCTTGACTTCTAGCGACGACTACTGTTACTCGATCAAGATGGATTGCCCCAGCCCTCTATCTGGAGCAGACCATATACCCCCTCATAAAGCTCTGCCATGCCGCTCGCTGTAGTTCCTGGCCCCGACGGACCAGGGTCATTCAAAGTTTGCACATCTCGAAGTCGACCCTTGGCGACTTCTATGACACTTCCCCCACCAATTCTGATCATTTCACCCTGCTCTGCGTTCTCTCCAAAGTAGCTGGAAATCTCCGTCTTCTCCACCAAATCCACCATGACATCTGCAACGTCTTCCGGCAGGACCCATTCATCTTCAGCCTTGATCATTACCAGCTTCTCGCTCGTCCAAATCGGTGTCTTGACGATGGCGGGTGCCACTGCAGCAACTCTGATTCCCAGCGTGCTTTCCAGGTGAGCAAGACTACGTACAAAGCCACTGATGGCATGCTTGCTGGCACAATACAGCGGCAGCGGCAACAGAGTCAGCTGAGCTGTGATACTGGAGATGTGGATAATGCTCTTCGGGTTGGTTGGTGAAACTTTGGGCTTTGCGGACACGAAGTAAGATATTGCCAGCTGCGTTAAACGAATCGGATGGGTAATATTGATGTCCAGGCAGGCATAGTGATTGCTCTGAGGGTCATCCTTCGAAGGTAGCTGCCCTGGTGGACGCCAGAAATTGGAATAGGGTGGTTCGAAAATTCCAGCACCGGGACAGACGATATCTACACCACCAAACTCTTGATGAGCAACCTGAAACGTACGAGAGAGGTCTAGCCAGGACGTCACATCAGTTTTAAGGTAAACTGCTCTTGGCGAATCTTTGGAGTGAGTATTGATGAGCTCTTTGGCTTCAGGTCGGAGCGCCAGGTCTGCAACGAGAACATTGACTCCACGACTGAGCAGGAGCCGAGCAAAGCAGAAATTAATTCCTAGTCAGGTCAATATTTGGATGGGCGTATTGCCAACACAACCCACCTGAACCAGCACCCGTCACAATGGCCGTCTTCCCATTAAGATCTTGAGCCATGTTGAGTAGTTATACGGAAGAAAGATGAACAAGAGTGCTGAGAACCAGCTTGCCAAGTGGACCACCACCATTCTCAAAACTAGTGACAATCTGGATCGCAGCAGACTTCCTCCCCGCCTAAAAGGCCCTTTGTCAGCCGACCGTCAACCGAAGTTCTTCCCCACTATCAACTAGTCTACAAGTGGTAAGACATCCGCTTGGGGATGACGAACAACTTGAATAGCAACCGTCCCACTGAGGTTTCCAGTTTGGACGATGCATTTGGGATAAACAGGACGTCTGACACCGCCTCTGGACACGCTCTTATAATCTTATAAGACCCAAACATGGCCTCTAAAAAAGTGACTGCCTCGATGCTTCGGCGTACAGCGTCTACTGCTACGAAAAGTACCCGACCTGCGGGCGATATTAGCTCTGTCTTTCCTTCTCTGTCAGGGAAAAAGACCGAAACCCTTCCTCAACGGTTCGCTGATCTGAAGCTCAATTACCTGAAACAAAATCAAGATGCCATCCAACAATCATGGACGCGATTGCTATCTAGTCTACATGAGGAAGTAGCAATGGTCAAATCGAAAGGCAGTTCAGTAAGCACCTATATAGAAGAACTCGTTTGACCTATCCTGATTGACAGTGCCAAGCTGATTCCGAACATCACGTTCGAGGATATTGCATCTAAAAATGTATCGAAAGCAATTGCCGACGAGGTCCGCCGCCGTGGGGCTGTAGTTATTCAGAATGTCTTGCCCCAAGATGAAGCATTAGCTTTGAAAGCCCAAGCGCGTGAATATATCAAAGCCAGTCGAGGGCGTGTGAAGGCTTTCCCTGCCGATAACCCAGCTGTTTACGAGCTGTACTGGTCACCTGCTCAGGCGACAGCGAGGTCACATCCGAATGTTCTGTCGACGCAACAATTCTTGCAAACTTTATGGCATTCATCTGATCCAGACTCCGAAATTTCGACAACACATCCGTTAACTTATGCTGATCGGTTCCGGATACGCAACCCTGGTGATGGCAGGTTCGCTTTGGGACCGCACACTGATGGTGGATCTTTAGAGAGATGGGAGGATCCCGAGTATTCCCGGGTATATCAAAAGATCTTCGGTGGTCACTGGGAAAAGTACGATGCATTTGATGCCAAGCACAGAATCCATGCAAAAATGGACCTTTATAACGGCGCTGGGGCGTGTTCGATGTTCCGCTTTTTCCAGGGTTGGCTGAGCATGTCTACTACCGGCCCAAATGAAGGCACCCTCAAGCTCTGTCCAATGCTCAAGCATGCTACCGCATATCTGTTACTGAGACCGTTCTTCAACCTGAAGACGTCTCAACTGGCATTGGACTCGTCCTTTCCTGGTTCTGTTCCTGCTGCATGCCAGGAATACAATGATGAGACGCATCCTCACCTGCAGCTTGAGCATACCATGGTGTCTGTACCAAGAGTTGAGCCAGGAGACCTTGTTGCATGGCACTGTGATACGATACACTCTGTGGACAAGGAGCACAAAGGCAAAGGTGACTCAAGTGTTCTTTACATCCCAGCTTGTCCCATGACGCGGCCAAACGTTGAATTTTTGACCAGACAGCGGCAGGCCGCTGTAGCCTATTCTCCGCCACCAGATTTCCCTGGCGCGGGGGGAGAAGGTGAACTTGGTTTCGAAGGGGCAGTGGATTGGAACAAGCTGCCATCAGATGGTCTCAGAGCGATGGGTCTCGGTTCCCAGAAGTGGCATATCAAAGACAACATGTCAAAAGGAGAGCGGAAAGTTGTCGAGGAGGCCAATCGAATGTGCTTTTGATTGAAGGGTATAAAGAGCATGTTTGTATGTTACTTCTTAGTTTAGTTGTCGTGTCTCTTGAGTTTCAAGCGTTCTTTGACAGCAGAACAAATTGAAAGTATATAGTAAAGATAGTTTTGTCATACTTATAAATATAACGAGGACTGACTGGCTTCTTATTGAAACCAAGACCTGAGAACAAACATTTACCCGTACTCACTTGGGACACATGCTTATATAAGTTGGACCCTGGTTACTTCCAATGAACCACTGCAAGAGATATTTTGTTCCACAGCCTTGACAGTTTGGATGAAGCTCCTGTGCTGAATGGGCGCACACCCCCACTTTCCATCATGCGCTTAAATGCGCTCTTGACGTTGTTTCTATCCTATGTATCCTCGGTCCACGCTATTCTCGCCGACGAAGCCTACCATGTTGACTACCATCATGCCTTGCTTGGTATTCCGCAAGCCGAGACCACCTTCTTCCACCAACCTTCCTCATCTTCGAACGCGTCTCTGCTATATACAATCTCGGAAAAGGCCATAATTGGGGCTGTGAACCCGAAAGATGGCTCAGTGGTATGGCGGCAGTCTCTGGCAGATTCTCTACCAGAACCACCTACAGTGGTTGAAGATGTAGTGAAACTACCAAACGAAGAGCAACAAAGGGCTTTAAGAGGTATCGGTCCAGCAAAAGCAGGCTTATTAGCGGAGGAGGGCAGCGGCTTCGTGGTCTCCTACTATGGTTCAGCAGTCTCGGCATGGGATGCCATGAATGGGAAGCTGGCATGGCAGAGGTTTATGCCCCAGGGCCAGCATGTCAAAAGCGCACAGCTGATACCCAGCGGGCGCGATGTCTCGTCTTCCTCAGCAGTTGACGTTGTGGTGCTTTATGGTACTGAAGGAGGTACCGTCACTAGGCTTGATGGGTCCTCCGGGGCTGTGGTGTGGGAATACGAAGATAGGAGGTAAGCTACCTGGCCGGCACAATATAACAATGAACTGATTATCTCAGTGGTGCGTCGCCACGATATCTCGCATCCACAAAGAAATCGATATACTACGTATCAGAACAATCTGCTGTACTAGCCGCCAATTCGATGAAAATTGTCTCTCTCAACACAGAGAATGGTCGAGAAGACAAGAGTCATGTACTGAAAACTGACGAGGTAGTTACCGTCTCGTCCTGTCCCAACGTTGCCTTTATTTCATGGCATGAGAGATCTTCCAGGAGCATGAAGGTAAATGTTCTGGGCTCGAATAAGGTGAATACTCTGAACCTAGAAAGGTCCAACGAAGAGGAGATTGAAGCAGTAAGCGTCTTGCCGGGATGCGGAGACAGTTCGCCGTCGCACATCTTGGTGCACGTTCAGACCCGCAACGGAGTTTGGGCGGAAGTTTTCGATATCGATTCAGACAGCGCTGAGGTACGCAAAGCCTACAGCTTACTTTACTTGAAAGGGAAAGGTGCATTTGCTGTGAGCATCGTCGATGAAAAACCACATTTCACCCGGATCACAGACTTTGAGATAGAGCTATACTCGTTTGCTCCTGGCATTATGGTTGCGAGGTGGCCAAGGAATCAGCCATCATTTGGTGGCCCAGGTCATGCACAAGCAGAGGTGGTTTTACGAGGACAATCCAATTATGCCATCAGGATCTCAGAAGTTGCAAAAGGCGGAGAATGGACCCTGATGCGAAACGGCGAGCTGGTTTGGTCAAGACCGGAAATGCTTGCCAATGTGGTAGCAGCGGCATGGGTAGAGGATGTCTCGGGGGAAGCTCTTGCCCATGAACTGGATTTTGAAGGCCATGAAAATCCACTACGTGCTTACACTCATAGACTGAAACGGCACTTGCGGGATTTGGAATATCTTCCCGCGTGGCTTCAGCAACTGCCATCGAGTGCCACGTCTGGTTTGCTTACTTCCAAAGCCGAGACGGAAAAGGGGCTTCTTGGCCATAAGCTGTTGGTCGTTGCAACGAGCACAGGACAACATGTTGCACTTGACCCCGCAAAAGCTGGGGCAATAAAGTGGAAGAGACTTGCACAGGAAGCATCAGACGAGGCACGTGCAGTGTCTCTCTATGTTCATGACGGAGTTGTCACCTCTTATGTCAACAAGTGGGGTATCATGACGATCAATGCCACCGATGGTCGAGATATCAGCTTCGACCAGTCCGATGCTCATTTCACAGGAGTAATCATTGCGCCTGGCCCGGTGGCTCCTGTTGCTTATCGCATTTCACGAGATGGCCAACCAAAGCCCACTGCCATTGACGATGTGGCAAAAGATGGCACTTACCTTGTGACCAGGTCGGCATCAGGGCAAGACGTGCAAGGTTGGATGGTTGGCCGCTCGAACATCAAACTCTGGACATTCAGCTCTGCTGCTGGCTCTCGCATCACCAACGTGGTTGCTCGTCCTGCGCATGATCCCGTTTCTTCCATTGGGAAAGTGCTTGGAGATCGTTCAGTCCTGTACAAATACCTCTCCCCCAACCTCGTCCTGATCACGAGCGCTAAAAGGGGCAGCTTCACCATCTATCTCCTCGACTCCATCACCGGGACGATCCTCTACTCCGCCACTCACGAAGACGCCGACACTTCGTCTCCCATCCCCTCCGTGCTCTCCGAAAACTGGTTCACCTACTCCTTCTTCGGCACCTCAGACGCAAAATCTCCTTCCAAATGCCATCAGCTCGTCATAGTCGAACTCTACGAATCCCCTATCCCGAATGACCGCGGGCCCCTAGGCTCCTCTTCGGCCAACTACTCCAGCTTCTATCCAGGCTCAATCACAAAGCCCCACACCATCACCCAATCCTTCGTGATCACCCAATCCATCAGCCACATGTCCGTCACCCAAACCGCACAGGGGATCACCTCCCGACAACTCCTCTGCACTTTGCCAGACCTCAACGCCATCATCGCCATCCCCCGCTACCTCCTCGATCCCCGCCGCCCGGTCGACCGAGACCCTACGCGCGAAGAAGCAGAGGAGGGCCTCTTCCGCTACTCTCCCGTGCTGGATCTCGATCCGAAGTTTTTTCTATCCCATTCGAGGGAGGTGGTGGGGATTCAGAAGATCATCTCGGCGCCAACGCTGCTGGAGAGTACGAGTTTGGTGTTTGGGTTTGGTGGGCTGGATGTGTTCGGGACGAGAGTTACTCCGAGCAAGGCGTTTGATGTGTTGGGTAAGGGGTTCAATAAGTTGGCGTTGATTGGGACGGTGGCGGCGCTCGGGCTCGGGACCGCCGTCCTGGCGCCAATGGTTCGGAGGAAGGCGGTGGAAAGGGGTTGGAAGTTGTGACTAGATAGAAGGTTTACAGATAGAGCTCATTGGTTTGGTTAGATGCTGGTGCATCGCAGGATTCATTCATTGCATTCTACTTCTATGCAATCCTGCGTGTTTCCCTTTCTCTCTGTTCAGCTTGTTGTGACAGGCAATAGGCATCAGGGCTCTTGTTTAAGGACCTTCGGACCATCACACGATTATCTCTCACACAACATACCGGTCCGAGTAGGGGTCCATAAAGCTTCGACAGATACGCAGTCGGAAGGTTCTACAGGTATTTACTGCCAAACAACCCGCATGAGGCTCCGATGGGCGCAGGATGTCTTTCCCCTCTATAGTGTCGTGTCGATGGTAAGCCGTTGAACAACAGAGCCACAGCCCATCGAAGACAGAGTCGTTGGTCAACTTTAGCGTCAGCACTGTGCAGTACTTCTCCTCTCGCGCTTTCTGACTTCGGTGCTGGCATGTAGACCGAGCTGGCAAGCAAGCGACCACTTTGAGAACTCTAGCAACAGTGGCTACGTATATCTGTTGGGTTCAAGGCCATTATAAATGCTCTTGGAGTTTCTAGTTTCAAAAGACGACAATGGCTTTGCGCCAGTACTATATCTGTAGCCAAGTTTATTATATAAATTTAACAAAATGTTTTACTTCCGCAATCGACCACAGGACATGGAATACAGGGCTTCCCGTTCGCTCAGCCGTACTTAAGCCATGTGCCGGCCGGTTAGTAGTTGGGTGGGTGACCACCAGCGAATACCGGCTGTTGATTGTTTTTGGTTTTCCTGCCCATTTCAACTTTCATAACCTATCCTATGTTTCTTTCCTCTCTAAGGAGGGAAAGAGCGAAATCTATCCTTGATCGCAGCAAAATATAAGCAGCTTCCTGCGAGCAACTTTTAGGTACCCGAGACTTTTCATTTTTCATTTTCCCATTACGATACATCGGAGAATACCGAGTAGATCGGTGGATGATGGGTAAGCTCATCTTGCTAACTAGGGCTGAAATTCCTGCTACAATAGCGGGGAGACGGGGGGTTGGTGCTGGACATTTGGTCCTCGAATACGCTGCTGTTATGCGATTGGGTATCTAAGATATATGTATCCAGCTTGCAATGCAATATGGGCCCATGCTCGGGCCATGCTCGAAGCTCAGTGCGCATAGGGGTCACCTGTCAATAGTGGAGTTGATGGTGACGGACATGCTTCGAATCTCTCGGTGATCAAAGTTGAACCACATACTTCTCCCGGGACATCATAAGTCAAGCACTGTGCAATGAAAAGCGCAATTGTTCACCTCGGCCAGCTAGGATCATGTTTCGTCGCCATGGCCCAGAGAGTGAAAGCCGTAGGTAACGCATTTTACATACGGCTTTTTCGCCGCCAGCAGCCACGTCTCTCAAGCCTCACCATCCTCCACGTCAAGCTTAAACCCTCCTACACACGCCTTCTGAAACAAGCCCTCCGGATCATAACTCTTACTCACCCTGCGCAAGAACTGCCAATTTTCAGCGCCATAACCTTTAAACGGCCGCTGCCACTCCGCACAGTAATTCAGGTACCGGTATCGATGGCCGGTTCGATGAGCCGCGGCAAAGGCATCGATCTGCTCGACGGTGCGGCGCGTTGTCGTCTTGACGAACTCGTCATCGCGCCCTTCGTCCCAGTTGATTGTGAAGCTCACGATGACGAGAGGCTCATCCGCGCAGTCGTGCAGACCTAGCGGATTCGCATCACCCTTACGTACCCAGTCCGGTAGGAGCGGCTGCAGGACGAGCGTCCAGACCAAGCCCCTGACGTTGACACGGCGGAGCGAGGCGATGCCATCGCGGTAGGCGGCGTGCACGGCAGCGAGTGTGGCAGGGTCGTTCTTGATAGTTGTAGTGGCGAAGACCTGGCGCCTGCCCGGCGGGTTGAGGGCGTTCATTTCGTCGGTTGCGCTCGTCAGGGTGCGCACCTTGCAGGTGCTCCAGAAGCGAAAGAGCGATCGGAAGGAGGAAGTCCTCCAGCAGGTGGGCCATTGCTTCTCGTTCTCGAGGGGCTTGGTGTAGACAAGATTCACGGCGATGACCTGGGCGCCGACCCTCTGGATATAGGTGAAGCAGGCGATGGGGCCGGCGGCGTGGTCGTCGTACGCTGTGCTTGGATCGCGTGAATCCGCTCTGTTGACGAATTCGTGGAAAGCCGCGAGAACCTTGGCGGGTCGGACAGCGGGCATATAGAGGAAGCCGCTCCAAATTTTGGTGGAGGGGAAGCTGCGAAACCTGAAGCGCGTGACGATGCCGAAGTTGTTGGAGCCGCCTTTGAGGGCACGCCAGAGGTCAGGGTTGGTTGATGCAGAAGCATTGACGACGGAGCCGGAGGCAAGAACAACTTCGTAGCTGAGAATGTTGGAGCAGACTAGGCCGAAGCGGGGGGAGAAGAAGGAGAGACCTCCTGTTTGTGCCTTTGTGTCAGCTTTTGCGCCAGAGGAATGGGGGAGCCTGCTGGCGGAGGTCTCAGGTGTCCGACCTGCAATGAAAGCGGGAGGGAGCGGGTTGAGCATAGACGTGAAAGCGCAGCATACCTCCTAAAGTCAAGCCGCCCACCCCAACAGCAGAGTTTCTGCCTCCAATAACAGCGAGACCCTTCTCGTCCAGGACTTTAGAAACATCCATCCACTTGGCGCCAGCTCCGATGGTCACGCTGGATCCATCTTCCGAGGGCGTCACCTCGGAGAAGAGGCCAAGATCGATCACAACACCTCCCTTGATGCTCGCAGCCCCGGCAACCGGAGAGTGGCCACCACTGCGAACAGCAAACAATCCTTGGGCTTCCCCCTCGTCAGCTTGCTTTCCTCGTTCGTCGTACTCACGTTTGAGGAGAGTGACGGCGGTGCAGAGCTGCTGGACGTTTCGGGGCCGGACGACACATGCTGGGATCACTTCGCACTCCTGCTGGGCCCAGTAGGAACCCATCGACTGCTTAAAGGCGGCGTCGTCGTGCGGAAGGATGACGCTGTCGGGCAAAGCCGACGCGAGGCGTCTGCTGAGCATGGCACGCTCTGGTGAGCTGCCCGTACGGTCTGGGCGGTCTGGGCGGTCGGGCTTCTTCGTGTCTCGTAGGCTCAGTGAGCTTCGTAGACGACGCATGATGAAGACGGAGATGATGATCAGGAGCGTCGTTGTGACAGATACGGAAAGGAGCCGTGAGACCATGAGGACGGTTTCTTGTCGCAGAGATCACTGGGAGAAGAAGGCGTCAGCCTCTGTTGAGTTGGCGGCGCAGATACCGGCATAGCTTGACAGAGAGTAATAATCCCTGCAAGCCTGACAGGTACTACGGCCCGCTGAATGCTAGGGGACCTTACCTATACTACGGTATGAGGCAGAAGTACGTAGTATTGCTAGCACGCTGCTGGGAATCTGATACATCTTCATACCCCATTCCAGAAGCTTCTTCTTATGCCCACCCTCATAAATCATCTTTATCCGTACCACTTAGCCCCTCCTGTTCTCGCTATGTCGTCGAATGCCTGTTACGCCTCTGAGTTACTAGTTTCGTGCTAACAATACTTCTACCGTAGTAAGGTGGGGGCGCTATGTCTCATGTACTACGGTACCAGGCCTAATTTTTGTAACCATCCCCTGGGTAAAATATCTTACTACGGGTACAGGCCTAATTTTTGTACCCCCCCCTGCTGAAAAGGTTAGTATCCGTACAAAACATACTACATACGATTAGGTATAGTCGTCCGCATTATGGCCTAAATTAGATTAGTCTCTAAAATCAAGTTTTTACATTCTATTAACACCTCTAACTGCTTGACATCTTGTCTGTATCTACTGAAGCAGCTTTTGTAAGATATTTAGAAGACATAATATACCATGAAGCAGTGCTTATAGCTCATCTTATCATCAAGCTCATTAGTATCTATGCAGAATTAGTAGAATGCGTACAGAGTGAGATGAGTAGCATTTGCAGGATGAGCAAAATTCGTGCAAAATAGTGACGCAATGCTGACAGGGATGCTGGCAGGTGGGTTGTGTAAAAAACATGTTTGTAAGATATTTTGACCAGGGGGGGGGTACAAAAATTAGGCCTGTACCCGTAGTACAAACGCCTTTTTGGCATACAAATCCCTGTCAGAATCCCTGTCGCTATTTTGCATGAATTTTGCTTATTCTGCAATCTCTAGATTAGATAAAGAGTTAGATACAAGAGCGCTATAAGGATACCTTGCACAAGTATGATGAGCTACAAGCAGCTATTAATGCTGCATAAGATGCTGTGTCTTCTGACTATTTTAAGAAGCTGCTTCAGTCGATGCAGACGAGATGGCAAGTAATTATGGACGTTAATAGAAAGTAAGAACTTGATTTGAGAGCTTAATCCTGTTTAGGCTATTATGTGGGGTTGATACTTAAATCAATACGTAGTACAGCACGTTTTGTACAGATACTAACGTTCTCAGCAGCGGGGGTACAAAAATTAGGCCTGGTACCGTAGTAACGCTATTATGCAAGTAAAGTCGCACTTAAAATCACCATCGCTAGTTACATACAGAGAAACTTGAATTCTACCACAGAAATAGTTACCAGACTACCCATGGCCCTATGGGTGGAGTCCTTCGGACCCCACTTCACTGTGCGGGCTTGCCAGGGGGAATACCCATGCAAGTGGGGTCCGAAGGACTCCACCCATTGGGCCACGGAACACAGACTCATGCAAACGGCACTATCTAAACCACCCTGCATCGGGCCCTTTGACCTACCGAGTACTGTCTCAGTTGCCGCCTGATCGCTTCCGCACTAGAATCGTCATGAACGGGTTCGGCAGTCTTGTCTTGCCAAATGTCAGGTATGGCCGCCCTGTCGGGTCTGCAAGTTTGAATTCGTAGTCGACAATGAGATGTGAGAGGATCATCTTCATGACAACGGATACGTAGAAGCGCGCAGGGCTGTTCACGATGGTCAGCACGGCGATGAGTTGAGCAGGGCGTGACGGAAATAAATGGTGGCATGGACGGGTAGGGGATCATAAACGGAGCCTGCGCAGAAGCAAAGGGGCTGGCTCACCAAGCATGGCGAATTGATCCCCAGAATGGGAACTCGTAGCTCGGATGAGTAAGTCGAGTCTCTGACGTGCCATTTTTTTCATCGACGAAGCGAAACCCTTCAAAGGCCGCGGCGCGTGGCCAAATACTCTCATCGCGCATGAGCGAGAGTTGTGGTATAGCAAGCCAATTGCCAGTCGGAACGTGATAGCCATCAGAGGAGGTATATGGAGCCATGACTGTGCGAGGAGCGCTGACTGCGTTGTGTCGCTTTGTGTTAGTACACGACGCTAGAATCTTCCCCTTCGATCTCTCCTCTCATGTAAGGTAGAAAGGTGGCTGGCTTACGAATTGGGCCCGGACTCAGGCGGGCAGTCTCTTTCACGAAGCTGTCGAGATAAGGCATTTCCTGATTCAAGGAACCGAACGACGCGTCCTTGCACTCCTCAGCTTCAGCTCTGAGTCTCTCGTGATATTCCGGGTGCTTGCAGAAGCTATAGATACAGAACTGAGCAATCTAGGCGACACTGTCAGTCTTGAGTGAAGGACCGTGGAAGGCTGTCATACCATGGGGACCTGAAATGCACTCGCGAACAGAAGACCAAGCGTAACCTTGGCGACTGCAGCGGCGTCTTGAAGCCTGGTCATCTCGGCTGTCCATTGAGTGATATGCCCCTGCGCTTGCTGATGTGAGTGTCAGTCCTACTGCTGCTGCAAAACAGGATGCCTCACTGACAGTCTTTCCATCACATGAATCCTCGCCTTCAAGAGTTTGGCAGGTAAGCCACAGCAGAAGATCATATACCTTGTGTCGGGTTACACCCCAACCCATTGCTATGGGACCGATGAGTCTGCTAGTTCGTGAGCTTGATGAAACACCGCCATAGGCTGATTCAGAGTGATCACTGACGGCAGAAGGAAGCCCGGTGTGAGGTTCAAGATGGGGAAAGCTTTGGCGCAGCTCCAGAAAAAGCTCATGACATTGTCATAGACTTCGAGGCGGTCGGCTGCGGCGAGGCATCTGAAGTTAGTCCCGTGCTTAGCAGGGGAGGGAGGTGGGCAATTGCATACCTTGATCCTCGCCAATAAAAGCCAAGAGATTCACCCGAGTAAAGATGCGTAGGAGCGCTGGCATGAGCCGGACCTTTTGCCAGTCACCATGATCTTGTACGCATTTGTCTAACGATAAAGACCCATGAGTCAGCACGAGGGACGGTGAGAGAAGCAAGGTCTCCTCTCCATATACGCATACCGTTTGGAGGTGTCACCTCTAGAGCTACTGCATCCCTGATTCGCATCTGAAAGGCATTGCTCATTGCGGGAACATTCGACCGGAGCTTGTTTTTTAGCACACCAATCATGACGCGAAATGCCTCACTCTTGGGTCCTTTGTGCTCGGGCGGTACTTGAAGATGGCCTAGAATTGGCTCCGTGAATGCAAGCTACTGTGCATTAGCAAGTTCCCATGCTGCCGCACAAAGGCTGGGCGAGACGTCGGGCCATACTTCGTGCAGCGCCTCTTCCATCGACAGTAGGGATTCAGGTTCACATTCCAGCTGTTTGAGCTGATCACGATCCGATACGAAGACGATCCAGCGGTCGGTCATGGGAATGGCGAAAGGTTTCCCATGAGACTAAGCATGTCAGACGTCTCCTCACAATGGTGTAGGCATGTCTTGCGCTTACCGAGTCATATGCCTTTTGGAGAAGCGTTTCTGAATCCACAATCATACGTAATGCTGTCAACCACCTACCCAACGGCGTCGGATACGCCGCGATGGTGACATTGGACTAGACACAAGGTCAACGCAAGGGCAGACGGGTGACGTCCGCGGTGATCTTACTGGAGCCTTCCACCAAAATTTCCAAAAGACAGCCGCTATTTGCCAGGCCAAAAGAAGGTAGATGATGTAGTACCAACGCCAGTGCAAATCATGGGAGGCAGTAGCAAAGCTCAAGTTAGAGGTCGAAGGTAGCACCGTGGACGCAACGGTCATTTGGACAGAGCTCAAGTTGGAGGTCGAGGGTAGCACCGTGGACGCGACGGTCATTTGGACAGAGCTCAAGTTCGAAATCGATGGTTGCGCCACCAATGGCGCAGGAACAAACTGCTCGCAAAAGGTTTCTACGTACATGGCGGATGAGTAGGTGCCGAACTCTGGTCTTCTGGCTCATACTGTAGGGAGCGGATATCTTGGTCCATATATATAGACCCGTAGGAGGGACTTCGAGAAAAATTGCCGTCGCTAAAGGTCATCGCCCTCCGAACGAGAGGTCTTGGCTAGATGGTTGGCCGTCATTGATGTCTGATACCGGTTTGCAATGCCTGTGTATGCCTGTGCTAGGCGTGGGGTCCATGTTGCAGTAGAGACTTCGCCATGAATACTTCCTTTCAGGGCTACTGTGGTTCACTCAAATTTTGCCACCTTCTGATAGCGCTAGATGGCATAGGTCTTTGGTGTTGAAGTGCACCAACCCCTGGTTCGGACCTCTCTCAACCAGATCTCCAGCAAATCTGGTCCTCCCAGTTCCGCATTATACCACTCTCAGTCTTCCTTAGGATTTCGGAAACGAACGGGACGCCGTCTGTGTTTGTTGACCGTGTGCTAGTTAGGTTGAATTCTTGTCAGCGCTACTGTGATTCAGTCGTACTTTTGCCTTCCTCTTTTCTGCGACCACTGATCCTATCCCGCAGGAAGCAGCCTAACAGGCCCGGCCAAAATAAGTGTTGATCGTCGACTGATTCATCATCGATTGGACTGCTCGAGGCTATCACTTATTACTAGGGGAGGGGGCCTGAAGTTTTGTTAGTCTGGTGTTAAGAGCAGGTAGTTAGTCTAGTGTTAAGAGTAGGTAGTTCTCATTACGACAACATAATGTTATGATGCGCCACTTTAAAGTTTGTGTTATGTATATCCATTCTGATGAGTCAAATCATTGTATCTGACATCTTTTGAGCATAGCTATTCTGTATAGAGACGGTTTCATAAGTGAAGTTACTAGCGCTTAGCTAACCATACTTTAGCCCCCGCCGCAATACTACAGGGGGGCCAGAAGTAATGTTAGCTCAGCGCTAGTAAAATTCTCACGAAACGCCCTCTTGCCAGAACCTCTTGTACGGCGCTATGACCTCACTGCTCTACGCGTTTCTATTGATTCTACGCGTTACATTCGATGAGTTTCGATGAATTTCGCGTGGATTCTATTGATTTTGCTGTTTCTATATACACGAATTTTACTCCGAATTCTGCCAGAGAGGTGCCAGGCAGTGATGGATGCAGAAGGACAGCATACTCGATATTAGGAAAAAAACCAGAACTGGTCCTAATCGAGCGATTTGGTGGTGCTCTATCTTGGCAGTTACATTGTGTAACTAGCGTGGAGCTAACATTACTTATGGCCCCCTTGTAGTAGGTTGATTGCAATGTCAGGCAACCGACATGACAGCGGCGGGCAGCTGTGTGGCACAGCAGGGCACCCTGAACTGGAGACTAATGCAGCATATTTGTAACGTAGCACACGGTTCTGTGCAACATACAATTCTGTACATCAAAATTGCTATAGCAAAACCCTCTCTAACACTATGTAAGATTAACTTACAATTAATAATTTTAAAGCTATAGAGCTGTCTAGATAGAAAAGGGGGGTTTTAGAATATAGTTTTTTCTTTCAACAGATCATAAAGAATTTTTATAAAATGATTAAATAGTTGTCATGCTCACATGGGGATGACTCTCCTGTCGATATTGGACCAGCAACCCAGTAACTTAGTGTAGCACTAGAGATCGGTCAAATAGTGGTAAGTTACTGACCACACGCAATCAGACTTAGACACGTCACTGATCTCAGTGAGGTCTCTTCTGTCCCATGGCCCATTGGCCTCATAATGTTGCACAGAACCGTATGCTACGTTATAACTATATTTTCAAAACTCAAAATTACGTCAGAATTAAAAGGATTCAAAGCGGTTACAGACGACTACAGTATGTATTCTTATGCATGTAAGCAATTTCATGGTTAGATTTAAGTCAAGGCGCACTTCGATGGGTCTACTGGCATGGCATTAATTTAAGAGGATTCCTTCCTGCCAAGTGCCTGCTAGGTCTTACATAGTTTCACAACAGGCTGACTGACAGTTGGGGCCGAGTTGTTGTATTTGAAGATCCGTGACAGCCTGATCCACATCGGCGGCTCCTTCTGCATCTCCATACGCAGTGATCTACGTAGTATGCTTGCCATGTCCTGGCCACCTATTCCCGCCCCCACGAGACACCTGTTGGGGCAATGCGGGCGCATCAAGGTCCTCGCTCGATTGGGATGGCAGATATATTAAGTCGATAGGTAGTCTCTCGTTGGGGAAGTCTCTGTCGTCGTGCCATGACAGTTTGACCGTCGTAATCATGTCTACGCCCCGTCCTGATGCGCAGCTCATCGCAAGCCTTCCCCCCGACTTATTGAGGACAATACCAGCCGGACAACCCCCACCAGGTATCCAGCCAAACTTCGCAGACCCCCCCACTCGGGTCCCAGTGATTCTAGGCGTTAGCATACCATTCCTGGTCCTGGCTCTTCTCTGCTTCTCCATTCGTATCTACACGAAGCTCGCCATAGCGAGGAACTGGAAGTGGGATGATTGTGAGTGGCATTGATGCAGACTTGGACAACTCGGCAGAATCCAGACTGACTGCTTTCACTAGTGACTTGCTCGTTGGGTTTCGTGGGTCGATCCGATCGTTGCGCAGGTCAATACAAACAACTAACAATGTAATTCAGATGTGCAGTATCGTTTATTTCGGGTCAGTAGTCAACGGTAAGTGGCCTTGCTGTTCGACTTCTACCGGTTGAGCTGACCGTCTGAAGGATGCATCAATGGCGCAGCAGGTAGACACATATGGGACGTCCACCTGGACCTGGTCTTGGACAAGAGCAGCCTCTACGTACGTGATGGTGGCATATTTGTCCTGAAAGTACTCTGCTAATGGGGGAACAGCAAAGCTACATCACGACGATCATGGTCACGCCGGCTTTGGGTTTCATCAAAATCAGCCTCTTCATCCAATTCTACCAGCTATTCCGCACCCTGCGCTGGCTCAGGATTTGTGTATGGGTCGGAGCTCCCATCTCTGCTGCCTTCTACGTCGCTGTCACAATTACAGCGTTTGTGTTGAATAGTCCGTGGCCGGGGGAGAGCTTTCTCGAGGCCATATTGTCATGGCATTACCTCAAGTTCGCAGAGTTCTCCATCCCGACCGGCGTCATCGGCATGGTAGTCGATTGGTACCTCCTCATCCTTCCGATCCCAGCTGTCTTGGGCCTACACATGTCCACTGCGAAGAAGCTTGGTGTACTGATCGTATTCATGACTGGAAGCCTGTAAGCTTCAACATTCCAAGCAAGCAAAAGACTTTTTCACGAAGGCTAACGTGTCATCACTTCTAGTGCTGCGGTCGCCTCCACTGTGAGTCTATACTACCGCGTATACCTCGATACAGACCTGAGCGATCCAACATGGGGTGTCGGCTACGTTTTGCTCTGGGCGTAAGACGTCCTGGCGCCCCCACTAGTACCGTCCGAGGGCTAATGCTGCACAGACAAATCGAGATGTTCGCTGGCGTCGCCGCCTCGAGTATGCCCACCGTCAACCAATTCTGCACTCACCAGAACTTCTCGCTCACGTCCCGGATATCGTCCTTCAGATCCAACCTCAAGCACTTGTTAAGCAGTTCGACAAGACCCTCACGGTCCGCACGCGAGAAGCTCCCTGATCATAATCCTAGTTTCACGGATTGGAGAGGGGTCAAGACACAAACTATGAACGACCGCGAAGTAGGTAGTATGAGAGATTCGAATTCGGATAGCTACGAGCGCAAAGTGGCGGAAGCTCCCCGGATGACGGACCCGCAAATCCGTCTTACACAAGCCTACTCTGTCACCCATGAGCAGCTGGACGACTCAACGTCCAGGCAGGTAGTCGCAGATCGCCATCTTTAAGCTGTATTTATCGATATAAGCAAAGTCGCATACGACGGGGTATGAGGGAAATTCGGACCGCTGCCCAGTATACCATCTTCGTAGAAGACCCACTGTTATTAGGCTTGCTCACATAGAGGATGTTAGGGAGCGAATGCGAGCATGAAGTGGTATTCCCTCGAGTTGCTGGCGCCGCCCCGTCTAATTGCAGTGAGGGTAGAGGATGGCCATTTGATGCCTAAACTTGTCTAAGAACTTAGAAAATAGACTCTTTTGTAACATTGTTATCGGAAGTGTGATACCAAAATATAATATTCAATTATGAGACGGATTTATATATCAGTAATTCAACAGATATACATCTGATATCCCTGGCGTCATCCCCTCTCGAACTCTCGTCTCTCGTTTCACCAAAGCTTTTCCCTAACTCTCTTTTATCTCCTCTACAACGGACTGTTATTAGGTTGACGACACATCAAAATTTTGAACTTTAAAATCAGTTTTGAGTTATTACGAGAGCGATGCAAGTCCATCCTCACAGTGTATATTAACATTCCTCTTATGAATTATAGTCGTATAATGTTACAGAAGACTAAGAACTTAAGTTATTATAGATATAGAAGGTATATTAAGTAGAGAGTGTGTTAAGAAGAGGATGTAGAAGAGGCAGAAGAGGATGTAGAGGATGTAGAGGATGTAGAGGAGGTAGAAGAGGAGGCAGAAGAGGAGGCAGAAGAGGATGCAGCAAGAGGGGTGCCCTAAGAGGGCGCCCCAAGAGAAGAGGGTGCCCATATCTCAAGAGGGTATCTCAAGAGGGTATCTCAAGAGGGTATCTCAAGAGGGTATACGTCCTTGAAGACGTTTTCCAGAAGTCGGTGCACATATAGGCTCTTCAGTTTCTGTACAGCACGTTCTAATTCATCCAGATCTTGAGGCATATATTTCAGGGTCAAGAATAAAACCTCCATCCCTGAGGTGGCTCATTGGACTCAGTTATCTCGTATTTGTTCTTGAACTAGGCCGAGGAGACATTCGAAATCCCTCAACTGCCTGTAAGGCGTTTGATGTCCTCAGGTGCGCTCGTCCACTTGCGGCGAACACTTGCGGCGAACACTTGCGGCGAGTCTTGGAGCTGTCCACCACCAATGCTGTAAGTGTAGACAGGCTCGCGGCTAAAGAGATTAAGGCGATAGAGGCAGAGGAAGGGATCCATCTTGCCACGACTCTCTTAGGTAGGAGGTTATAAGAAACGTAGCATCAGACGGCGTGCTTTCGAGCCGGGTTGCAACGGTATATGTTACCATAACCTTTTTCAAGATGCCTAAGGACACCGCTGTTTATAAGTACACTTAGCAGAGAGGATGAGGCGGAGGCATTGTCTGCCAAGGATGAGGGTCACTTGAGCTAGACTTTTAGGAGTTAGTCATTGGGCTTGGCGCGATGCTGCAGTTAAATCTCGCCAGCCAATGGGATAGTGAATCCAGCAACTCACACACCACAGTCAGTGGTTATACATCGCAATCCATCAGGCTATAAATGGACGGCATAAACATAGCGCAAGAATGCTCTCTAATTTCAAGAATAGATGAAGACGACAGAATTTAACCCAGAGAATTCCACAGTCAACGATTAGATCTCCTTCAACGACGAAAAATTCTTGAACCACCCAGTTAAATCAAGCTTGGCGGTGTGGGTGTAATAGATGAATGATACACAATGAAGGACAGAAAGTTGATGGGGGGCGACTGTTATATAAATTGTTAGGTGCCAGACTTGACGCCTACGGACCAGAGGGAATTCTCTCCCATCTTGGGCGCTCAGCATTATTGTTGACCAACCAAGGCCGCCGCCTCCTTCTCGGGATAGTCCTTACCTCCCTTTCGTCCCCGATTCCCACATACGAAACCCCGTCCCGCCCAATCCCCTCGCCCAAAACATACCTCCTTCCTTTAGCCAGCAGCCGCCGCTCCAGCTCCCTGGCATCCTGCACATCCTGCATGCCCTGGAAGTCGTGGTCCAAGATGCCCGACCCGCTGCGGTAGAAGTACGACACCGTGTCCGCCATTGTGTCGATCCAACGTGGCAGCCGCCAATCACGCAGCGTGGACCAGATGGTGGCGTACGTGAGGAGCAGAAAGAGAAGGCAAAAAAGGTAGATGCTGAAGGTAGACACGCGCACGAAAACGCGGGTTTGTGCCCAATGGATTGTGCCAGGGAAGGAGAGGGTGTGGGTAGGTGACGGGGGATATAAAGTCAAGGCATTGAGCGCATATAGCGTGAAGAGAGTGGAGAAGGCGCGAGAGGAGGCGGCCGCGAAGCCGAGGGGTGTGCTGAGAAGGTTTGCATTGGGGAGCGCGGCAAGGGTGAGGACCGTCATGAGGGAGGAGGTGGAGGCGGTGGAGGTGTTGGAGCTGATTTCTGCTAGAGTTTGATTGAGAAGAGAGTTAAAGAGATGACCGAAGGTAGAGTTGGATGTGCGCTTGTCGAAAGGTTCGCTGGATTTGACGACAACAGTGGTAGGGTCTATGGTGGGCCTGTTCGGGTCGAAGTCTACCAGGGTGACCTCTGACAGCCAGATGGACGTGTCGCAGAGCAGCGACGTCACGACTGGTGTGTTTCTCGCCGAGAAGACGGTTTGCCCAGCGGCATCATATCCAAGGCGTTCGCCCGATATCCGATATATCCACCATTTGCCTTCGTGTTGACAAGATCCTGTCGCTGAGAGGAGAGACCATGAACCACAGACCTCTTCCGGGTGTTCGCTCCGAGTAGTTGAGTTGCTTGAAGACCTCCCACAGACAGAATTGATGTTCGTTCCCGCAGTGCAGTCGCTACTCTCAAGATTCATGGCATTGAATATTCTTCCCTCCTGGCCATCAAATTGTACATCTCTAACGTCAACTGACAGATCAAGGCCGACCTGGAGGTTGACACAGTTGGAGAGGTTAGCCATCACACGCTGTGTATCAAAAGTCCAAGTCCCCGACATGGCTATTGACGAATTGCCAGTGATGTTTGTGCTATTGTCCACAGCGACAGGAAGGTATAAGCTTGTACCATCTGTCCATGAAGCGATAGCATCTGATCCGAGCAGTAGGTTCGCTGTTTGGTAGATATAGGGCTCCAACGCTGGCGTAGTATAACTGGCGTCTTTCCAGTTGATAGGCTGGTCAAACAGCATGGTGGTAGTCTTCGTGACATCCCGAAAGACAATCAGCATTGGCGCAACAGCCAACATGATTCCAGATAACAGCGACCCGGTGGCAACGAGACAAAGCTTGCTATGTTTGTTCGAAGCTGCCCTCCATGGAAGGAGCAGAGCCATGTCTGTACGATAGTCGAGGCAGATGTTTTCATCTGCGGAGTGAGGTTTATTCAGCCCACCAAAAGGTTGGGTGGCCCGGCAATACATGTCCACGTTTTTCCACCACCAGAAGCAATAGCTAGTGAGCAAGACTGGAACCAAACGCCAAACAATAATGGCCCATGTGAGGGACATTGTGCCGAATGTGGGATCAAGACCATTTCTCGAAGAGCTGATTGCCAACCATAGGCATGAGCCTGCAAGTGCCGACATAAGTAGCACCATCACGGCCACGTAGACTATGTGCACGTCCGATTTCCCACTTCGGTACCGGAATGAAGGCAGGTCTTCGGGTGCAATCCTTGGGATTAGACCTGTATCAAAAGATTTCCGTGAGTCCCTCGCCATTCCTTAACCGGGGCTTGAAGCTACTTACTTTGCTCTTGGTTAGTCGGTCCGTCACTTTCTCTAGATATGCCCCAGTATACTCCTTGGCCATCCCTCCAATACCCCAGACGATATATCTTCTCACCCAATCTTTTCTTGAGGTCAGACCTCCGCAAGGACTGGTCTAGATCTTTGAAATCTTGCTCCAAAACTTGCCTGCTTCGATGGAAAAGCAACATCAACCCGGCTATACCAGCCTTGGTAACATCAAATTTGAGTCCGGTCATTCGGTATTTCTTCATGAATGCAACCGTGATAGCAAGGCCAAGTGCTGAGCAAGCCATCACGGCATAATTGAACCAGAGGAAGATAACAGCTGTGGGCTGAATACCATAGCGGTTAATGTAGCTGAATCGAATCCCATCCATTGTGACGAAGGTCTCGGGTTCGGATGCCGTACTGGCAGCAAAAAGCGAAGTCGTGAATAAGCGTGAGAGAACGTGAGAAAAGGTACGTTGAACGGTGAGGGTCAGGTTTTTCGGTCGTAGGAGGGCGTCTTCATCTACCATCAAGCTTGATTGCGGAAGACCTGCAAAAAATGGAACCTGTGAGGCGGGATAGCTACTGAGTGACGCCAGGCCAGTGTCGAAAAAGACCGACTTCACCAATGCAGTCAGATTTGAGGATATGAAGTCAGTTGCGACGGAGTCGAATAGAGATTCTGTTAAATACGGCGTCATGTTCCCATCTTGATCCAAGAGGAAGACAACTCCGTAGGCATTAACGGCTACCTGTAAATTGGCCATGCGGTACTTTGGGATACAGCTGAGACCAGTCCATATAACCTCCGAGGTAGGCATGGCCTTCCCCCAAGCCAAGAGCTGCGTGTCAATACATGCTGGAATCTCGTAGCTTTGAGAAACATCCCAGAATGAGAGATATTGGCCCGCTGAAGGCAATGGGTATGAATGCTGCGCTGCGCATCCCATGGCATCTTGGAAAGTGACGTTTAAATTCTGGGTTGAGGCCGTAAACTGCACGTCAGCTGGTTGGCAGTCTAAAGAGGCGTAGAAAACCGCAGTTTCAGCTTGCCATATCGCGTCTTTCGGGGGGAGCAGAGCAGAAGTACCGTTCACATCATCAATGAGCATAAATGGCACCGCGCTCCAGAAGGTACGCTTCCATGCCCTCAATGATTGCATGACGTCGACTGAAGGGTCCAACCACAAGCGAAGATCGTTTGCAGCCAGTTCTTTGCCAAGGCCAGACATGTAGACATCCTCTATAAGCGATCGCCAATTCGAAAGACGCCTGAATTGCAGACCAGATGTCGTATTCAGTGGATGGGATACTAGAAATTCTTGTGGGGTGAATAGAACCGCATGGTAGCCCACTAAGGTGAGAGTGAGAAAGCTTGTCCAAAAGGTTGTCGCGACCACCCAATGTCCACGGAAAGGGCTTCGAAAGTCGGCAGTCCAACGTGTGTACGGGAAGTAGTTTAGCAACAGCGAATCATTTCCCCTTGAACCTGGAACACCACTCTTCCTCCCAATGCATCGTCTGCGCGCTGGGGAGGGATTGGCTAAATTGAGAAAGGGCATAAGTCGTTTGAAGTCAATATCAATGTTGAGCCAAGCTGATTGAAAGCCTATAGCGATTACGGCTGGGATAATTTGAAACACCAGTACCCCTTTCGCCGAGTTTATTGGGAACTCAGTCTCCGAAAAGCCGTTATTCGCGGTTGAATAACGTAATGCCAGAAAGAGACTGACGCAGACAGTGCCATTGAGGAGCACATGTGCGAGCAGATAGGCCCAGTGCATTGTGTAGGGGCGCCATCTCAAAGGAGCTTCCCCCGGTGTGGAGGTACCAAGATAAGCGGGGTTGTCGTTGTTGTTGATGAAGGTGGTGGTGGAGAAGAAGTAAGACTTCGGATAATAGGAGGTGTGCGGTGTCGTGTTGGTAGAAATGGCTGGTGAGGGATCTCTGTAAAGGCCGAGTAGCTGTTGGGATTCTGATCCGTTATATGGACTCTGCATCATATAATCCATCTCCCTGCGCGACCACCGCCACAGTTAATCGATATTGAGTACTCGATTCGGCCGAATGTGTGTGTCTACATGGAAGGGTGACTAGCACACTTTCTTATGTTCTGGACGAGAAAAGATACCGGGTAGTTCATACTTTTGCATTCAATGGCGAGGCGGTGCGCATCGCCGATTTGAAAGCACCAACCCCATCAGGAAAAGTGATGAAAGCATAGTCCAAGGCTGAACACGCCACGGGTTGATGGCTGCTATTCATGTTCGTCCATGGTCCATGTCTCACAGGTCAAAGAGGGCATCCTTGTCCTCGATTTCCACTTCAGGCCAAAGCCCCATGGCTTATGGAATCAATGGTGACTATTCCTTGGTTGGAACTGATAGCAATATCTTTCTCATCAAGTTAGAACGGAAGTTTGGGTGTTCAGCTCTGGGCCTGGAGTAATGTTAGCTCAGCACTAGTATCTTTGATCATAAACCCTCTCTGTACAAAACAGCTATGCTCAGAAGAAGTTAGATGTAATGATTTGACTCGTCAGAATGGATGCACACAGAGCAAGCTTTAAAGTGGCGAATCATAACACTATGTTGTTGTAATAAGAACTAGCTGTTCTTAGCAGCAGACTAATAGTACTTCAGGCCCAACTCGTAGTACAGAACACCACCATTCCACCCATAAGATAGCGCTCGTAGAATTCGAACCTAGTTGGGTAGATATCTGAATCAAGACACTTTGCAGGTGCTGTCACTACTAACTTAGTGGTTACTAGTAGTCAATAGTACCCATTGGGGCGGACGCCCACCAGGAGCCCCACTACTACGTACATGTGTTACACCAGACTCCCGATCCTTGCGCGCCGGCCCAGGCCCCCCAAGTGTGATAACCCTTGTAAATAGTGGAGCGGATTCCTGACGAGCTATCACTATCAGGAGAGCGTGAGTGTCACGTGCACGTTCCGTTAGCTCTGCCTTGGCGCTGCTGCTTCTTAGATTAGCTCTTGCTGCTCATCAGCTTCTCTCCTCCACGCACGTTAGAATCAATCAAGTAACACGATCCATCGCAGTGAGGAGAGCGACACCAAATCTGTTGTTGGCCGCCTTCAGCTTCGAAGAGGCTACACATGTACTAGTATGATATCAGGGTACTCCATAGAAGATGGCCATTTGTTAGACGGTATGAGCGCTCATTGGTTGGAATTTCTCCGCGTAATCCCTGCCTCTCGCCTGCTTTTGATCGGTCAATTTTCTATCGCAATTTCGCTTCTAATTTGGCTGTACCGTAAGGGCGTATTTGTTCGTATATTTGCGCGCGCTGCCCTTTTTTGAGAGAAAACAGAGAGCCCAATGCTGAAAGGATTGACATTAAAGTCTCGTCCTAGTCCAAGCGATCCCGGCAGACATGTGCTTATGCAGGAAATCCGATTCAAGATCTGCATGCAGCAGATCAAGGCACAACAGATAAGTTACCTAGTACGGAGTATGTACTATGACATGGTAATACGGTACGCTACATCCACGATCCGACGTCAGTCCAATTCTCCAAGTGTACCTCGATGCTTAATGTTTGATATGTCTGGTGCTCAGAAAGTATCAAACAGCATGGATCTCTTCTATGTCCAGGAAGCTGCAATGGTCGAAATGCTCGCAATTTTTTCTCTCTGCCGAACGGTTTTTATTATTACGCAGTCAGCCATAGAAACGGGGCTTTCCCGATCAAGAGTACCTACATGCATACGACGGATTCTATCTATAGTCGCTTAGGGAATTTAACGTAAGAGCTGGATGAATCTACTTTTTTGAGTCAGTATATTAGGATGATGGCTTCGGAATAGAAAGAAAAAGAGTGGGGGAGAGGATGAAGGTGTGGTGGAGAAGGCTATGATTCGCTAATATGGGGCCTCTGGCAACCATTGACGTTCAAATTGAAGACGCAGGTTGTATAGCTGCATCTCAATCGACTTGCTCTCCTGCAAACTCAATATCATCCCCCAAAAATTGCATAACCGTCTCTCAACCTCTTCGGAAGCCATCCCCAATGCTCGGGCTGATGCAGACACTAAAAATCGGCGATGCTGTACCAGATGAGGAGGTGGAGGAACATCAAGGTGATCCTGGCTGGTAATTTGCCTCGAAGCTTCTATCCAACCTCATCTTCTCCCGTGTTGGATTTTGTGTCTTCCTTCCATCCTATCTTCATACGAATTTCCCTCAAGCAGCTTTCTTGCTACTGGTTTTAGACTCTTCAGATCTATTATTCTCTATCCGCCCTCGATATGAAGGCGTTTAAGACCTTGCTCGCCACATTTCTGGCATTCTGTTGGCTAGTTCAAGCCCGAGTGGTCCATGTTGGTGTCACTAGCGAGGGCGATGTCACTGTTGATATTGAGTCAAAGTCCGAAGGCCAGCGGGGTCAGAGCCATGGAAATGGAATCACCGACAACCCCAGACACCGGGAAAACACACAGAGGGCTGAAATCGGCCCGAAGGACGTCGACCTTGAAAGCTATTGGCACCGTGGTTTTCTGTCGGTAGGTTTACACCTATCATTGATACCGTACTACAGCATCGCCAGGCTTCTTACTTTTCCTATTTAGCTTACAGTTTCTCCACTTTCTTGCTAAGTAGTTTTATTAATCAAATCAGCCCGGTAAGATCTGAGAAGATAAACGCTGATTTAGCGCCTTATTTCTGTACTGGTACGGTCCTAACGGTACAGAAGGCGTGGTCTTGTATCGTTGGAACGGTGAGAACTGCTGTTCCGTACCACTGTACCATTGGTACGGTTGGAACGGTTGTGCTGTTTCCGAACGCTGATTTGTCTCAGGTCTGATGCACAAAACTGGTGAAAAAGGTGTTGACATTGTCTTGAACTCGCTATCTGGCGAGCTGTTGCATGCTTGCTGGAAATGCGTGGCGGAATTTGGCAAGCTGGTCGAACTCGGCAAACGAGACCTTGTTGCATGTGGCCAGTTGGACATGCAACCATTCCTAGCGAACAGATCGTATTGCTGTGTCGATATTACACAGTTTATTCGCGATAAGCCGGAGAAAAGGGGACGGTAAGTCGCTTCTCAGATCATAGCACTGCTTCCATTGAGAAGACTCGTGCTAATCTATCAATCAGCATGCTTGAGAGATGTCTTGATCTCTATCGACAAAAGAAACCCGGCCCATTCAGCCAGCTTCCGTTTTCGACTCATGCGAGGTAGATAAAGGCTTTCGTCTTCAGCAGGGAGGTGACCACATCGATAAAGTCGTCATCAAGATGCCAGAAGATACTCACAGATCAAAGTCCGTCCACGTGCCCATCCAATAAGTTTCGATCCTCAAGCCAGTTACATTCTAACCGGCGGATTGGGAGGTCTTGGGAAGGCCATTGCCATCTGGCTCGTTCATCGCGGCGCTCGAAACTTGGAGTTCTTGTCCCGATCCGCCGGCTTGACTGATGATAGTAAAGAGTTCTTTGCCGAGTTGGAAAGTATGGGCTGTCATGTGCCTGCGATCGCTGGTATACCACAGAGTCTGGCGGACGTTGAGGCGGCAATTTCTAAAGCCACTGGTCCGGTGAAGGGACTGTTCCATGTGGCTATGGCTTTACAGGTATGTGGCTCGATCCGTTTCGACTACGCATTTTGGCACGTGCGTTCCGTTGGCTCTGCTTAGCGTTACCTTCTAGATTAGCTCTCTTCTTCTCCCAATCAATTCGCTTCGTACCATTGCACATGTCAACCAGCTAACCCAATGGAAGGACGCACCTATACTCGACATGACACAGGCAGATTGGATTGCAGCAAGTCAGCCTAAGGTCGATGGGACGTGGAACCTCCACAAAGCTCTATCCGCTACGATCTCGACTTCTTTTTCCTGGCTAGTTCCCTTGTCACTGTCGTGGATCAGCCCGGCCAAGGCAATTACAATGCCGCAATCACATTCCTTGAAGCGTTCTGCCAGTACCGCCATAGCCTCGGGCTACCGGCATCCGTTCTGAATATCTGCCCCGTTGATGGTGTAGGTTTTGTTGCCGAGAATCCGGCGGCGAGGCGGAACATGAAGGCTCAGGGTCTCTACTTCCTCGGCGAAGAGGAATTGCTTGACTTCATCGAGCTCTCCATCGTCAATTCTACACCTATCGCCTCTTCAAGATCCTCGCAGACCAGCAGCACAGTCCCCGGCCTTTGGACTTCCACCGGCCAGCTGTGGATGGGTCTCTGCTCCGAACTCCACCTCGACTACCCTAACAACCGTACCAACTGGCGCCAGGAGCGTCGTATGGGCACCTACCATAATGTCCGCGACATGAACAAGACCAGCGACGCCTCCACTTCCAGTTTAAGCAGCCTCCAAACCTTCCTGTCTCTCGCAACCGAGGAGCCTGACCTGCTGAAGGGGGAGGACAGTCAAGAATACCTGGCATACCAGATAGACCGCAAGGTCTACGACTTCATGCTGTAGTCGGATGAAGAAGTTGACATCGCTCTTAGTTTGGCTCAGCTAGGCCTTGACTCGCTAATGACGGTCGAGCTGAAGAGGTGGTGGAAGCAGGCACTGGGTTTGCAGATTAGCCAGTTGGAAATCATGGCCACCGGTTCGCTGATGGGATTAGGAAAGATCGCCGCGGAGGGTTTACAAGGAAAGATTGTGGGAACGAGCTAAGGAGAATCTCGTTTTCTTTCTAGTGAATCTGCTGGAAGCGCTCTCGATATTTTGGCTTTTTTTCCCATTACGTTACTACTCTGCCAGTAGGACAAGACAACCATCTACTGTGGAGCAGGAGGAGGAAGAAATGGCTCTGTTCGTTCAAAAAAGCTGCGCAGGGCGCAGAAATAAGTACAAATTAGCCGCGAAATTGCAGCAGAAATTGACCAATCAAAAGCAAGAAAAACGCAGGGATTTCGCGTATGAAACGCGGCCAAGGAGCGCTCCTGCCGTTTGACGTCTACCAATACAGAACCTGGACCTGCTTCTTTTAAAGATCACAACCAGGGCCGTTTGTAGTACAGCTGTTGATTAATGGTATTCGAGCCTTATCTCACTACTTCTGGGTCATTCCTCCATGTACTGCTTTCAGACAAGACATCAGCAAGGTAAGGGGGCATATTTTTACTGGGAATGTAGACTGGTAAATTTCAGTAAAGGGCCAAGTTGTGAGATCAGAGGCCGTGCAGCTACTGGTAATTTCCCGTGGAGGTAGTTCTAGAGTGATTTGGTCGGGTAATCAGTGACCTGCACCATGATATATGGAATAACTTTCCCATGACCTGGAATTCGCCTCGTCCTGAGCACTGCATGGCATTGGAGTTCACCAAAGGCTGAGCGGTACAACAGTGTTTGAACTCCTAGACTCGATTTTCGTGGACAAGGGTACATCAGGTTTATCGCCTTTGTGCAAAACCATACGATTGACGTGTGACTCTGTGTAATGACTACCGTATTAAGATGATTCTAGCTTTATCTCCGCAACGTAGAGCTATTCCCCCATGCACTGCTTTCAGACGAGACTTCATCAAAGTGGGCATGCATATTGCTGGGTGTGTAAAGCAGTACATCCGAAGAAGTTTCAGACACCTCCTGTGCATGCGAAGAATTCGAAGCTGTAGCCGGAGAAGCTGCAGGCCTGGCAGAGGCAGGTGCTTCGGGATGGATAGAAGCTGCGGGCCTAGCAGAGGCAGGTTCTTCGGGATGGACCAACGCTGCGGCTTTTTTCCTTCTTTTCAATCTTTTGACTGTGGAACCCGATACGCCCGTGAGCTCACTGATTTGTTTGTTTGAAACATTCTGGCGAAGGAGAGACTCCACTTCTTTCCTCGTTTCCGGGTCACGAGCCGCTCGGAAGCGATTGCGATCCAGCCCGGAGGGTAACGTCCCGGCGGCAAGATCCTTGTTCTTCCAACAAAGTATTGTACGCTCTGAGACTCCCAGCTTCTCTGCAGCTTCTGTTACTAACATATTTGGTTTCTGTATCAAAAGCTCATAGACCTCGGCCTTTTTCCTGTCCTCTACATGGCGAGTAAATTTCCTCGAGTCGCTCCGTTCAGGACCTAATACTTCCTTGCTGGTCCAGGTGCGCTTCCATTCATTAACTGCTGATATAGAGACGCCCGTTATTCGCGAAACTTCTGATAGGGATATCCTCTCATACTGTTGGAACAATGCGTAAGCGTGCTTGCGTTTATCCTCATAGCTTCGGTGGGCTTCGCTAATGACTTCGGGCTCTACTCGTCCGGCGGCGATTCCATCAGCCTTCCACTGTGTCAATACATGTCTCGGAACATTTGTCGCGGCCGCAATCATCCTGGACGACTGACCCGCATTGAAACGGGCGTACACGTCGTCGCGGCTGTCTTGGTTGTCATACGGACCATGGACTCTTTGACGGCCTACCTTCTCACGGGCGATGCCCCGGGCCTTCTGCTGCGCAAGTGTTTGCTCTGAAATGCCTGTGGTATCTGCAATCCTTGGAGAAGATTGGTGCCTCGGCGGATTAAGGAGTGAATAGTTTTGAGCGAGCGATTGATCTATGTCAGGTATAGATACCGCCCAACCTACGTCATTACCCGCAATAGTACTCACTGGTCTGCCCAACAAGGTTAGGGGATAGAGGTTAGACATTAGTTCTAGCTCACGAGTTGTCATAACAGACGCAGCCGCACTTCCTCCACTAGGATTATATCCTGCATTAGGTGTCCCTAAGGTCCGCGCGACTTGGGTAGGTACGGACGTGGGAGCCGCCGTGTGTCTTGCGGCTGGGATTGCAAAGGTCGATGGTCCTGCTTCTGTACCAGCAGCATCCTTGGTCCGAGGCCTTGTAGGTAATGGAAAGGCGCTCCTCCCGGGCTTTGCCTGTATGGTCTGATGCTCTGCATTTGTCGCCCTTTCAGAGGCTGAGGTTTTTCTCTTCAACTGTCTTGACTGTCTTGCTTGTGCGGCCAAAAGTTTATCAAAGCGCGTTTCTTTGGGTGCTGAGGTTGGGGTTTCGGGTCCAGCTCCTGCAGGGCCAGAAGTATCATGCCTTGGATCTTGAGAGTCCAAGGAGGTGCCCTTTGGAACCTCCCTGTGAGGAGATAGTGAAGACATGATTGCGCTGTTCAAGTGAGAGTAAAAGGCAGCTGCTATATTCAATGCAAGGTGGGCACGAAAACAGATGACCTAGACTGAAGGCATTTAAAAATGTCCTCTAAAAAGTCTTCTGACGAAGTGAAAGCCAAGATCATTTTTATATGGTTAAGATCGGCTGGACATAGGGAAACTAGATCGTTTCACCAATATAGACCAGAGGGATACTGCCGCACGTTTTCATGCAGGGTATGGTAGAGGCATCAGTAGGCAGGACAAGTTATCAGAATTGAAACTATGGAGGTCACACATGTGAGCTCGGCCCTTTTCCTACCTACTAGATGACACGACTTCAGACCCGGGACCTTTGGCATCTCACAGTCGAGATACTCCCGTTGGATCCATCTGTAACAGAGTGCGGTAGTGAACCGCGTGCTCCTTATCTCGGGAAGGAGAGAAACGATGGCTGGTTTTAGGACGTTGCCTAACTAAGTTAGTTACGGCGGCTTGATAAGCCCGAGCCTCTGGGCGTAAGCTCAATAAAGACTAAGCCACCAACGTAGGTAGACCAACAGAGCGAAGGGTATTCTTGAAACCCAGATTCTTTAGCTATTGCAACTTGCTAGCATTTTGAATCTGAGAACACATTTGATATCTAACGTTACGGCAACGTCACTGGTATTCTCTTTGAGATGGAATGTATCCAAGTCGCTTTAAGAGACTTAAACAGTGAACTGAAATGAATGACTTGAAAGTGCTATGAAAATTAAAAATGCTAAGAAGTTTTATTGCTTTGTGGGTACCTTTCAATATTGGTCCATCTACGTACTACGTAAGTTAGTACTCTACTACGTAGGTAGCCCCTCTAGCTTTCAAAGCCAACCACTTCCAGTCAGCTCTAACCTGCCCTAATCGATACCAGCTTCGGCCTCCATCGATATTCTTTTGCAGTATTCAACATCGTCAGCACGACATGTCCGTGATTGCCGCCTTTCGCAAGGGCCAGTATCCTCTCCTCAAGGGCAAGTACCCTGCGAAGGACCATGCCAGGCGGGTGGCCGATCAGATCCAGGCTTCTGGCTTTGGCTCTGATGGGGTCATCTACCTTGAATCTCAGAAGACTCGCCTGATCGAAGACAATGACACCCCACAGAAGTTCAGGTAGTAAATGCATCTCGTCTGTCTCTTGCCACAGAACAAAGCTAATCTGTAGCTGGCTAGACAGCGTCGATATTTTTTCTACCTCTCTGGCTGCGAACTCTCTGACAGCTGCCTCATTTACGACATGGCAACAACCGAACTTACACTGTTTGTACCACCTACCGAGCCCGAAGAAGTTGTCTGGTCAGGCCTTCCGCTCTCCACATCGGAGGCACTTGAGAGATACGACATAGATAAAGCTCTTCCAACTACGGAGCTCAATGTCACACTTGCTTCGTATACAAACTCGAAAAAGCCCATGACTGTTTTTGCGATTCCCGAACAAGTTTCCGAGGACGTGACGTTTCTCGGGTTTGCGAATACCGAGTTCTGCATACTGAAGAAGGCCATTGAAGAGCAACGTGTCACCAAGGACATGTACGAGATTTCTCTCATTGCGAAAGCGAACGCGGTGTCCACCCTGGCACACAAAGCTGTCCTCGACCAAGTAAAAACAGCCTCAAACGAGCGAGAGCTTGAAGCTACCTTCGTTGCTAAGTGCATAGCACATGGCTGCAAAGATCAAGCCTATCCATCCATAGTGGCCAGTGGGACCAATGCAGCAACTCTACACTATGTCAAGAATGATGAACCTCTCCGGGACCGACTGAATGTTCTTCTAGATGCAGGTGGCGAGTATAGATGTTACGCATCAGACGTTACCAGGACTTTTCCTATTTCTGGCAGCTTCACCAAGGAGTCACAAGTCATCTATGATATTGTTGACGAAATGCAATCGTCCTGCTTTCAAATGCTGAAAGCTGGTGTCTTATGGGAGGACGTGCACATGAATGCCCATAGAGTGGCCATCAAGGGCTTAAAAGCTGCAGGGCTTCTAAAGGGAGACGACCAAGAAATCTTTGATTCACGTGTGAGTGTGGCATTCTTTCCTCATGGACTTGGGCACTACCTTGGGATGGACACACACGACACTGGTGGCAAAGCGAATTATGCAGACCCAGATATGATATTTAGATATCTCCGAGTTCGTGGACAGTTACCAGAAAATAGTGTTATCACAGTGGAACCCGGGGTATGTGTCTCTTTCCTGTGATGACCTCCACTTTAACATTACCACTAGATATACTTCTGCAAATTCATCATCGATCCGTATTTGAAAAATCCAGAGCTAAGCAAATACATCGATCAAGACGTCCTCCAGCGCTTCTGGGATGTTGGAGGTGTAAGGATTGAGGATAATATCTGGATCACTAAAGATGGGTACGAGAACCTGACAACAGCGCCAAAGTTGTGATATCTATACCAGCCCAAAAACGATATCGCCACCTGTGAGCGACTCGGAAAGTGTTCGTATCAATCTTGGTAGGATACGGAGCCCTTGGGCCTTGTATGTCATGCTACCCATCGGGGATCTAATGGCTCGCAAAGAAGGAGACACAGACCTCAGTACCCACTCTCCACACGCGAGACACCACAGGGTTGCCATCGTCCTGTGGGACTGACGCACGATCGGCTGTCCACACACAAATCAAGCCCAAATTGAATGTAACCGCCGATGCGAGCCTCAGTGCCCTTGCCTTACTTACGCTCATTTCGAGTGTTCGTCTGTTCACAGAAAAGCAAATGCCGGTACGTCACTAGTTCGCTCGAAGATTTTTCACTGGCTGCCAAAGACTGGGGGGAGCCAGGACTGCTCGTTTGTTGTGCCATTTAAGGTCATGCTTTGATCAAGGGCCTGAAGTCTCCATCGCTGAGGGTGACCTTTGTGTGCAATCGAGCAGCAAGGTGCGCAGCTCGCTCGGCCTTAATTTGGAAGATGAAGGTGGTAAAACCAGGGAGCAAACGCGGTGAAGAGAGTAGCTGGTCGAAAGGAAAAAGCTGGTGGAGCCGCGTAGAAGGATCTGCTACCTACTAAGCCAACGCATCCTTGACAAAACTCGTTTAAGTTGGGAGCAATCAAAGCACTCCCCTGTTGTCCCAGCCAAGTTGAAGCAGGTGGAGTAAAGAGGCAAAAAGCTATGTATGTACCTCATGGTCATGCTACATGCCATCTCCGGCGGCAGATGCAAGGCTATGTATGCACGATCTCTCCCTTCCACGTACACCAGAAGGACATGGATATGGACATGATAAGACTGTTTTGAAAAACCCAGCCAACACCTCGCTCATCAATCTCCATACAGCAGCC